CCACCACACGCCCTTCTAATTTTCTATAAAGGTAAGAGCGTGATTGGTGGGTGTGGACATGTTGAGGGTTTGGTTGAAACTTGAAAAACAATCTCAACTGATGATGCCATTCATCTCTTCTTATCTCTCTCTCTCTCTGGCTGTTGCAATGAAACACTTGTTTTTCTACATATTTGAGGCTCGGTCTCTTTAATCAACGATTGCTCATATCATATGTGACTTTTGACTTCCTATCCATTTTGCAAAATCCCATCAAATAATGGAGATAAAAACTTCACATCACAACCAAAATTAGTGTCTTAATCATTTCTATTATCTACTCATACATCGGTTTCATTCTTTCTATTATCTTCACATCAGAATCTGAACTGATTATCAAGGAGGTTGACTGCGATGTTTGGGGCCCACCCCATCTGCTCACACATCACATATCATCTCCCTGCATTTTCAATTCCTAAATTGATCTTGGACATGGACGAAACAGAATATCCCCCCCCCCCCCAAACCCATCCACAAGAAAAGAAAAAGAAAGAAAATGCGTAAACCAATTCTACAATACAAGTCTAGTCATTCCAAGTCAAGAGTGTTTGATTAACAATGAACATAGAAAACAAATTTCAAAGGGCAAACTCTTTAAGCTTAGATGGATGGACCATTTATGTTTTGTTGCATCTGTTGATTTTATAATCAAAGAATACCGGCCGGATCAATTAGAAAATACCCTTGTAAACCATTTTGAGGTAGGCCTTAACCAAGTATTGGCGATTCCTAATTAGAAAACACATGCAAATCGTTTAATTTGAGGTAGGCTTCATCTGGGTTTGATTATTCTGTTTTTCTTTAATGAATCACCCAAAGTCCAACCACAACCATGAACTGGGTGCTTGTAAGCAATATATAATAGAAAAAGAGGGAAAGAAAAAGCTGTATATGATCTCATCTGATCGTTATATACCAAAGCCGAGGTATTACCAAACAGGAAACCAAGAAACAGGAGTTAGGTCACTCACCAAAACCAAAATTGACTTGGTTGTAGTTTTATCATGACTCTTGTAACAAGTTTACGACATCAAAATTATCAAATGCAGTTAAAGATATAGATAAAAAAAAAAGGAAAAGAAAAAAATAATGCTACCAAACCATAATTTAATAGAATATCTGGATTTACTCTATTCCTCAGTGTGTTCCTTATATCAATCTCATTGCAGCTGTGCATTAGAATATGAGGCTTGAGGTTGATTCGAGCTAAAGACTTGAACTCGAATCTGGTTTGAGTCAAAAGCTTGTAAGTTTGATATCAACTCGAGTTCCATTATGATTCAAATGTTTTATTAAAATAAGAAATAATTATTTTATTTGACATATAAAAAATTAAGAATTATAAAACTATTTATTATTATAAACATAAAAAATAAAAATATTATATATGTATAATATTTTTTTTATTTTTTATATATATAATATGTATGTATGTAAAAATTCAATTAAGCTTGTGAATTTTATGAGCCAAATTTCATTGGGTTTAAGCTCGGCTCAAACCTCAATTTAAACCGATACAGATCAAACTTTTCATAAGTCAAAATCGAATAACTCATAAAAAATTCCGCTCATGACCACCCCTAAAGAAATATCCCCAATGTACGGCTGCAATAATAAGATCGATGCGAGGAGCAAATCCAGCTTCAATTTATTGTTTCAGTATGGCAGTGGGTACTAAAGATAGTATAGAGAAGTCATGGTAGTTTGGCTAGGCAGCAACCCCAGTCCCGATAAAGTGTGCGTATTCATTTTTAACCCTAAACTGTTTAATTGGTGGGGGCCCATGACGAGTTGGATATTGGTTTAACTGGACAAACCAGATGAGTTGCAGCAATGATTCCTTTTTAATTTGAATGGCTGAAAAGCAAGGATTGTAGTGTAGAGAAACATGTTCAGTCATAAAATTCTTAGATTTTATGAGCTGCTCCATTGATTCTCCCCATCACATCCAGTGCCTCGTGATAGTATGCATATATACTGATTACATAATACCAGTTGCTTTTAGCTCTATATCTAGTAACTAAGAATTAATACATACAAGGGCATAATCACATGGGCGATGAATACAGCCTTTTTCTGCACATGGGGCGATTATTAAGATATTTTCGCTCACTCACTTAGACATGAAATATCGATCCTCAGTCTGGTATTACATCTACAATCAGTTAGGGGGTTGGCAAAATCACTGTGACTGATGATTCAATTCTTGTCGACAAGAACAAGAATTGATGCATTGAATGAAATATGTGGTTGGGATGGGCTGTTTTTAATCCATCATTGATCGAGCCAATTCGGAGTGTTTTTGCCTTTTGTTTTTATTTTTTCTGTTTAGGAGTACAAGTTGGATACCTGATTTGAAAACTTTAAGTTGTGTTAGACTCAGGCTTTTGGGCTGGGTTCAACCTCTGATTCATTGTTTACAAAGACATTATTGATGAGTCAATGACCCATCAACCCGAACAGTAAAACTGTTCACCTTTCTGATCCTTTTAATGAATCAGAATTGCCTAGTTTTTCATTTTGCTTTGAAATTTTTGATAATAATCACATCAGGGAAAATCTATGAATTTTGATGAATACCATCTGATCGGTCACCTCTTTTATGATATCTTTTGATTAGCTGTAAAATTTTCCGGTATTATAGTCGGATTTATTGAGTTAAACGGTTAAACCAGTAATCCATAATGAAAGCAGTTCAACCTTTGGGGCAGATTTTGAAACACTGGTTGGTTGAGATTATCTTACTTTTACCATTTGAATAGTTTTAACATGTGATTGTCATGATAGATTTTGACCTTATAAATATAGGTAAAGTTGGTCGAGTGTATGAATTTGAGTAATTTTGCGCAAAGATGAGTGTGGATTTCACCAAATCATCATCCATAGAAAAATGGTAACCGATCAATGGTTGAGGTGCTTTATTTCAATGGGAGAATCTGGACGGTTTTTTCCTTTTTATGCAACACTTTATAAATTGAAATTGTTGCAGATGTGACGAGGAACGACGATTTGTTGAGATAATAAATAAGGGACAGGAAGAAGGTAGCATGAGATGTGTTGAAAGTAGAAGAAGCCTATAGTTTGTCAATTATAGCAGTTGGAGATAAAAGAAAATGAAAACATTTGTGGACGAAATGGAAGGTCTTACTTCATCCGCATGGCGCATTTTAGAAACTTGCTGTGATCATCACAGTAGTCTTTAGAAACTTTACTGTCATGCACTGTTTAGCCTCAGATGTGAGCAAGTTCTGAATCAATCCAATCAAGGGCGGTGCCAGCATTAAGAAGGAATAGTTCTTTCATTAGGCATGCTCAGCCCTATCAATCCATCCCATCAGAATAGGGTGACATGGGTCCACTGCCATTGAAGACATTCAGTCATGGCTTTCAATGTTTTCTTTCCTGCTTCACTCGTCTGTCATTGAAGGGATTCGTCGATTGTAATTGATGAATTTAAACCTGGTTGACTGTTGTTTTATTGGTTTACATGTATATTTTTATATTTAATAAGATATATTTATCATCAAAATGAATTAATATTACATACACACCATAGATGAAATATTGCTTGTGACTAATGATCAACAAAGTTATTTGGCACCACTCAAATAAGGGGCTCGGATCTTTACCCACAGGGCATTATAGTTGCGTATTAGGAATATCTCTCAGTGAAATGTTCTCAATTAAGGATGAAAAAGAATTGAGCTTTTGATGAGCTATTCAAGTTTGAATTAATTTTAAATTGAGCTTGAGCTTCATATATAGGCTTGTTTGTTAATTGAGTTGAGTTCAAGTTCAATAAAACTTGGCTCGTAAGTTTAATCGAACTTAATATAAAATAAATAATCTTTATTATATATATATATATATATAAATATTTTTACTTTTATAATTTTTTATTTTTTGTATATAAAATAAAAATAAATTATATATATTTAATTTTTTTTTGTAGGAAGTTTAGTTCACAGTTAAACTTGAACTTGCGAGCTTTTGAGTCCGAGCTTAAAAATATCTAGCTCGAATCGAAGTTGAATCTGACATTATTGTGATGAACCTAACTCAAATAACCAATTGGGCTCGACTCAAATCCACCCCCACGACGTGTTCTGTACGTAAAGATATAGGATTAAAATCTCAAGCTTGAATTTGTTGGTCCTACTGTTACAACATATAGGCGGCTGTATAACCAACCGATCACAAATAAAGATACCACTACCAGTGTTTACTATACATCGGTGTGAGTCTGTAGGCTCTCACCAGCATGGCCGGTGGGTCCAAATCCCCTGAAATGTGTAGATTGTGATAAAAGAAATGGTAAATGAAATATATTCCCCAATTTAAGGGTTCCCATTCATTATTTGGATGAGGTGTATATAGTGGTTTAGATGACTGGTTTCCATCTCGTTTGCAGTGTGCCCAGGTGCAAACATGTCATTGTCAAGTCCAGACCAGGCTTCAAGAATCAAGATTGGATTGGGTTTGCCTAATTATTGCATCTTTCCCCACCTAAATCGAGTTTGGTCGGATGGTTGAACCGAAATGGTTAAACCGGAACAACTCGCCAGTGATCAGCTGCTTCTGAGTTATAGTAATTGTTCTCTTCTCTTCACCAAAACAAAAGTCCTGGTAATTGTTGCGGTGTGTTAGAGCCACTCATCTAGAATTATCTGGGCGGAGAGAGAGAGAGAATCTAATGGGAGACGGGGCCATGGATAAATAAGATGATTGGGATGTGACAAACATCACGCAGGGTTGGGGTGTGGGGTCGTCTCATCTGATACGTGAGTTTCACTTGCTAGTTACTACCCAATAAGGTGCTCATGGCGCACATTAGCAAGTACCATTTTAACGCTTTCACTGTTTTTTACTTATACCTTTTTACCGTTTTACGTCATTGCCATTTTAGAATCCACGGAAATAAAAAGGGGTCGGCACCCTCTGCACTCTGCACTGCAGAGTTCAAAATGTCCAAGCACTGAAAAAGGCCCACCTTGAGCGAGAGCGGACCGTTGCTACTCGGGTTGCACTGCAGCCAAACAAGTTGATTGGTGTAAAATTGCAAAAAGGAAAAAGAAAGAAGAGAAAACCTCTCTCTCTCTCTCTCTCGTTGTGTGGAGTGGAGCCCATAGCTGCCCCTCTGCTTTGCTGGCTTTGAGCTCTCCCTTGTTGGTTTTTATGGGATTGTCTGCTGAGAGTTTCAGTTCGCCCAATCGGCACTTCGGCTGATTGAAAACTCATTTTTCCTTGTTTTTTTCTTCTCTTGTTCAATCTTCTCCACTGCCTACTCCTTCATCCACAAGAGGGAGAGATAAAAAAGAGAGAGCGAGAAAAGAAAACGAAAGGGAGAGGCCTCATCTATTTCTATCTGATTTGATGGATCTACAGATCTAACGCTCTCGGAATCACATGGACTGCTCTCTCTTTTCAGATCTCCATCGTCTCCAGCTGTAGAACCCAGTAACTGTCCTGGAACAAGAAAGGAGAAAAGCCTAATAATAAGGTCCGTTTCTTCTTATTGTACTGCTTCTTTTTTTTGGGAAAATGTGTAATTTTCCGGATTAAGGGTTTTCTTTTTCGGCTTTCTTGATTTTGCGGTTTTTCTCAAAGTGTGAAAATTGAGATGGGTTTTTGATTCGAGTATTAAGACCTTGTCGATTTGGAAAGGTGTATCTTGACTTCTTGTTATTCCACAGCTGCTTGCTGTTTTTTTTTTATAGTTATATATATATATATATATATATATTTCAATTTCTGCGGTTATTTAGATTTTATTTGTCTTAGTTCTTCTGTTTCGAAGAGAAACATATGTGGGTTTAAGATTCCAGACCTTTTTCGCTTTGTATTAGCGAGAGGTTTAACTGAAGCAAACCAAGAAAGGCAGGTTTTACCTTTTCCTTTCTCCCCTCAATTACTTTCGGCTTCTTCAATTTGTGTTGGTTTTGTTTTAATTCTGTGGCTTTTCTTTTGATTTATGCTTGTGGTTGTGCTTCCTTGTGCAGTGGAGGAGAAGGCAGGTGGCTTTCTTTATCTAGTGGGGTTTGGATTCGTGTTACATATTTCGTAGATGTGGAGAAATTGGAGGCTGGTTTGGATGAGATGAGGTATGTTATCGGGGTTGATGAACCTTCTGAGGGCCTGTTGGCGGCCATCGTCGGATCGTTATGTCCATACGGGCTCGGATGCTGTGGGTCGACAAGATGGGCTTCTATGGTATAAAGACACTGGGCAGCACTTGAATGGCGAGTTCTCCATGGCCGTGGTTCAGGCCAACAATTTGCTTGAGGATCAAAGTCAGATTGAGTCGGGCCCTTTGAGCTCACTCGAGTCCGGGCCATACGGGACTTTTGTCGGTGTATACGATGGGCATGGTGGCCCTGAGACGTCACGCTACATCAACGATCACCTCTTTCATCATCTAAAGCGTAAGATACCCGGCTCCATTGGAACATCAGACAACAGGCTGACTTTTCATACATGCAAATGGATTCTGTTGCGTTTCTGTTCAGTGGTTTGAACTTGGAGATCACTTGGTTATTTTCTAACGCTTCCTTTTGAATTAATGATTGTTTTTAGGGTTCACTTCCGAGCAACAGTCCATGTCAGTAGATGTAATACGAAAGGCATTTCAGGCAACAGAAGAAGGTTTCCTCTCTGTCGTTACTAAACAGTGGCCAATGAAACCCCAGATTGCAGCTGTTGGATCTTGCTGCCTGGTCGGTGTGATATGTGGAGGGACCCTATATGTTGCCAACCTTGGAGACTCTCGTGTTGTTCTAGGGAGGCTTGTCAAGGCAACTGGGGAGGTGCTCTCTGTCCAGCTTTCAGCGGAGCACAATGCGGGCATAGAGTCTGTGAGACAGGAATTGCATTCTTTGCACCCGGATGACTCACGGATTGTAGTTTTGAAGCACAATGTATGGCGTGTAAAGGGCCTCATACAGGTAAGTTAACCAGTCACCTTTTTAAAATTATTCCCAGATCTCATTAATCTGTTTAACCTTTTCTTTGGGTAGAAAGTAAATACCGAAAACTTTATTAGAAATGATCAATGAAGATGCAAGAGGAGTTTGTATTCAAGGAGAGAATAGCCATGGCAAAAAAAAAGGTTAATCTGTTCAACCTTTTCTTTAGATAAAAGTAAATAATGAAATTACAAATTAGAAATGAAAGGAACAGAGAAAGATGTAGGAGAAAGCCTAGAATCCAAGTAGGGAATGGACATGCCAAGAACATACCAAACCCTGGCCAACGGTCAGAAAAAAAGATCATATCCACCTTTAAACGTATCTGTAGTATCACTCCTGAGCATTAGAATCAACCCAGCCCAACCTTTCCAAGGATATGAGATGCCAAATCTAGAACAAGCCAAGGTATAAAGTGAAGAAGGAAGACTCCATGGGCAGCTAGATGAGCAATACTGGACAATAATAATCCTTGAATCACCTTCAAGCAATACCCCATCAGAACTCAGAGAATGGGATCCCTTGAGGCTATGCACTGAAGGGATTTTAACTTTATTTGCTCCCTTTAAGTAGGCGTCTGATACATGAATGATTGGAACCCTTTTCCCCTTGTCGTTACCTAGGCACTTACTAATAGGGCTGTTGCCTGTATTGTGTATTTAAAGTTCTGGTATAAATTCTTGTCCAACACCTTGTTTACCCTCGTTTGTCACTAGAAAATTGAAATGCCTGTGAAACCATACCAGTGAGCAACCATGAAAATTGATCTCTGATATTATCTTGGGAACAGGTGATGATTTCTTAAATAGCATTGTGGGTGGACCAATGAAGTATGTGATATATACTATATTTGTGTGTGTGCGTGTGCATATATATGTGATATATATTATATTTTTTTGATAAGTATGTGATATATACTATATTTGTGAACATTAATGATTAAACACCTGGTCTACAATTTCAGCAACCACATATTGCTGGTACCACAATTTCAGCATGGGTTTTCCACATACGTGTGACTGTTTTGACAGAATGCTGTCAAGCTTGGAAAATAGTGCAGGAGTTTATGAAAGATCTTACACAATTTGGAGAATTGGGGGGTGGGTGGGAGGGGTGAGGTTGATAGGTGGATTTCTGCATCCAATCTACCACTCTTTTTAATTGAATTACTATGGTCTATCTTATACTGAGAACTATGCTCTCACATCGAATAACATTTTAGAAATATGCATTCAGTGATGTTCCCACCAGGGCTAGCAGATTCAAGTTTTTATATTTAAATCTGCAATGAGAATGTAATATATATGTATTTTAAGTCCTAATCAAATTGTTCATGTCTATCAAGGATTCAAAGTGGCTCCAACAAATCAAAGGAAACAACTTTTTCTTTTCCCTGTGCTCAAATTTACTAGGAGTTGTTTGGCTTATAAGCAAGTTGTTGAAGGACATCCTAGTAATGACATAAAATGGGTACACAAGTAAAAGTTAGACAACTGATGCTTATCCCTATCATAATTAGTTAAGCATGTAGGATCTCCTTCAATGGTAAGTGTCAAGTGAGAAAAGTAATTTGACATTTGATCTAGCCTAGGATTGGTTTTCGTTGGGGATTTTGTACAGTTACTTGCCAATTTGTTTTGGATCTCTTTTGTTTTAATTGTTAACAGGGGCCATTACTTGGTGTAATTGTAAAATCTTTGGGTTGTCAAGAGTAAGAACGCAGGTTCAAGTCTTGAGAGTGGTCACTTCGTGTGAAAAAAATGCCAAAGGTAGGATCATATCCTATCTAACCCCTCCCAGGACCCCAGATAGCTGGGAGCCTGGCACCAACATTGGGTAATGGCCTTTTTTATTGCTAACAGTAGTAAAGGAATTTTTTTCCTTGGAAGAAATCCTCATGACTGGGAGATGGCTTGGTGAACCATGTATTTTTCAACTACAAATTCTCAGTGAGCTTCTGGACCTGGGTGAGAGGAATATTTGGGCTGCAGAATGTTGTCTGGAATCAATTGAAGCCCCTTTTTCTGTCATTTAGGGTATTTGGTCAAAAGAAATGCTAAGATATTTGAAAGCAAAATACAGTCAGAAGATTTGGTTGTTAGGAAGATACAAGGCATGATGTTTTCATGTCTTGGAGTTCATAAACTGTTTAGGAGAATACTCTGTACTTCTTTTCCCCTGAAGGAGACTCTTTTTGTGCAATTGGCACTAATCAAATGCAATTTACTTGACTTTTTGTATATTCATATTGTATGGTCTCTTGGTGTACATGGGTTCTTTCATTAGTCATTACAAATCCATACTATACCTTCTTNAAATTGATCTTGGACATGGACGAAACAGAATATCCCCCCCCCCCCCAAATCCATCCACAAGAAAAGAAAAAGAAAGAAAATGCGTAAACCAATTCTACAATACAAGTCTAGTCATTCCAAGTCAAGAGTGTTTGATTAACAATGAACATAGAAAACAAATTTCAAAGGGCAAACTCTTTAAGCTTAGATGGATGGACCATTTATGTTTTGTTGCATCTGTTGATTTTATAATCAAAGAATACCGGCCGGATCAATTAGAAAATACCCTTGTAAACCATTTTGAGGTAGGCCTTAACCAAGTATTGGCGATTCCTAATTAGAAAACACATGCAAATCGTTTAATTTGAGGTAGGCTTCATCTGGGTTTGATTATTCTGTTTTTCTTTAATGAATCACCCAAAGTCCAACCACAACCATGAACTGGGTGCTTGTAAGCAATATATAATAGAAAAAGAGGGAAAGAAAAAGCTGTATATGATCTCATCTGATCGTTATATACCAAAGCCGAGGTATTACCAAACAGGAAACCAAGAAACAGGAGTTAGGTCACTCACCAAAACCAAAATTGACTTGGTTGTAGTTTTATCATGACTCTTGTAACAAGTTTACGACATCAAAATTATCAAATGCAGTTAAAGATATAGATAAAAAAAAAAGGAAAAGAAAAAAATAATGCTACCAAACCATAATTTAATAGAATATCTGGATTTACTCTATTCCTCAGTGTGTTCCTTATATCAATCTCATTGCAGCTGTGCATTAGAATATGAGGCTTGAGGTTGATTCGAGCTAAAGACTTGAACTCGAATCTGGTTTGAGTCAAAAGCTTGTAAGTTTGATATCAACTCGAGTTCCATTATGATTCAAATGTTTTATTAAAATAAGAAATAATTATTTTATTTGACATATAAAAAATTAAGAATTATAAAACTATTTATTATTATAAACATAAAAAATAAAAATATTATATATGTATAATATTTTTTTTATTTTTTATATATATAATATGTATGTATGTAAAAATTCAATTAAGCTTGTGAATTTTATGAGCCAAATTTCATTGGGTTTAAGCTCGGCTCAAACCTCAATTTAAACCGATACAGATCAAACTTTTCATAAGTCAAAATCGAATAACTCATAAAAAATTCCGCTCATGACCACCCCTAAAGAAATATCCCCAATGTACGGCTGCAATAATAAGATCGATGCGAGGAGCAAATCCAGCTTCAATTTATTGTTTCAGTATGGCAGTGGGTACTAAAGATAGTATAGAGAAGTCATGGTAGTTTGGCTAGGCAGCAACCCCAGTCCCGATAAAGTGTGCGTATTCATTTTTAACCCTAAACTGTTTAATTGGTGGGGGCCCATGACGAGTTGGATATTGGTTTAACTGGACAAACCAGATGAGTTGCAGCAATGATTCCTTTTTAATTTGAATGGCTGAAAAGCAAGGATTGTAGTGTAGAGAAACATGTTCAGTCATAAAATTCTTAGATTTTATGAGCTGCTCCATTGATTCTCCCCATCACATCCAGTGCCTCGTGATAGTATGCATATATACTGATTACATAATACCAGTTGCTTTTAGCTCTATATCTAGTAACTAAGAATTAATACATACAAGGGCATAATCACATGGGCGATGAATACAGCCTTTTTCTGCACATGGGGCGATTATTAAGATATTTTCGCTCACTCACTTAGACATGAAATATCGATCCTCAGTCTGGTATTACATCTACAATCAGTTAGGGGGTTGGCAAAATCACTGTGACTGATGATTCAATTCTTGTCGACAAGAACAAGAATTGATGCATTGAATGAAATATGTGGTTGGGATGGGCTGTTTTTAATCCATCATTGATCGAGCCAATTCGGAGTGTTTTTGCCTTTTGTTTTTATTTTTTCTGTTTAGGAGTACAAGTTGGATACCTGATTTGAAAACTTTAAGTTGTGTTAGACTCAGGCTTTTGGGCTGGGTTCAACCTCTGATTCATTGTTTACAAAGACATTATTGATGAGTCAATGACCCATCAACCCGAACAGTAAAACTGTTCACCTTTCTGATCCTTTTAATGAATCAGAATTGCCTAGTTTTTCATTTTGCTTTGAAATTTTTGATAATAATCACATCAGGGAAAATCTATGAATTTTGATGAATACCATCTGATCGGTCACCTCTTTTATGATATCTTTTGATTAGCTGTAAAATTTTCCGGTATTATAGTCGGATTTATTGAGTTAAACGGTTAAACCAGTAATCCATAATGAAAGCAGTTCAACCTTTGGGGCAGATTTTGAAACACTGGTTGGTTGAGATTATCTTACTTTTACCATTTGAATAGTTTTAACATGTGATTGTCATGATAGATTTTGACCTTATAAATATAGGTAAAGTTGGTCGAGTGTATGAATTTGAGTAATTTTGCGCAAAGATGAGTGTGGATTTCACCAAATCATCATCCATAGAAAAATGGTAACCGATCAATGGTTGAGGTGCTTTATTTCAATGGGAGAATCTGGACGGTTTTTTCCTTTTTATGCAACACTTTATAAATTGAAATTGTTGCAGATGTGACGAGGAACGACGATTTGTTGAGATAATAAATAAGGGACAGGAAGAAGGTAGCATGAGATGTGTTGAAAGTAGAAGAAGCCTATAGTTTGTCAATTATAGCAGTTGGAGATAAAAGAAAATGAAAACATTTGTGGACGAAATGGAAGGTCTTACTTCATCCGCATGGCGCATTTTAGAAACTTGCTGTGATCATCACAGTAGTCTTTAGAAACTTTACTGTCATGCACTGTTTAGCCTCAGATGTGAGCAAGTTCTGAATCAATCCAATCAAGGGCGGTGCCAGCATTAAGAAGGAATAGTTCTTTCATTAGGCATGCTCAGCCCTATCAATCCATCCCATCAGAATAGGGTGACATGGGTCCACTGCCATTGAAGACATTCAGTCATGGCTTTCAATGTTTTCTTTCCTGCTTCACTCGTCTGTCATTGAAGGGATTCGTCGATTGTAATTGATGAATTTAAACCTGGTTGACTGTTGTTTTATTGGTTTACATGTATATTTTTATATTTAATAAGATATATTTATCATCAAAATGAATTAATATTACATACACACCATAGATGAAATATTGCTTGTGACTAATGATCAACAAAGTTATTTGGCACCACTCAAATAAGGGGCTCGGATCTTTACCCACAGGGCATTATAGTTGCGTATTAGGAATATCTCTCAGTGAAATGTTCTCAATTAAGGATGAAAAAGAATTGAGCTTTTGATGAGCTATTCAAGTTTGAATTAATTTTAAATTGAGCTTGAGCTTCATATATAGGCTTGTTTGTTAATTGAGTTGAGTTCAAGTTCAATAAAACTTGGCTCGTAAGTTTAATCGAACTTAATATAAAATAAATAATCTTTATTATATATATATATATATATAAATATTTTTACTTTTATAATTTTTTATTTTTTGTATATAAAATAAAAATAAATTATATATATTTAATTTTTTTTTGTAGGAAGTTTAGTTCACAGTTAAACTTGAACTTGCGAGCTTTTGAGTCCGAGCTTAAAAATATCTAGCTCGAATCGAAGTTGAATCTGACATTATTGTGATGAACCTAACTCAAATAACCAATTGGGCTCGACTCAAATCCACCCCCACGACGTGTTCTGTACGTAAAGATATAGGATTAAAATCTCAAGCTTGAATTTGTTGGTCCTACTGTTACAACATATAGGCGGCTGTATAACCAACCGATCACAAATAAAGATACCACTACCAGTGTTTACTATACATCGGTGTGAGTCTGTAGGCTCTCACCAGCATGGCCGGTGGGTCCAAATCCCCTGAAATGTGTAGATTGTGATAAAAGAAATGGTAAATGAAATATATTCCCCAATTTAAGGGTTCCCATTCATTATTTGGATGAGGTGTATATAGTGGTTTAGATGACTGGTTTCCATCTCGTTTGCAGTGTGCCCAGGTGCAAACATGTCATTGTCAAGTCCAGACCAGGCTTCAAGAATCAAGATTGGATTGGGTTTGCCTAATTATTGCATCTTTCCCCACCTAAATCGAGTTTGGTCGGATGGTTGAACCGAAATGGTTAAACCGGAACAACTCGCCAGTGATCAGCTGCTTCTGAGTTATAGTAATTGTTCTCTTCTCTTCACCAAAACAAAAGTCCTGGTAATTGTTGCGGTGTGTTAGAGCCACTCATCTAGAATTATCTGGGCGGAGAGAGAGAGAGAATCTAATGGGAGACGGGGCCATGGATAAATAAGATGATTGGGATGTGACAAACATCACGCAGGGTTGGGGTGTGGGGTCGTCTCATCTGATACGTGAGTTTCACTTGCTAGTTACTACCCAATAAGGTGCTCATGGCGCACATTAGCAAGTACCATTTTAACGCTTTCACTGTTTTTTACTTATACCTTTTTACCGTTTTACGTCATTGCCATTTTAGAATCCACGGAAATAAAAAGGGGTCGGCACCCTCTGCACTCTGCACTGCAGAGTTCAAAATGTCCAAGCACTGAAAAAGGCCCACCTTGAGCGAGAGCGGACCGTTGCTACTCGGGTTGCACTGCAGCCAAACAAGTTGATTGGTGTAAAATTGCAAAAAGGAAAAAGAAAGAAGAGAAAACCTCTCTCTCTCTCTCTCTCGTTGTGTGGAGTGGAGCCCATAGCTGCCCCTCTGCTTTGCTGGCTTTGAGCTCTCCCTTGTTGGTTTTTATGGGATTGTCTGCTGAGAGTTTCAGTTCGCCCAATCGGCACTTCGGCTGATTGAAAACTCATTTTTCCTTGTTTTTTTCTTCTCTTGTTCAATCTTCTCCACTGCCTACTCCTTCATCCACAAGAGGGAGAGATAAAAAAGAGAGAGCGAGAAAAGAAAACGAAAGGGAGAGGCCTCATCTATTTCTATCTGATTTGATGGATCTACAGATCTAACGCTCTCGGAATCACATGGACTGCTCTCTCTTTTCAGATCTCCATCGTCTCCAGCTGTAGAACCCAGTAACTGTCCTGGAACAAGAAAGGAGAAAAGCCTAATAATAAGGTCCGTTTCTTCTTATTGTACTGCTTCTTTTTTTTGGGAAAATGTGTAATTTTCCGGATTAAGGGTTTTCTTTTTCGGCTTTCTTGATTTTGCGGTTTTTCTCAAAGTGTGAAAATTGAGATGGGTTTTTGATTCGAGTATTAAGACCTTGTCGATTTGGAAAGGTGTATCTTGACTTCTTGTTATTCCACAGCTGCTTGCTGTTTTTTTTTTATAGTTATATATATATATATATATATATATTTCAATTTCTGCGGTTATTTAGATTTTATTTGTCTTAGTTCTTCTGTTTCGAAGAGAAACATATGTGGGTTTAAGATTCCAGACCTTTTTCGCTTTGTATTAGCGAGAGGTTTAACTGAAGCAAACCAAGAAAGGCAGGTTTTACCTTTTCCTTTCTCCCCTCAATTACTTTCGGCTTCTTCAATTTGTGTTGGTTTTGTTTTAATTCTGTGGCTTTTCTTTTGATTTATGCTTGTGGTTGTGCTTCCTTGTGCAGTGGAGGAGAAGGCAGGTGGCTTTCTTTATCTAGTGGGGTTTGGATTCGTGTTACATATTTCGTAGATGTGGAGAAATTGGAGGCTGGTTTGGATGAGATGAGGTATGTTATCGGGGTTGATGAACCTTCTGAGGGCCTGTTGGCGGCCATCGTCGGATCGTTATGTCCATACGGGCTCGGATGCTGTGGGTCGACAAGATGGGCTTCTATGGTATAAAGACACTGGGCAGCACTTGAATGGCGAGTTCTCCATGGCCGTGGTTCAGGCCAACAATTTGCTTGAGGATCAAAGTCAGATTGAGTCGGGCCCTTTGAGCTCACTCGAGTCCGGGCCATACGGGACTTTTGTCGGTGTATACGATGGGCATGGTGGCCCTGAGACGTCACGCTACATCAACGATCACCTCTTTCATCATCTAAAGCGTAAGATACCCGGCTCCATTGGAACATCAGACAACAGGCTGACTTTTCATACATGCAAATGGATTCTGTTGCGTTTCTGTTCAGTGGTTTGAACTTGGAGATCACTTGGTTATTTTCTAACGCTTCCTTTTGAATTAATGATTGTTTTTAGGGTTCACTTCCGAGCAACAGTCCATGTCAGTAGATGTAATACGAAAGGCATTTCAGGCAACAGAAGAAGGTTTCCTCTCTGTCGTTACTAAACAGTGGCCAATGAAACCCCAGATTGCAGCTGTTGGATCTTGCTGCCTGGTCGGTGTGATATGTGGAGGGACCCTATATGTTGCCAACCTTGGAGACTCTCGTGTTGTTCTAGGGAGGCTTGTCAAGGCAACTGGGGAGGTGCTCTCTGTCCAGCTTTCAGCGGAGCACAATGCGGGCATAGAGTCTGTGAGACAGGAATTGCATTCTTTGCACCCGGATGACTCACGGATTGTAGTTTTGAAGCACAATGTATGGCGTGTAAAGGGCCTCATACAGGTAAGTTAACCAGTCACCTTTTTAAAATTATTCCCAGATCTCATTAATCTGTTTAACCTTTTCTTTGGGTAGAAAGTAAATACCGAAAACTTTATTAGAAATGATCAATGAAGATGCAAGAGGAGTTTGTATTCAAGGAGAGAATAGCCATGGCAAAAAAAAAGGTTAATCTGTTCAACCTTTTCTTTAGATAAAAGTAAATAATGAAATTACAAATTAGAAATGAAAGGAACAGAGAAAGATGTAGGAGAAAGCCTAGAATCCAAGTAGGGAATGGACATGCCAAGAACATACCAAACCCTGGCCAACGGTCAGAAAAAAAGATCATATCCACCTTTAAACGTATCTGTAGTATCACTCCTGAGCATTAGAATCAACCCAGCCCAACCTTTCCAAGGATATGAGATGCCAAATCTAGAACAAGCCAAGGTATAAAGTGAAGAAGGAAGACTCCATGGGCAGCTAGATGAGCAATACTGGACAATAATAATCCTTGAATCACCTTCAAGCAATACCCCATCAGAACTCAGAGAATGGGATCCCTTGAGGCTATGCACTGAAGGGATTTTAACTTTATTTGCTCCCTTTAAGTAGGCGTCTGATACATGAATGATTGGAACCCTTTTCCCCTTGTCGTTACCTAGGCACTTACTAATAGGGCTGTTGCCTGTATTGTGTATTTAAAGTTCTGGTATAAATTCTTGTCCAACACCTTGTTTACCCTCGTTTGTCACTAGAAAATTGAAATGCCTGTGAAACCATACCAGTGAGCAACCATGAAAATTGATCTCTGATATTATCTTGGGAACAGGTGATGATTTCTTAAATAGCATTGTGGGTGGACCAATGAAGTATGTGATATATACTATATTTGTGTGTGTGCGTGTGCATATATATGTGATATATATTATATTTTTTTGATAAGTATGTGATATATACTATATTTGTGAACATTAATGATTAAACACCTGGTCTACAATTTCAGCAACCACATATTGCTGGTACCACAATTTCAGCATGGGTTTTCCACATACGTGTGACTGTTTTGACAGAATGCTGTCAAGCTTGGAAAATAGTGCAGGAGTTTATGAAAGATCTTACACAATTTGGAGAATTGGGGGGTGGGTGGGAGGGGTGAGGTTGATAGGTGGATTTCTGCATCCAATCTACCACTCTTTTTAATTGAATTACTATGGTCTATCTTATACTGAGAACTATGCTCTCACATCGAATAACATTTTAGAAATATGCATTCAGTGATGTTCCCACCAGGGCTAGCAGATTCAAGTTTTTATATTTAAATCTGCAATGAGAATGTAATATATATGTATTTTAAGTCCTAATCAAATTGTTCATGTCTATCAAGGATTCAAAGTGGCTCCAACAAATCAAAGGAAACAACTTTTTCTTTTCCCTGTGCTCAAATTTACTAGGAGTTGTTTGGCTTATAAGCAAGTTGTTGAAGGACATCCTAGTAATGACATAAAATGGGTACACAAGTAAAAGTTAGACAACTGATGCTTATCCCTATCATAATTAGTTAAGCATGTAGGATCTCCTTCAATGGTAAGTGTCAAGTGAGAAAAGTAATTTGACATTTGATCTAGCCTAGGATTGGTTTTCGTTGGGGATTTTGTACAGTTACTTGCCAATTTGTTTTGGATCTCTTTTGTTTTAATTGTTAACAGGGGCCATTACTTGGTGTAATTGTAAAATCTTTGGGTTGTCAAGAGTAAGAACGCAGGTTCAAGTCTTGAGAGTGGTCACTTCGTGTGAAAAAAATGCCAAAGGTAGGATCATATCCTATCTAACCCCTCCCAGGACCCCAGATAGCTGGGAGCCTGGCACCAACATTGGGTAATGGCCTTTTTTATTGCTAACAGTAGTAAAGGAATTTTTTTCCTTGGAAGAAATCCTCATGACTGGGAGATGGCTTGGTGAACCATGTATTTTTCAACTACAAATTCTCAGTGAGCTTCTGGACCTGGGTGAGAGGAATATTTGGGCTGCAGAATGTTGTCTGGAATCAATTGAAGCCCCTTTTTCTGTCATTTAGGGTATTTGGTCAAAAGAAATGCTAAGATATTTGAAAGCAAAATACAGTCAGAAGATTTGGTTGTTAGGAAGATACAAGGCATGATGTTTTCATGTCTTGGAGTTCATAAACTGTTTAGGAGAATACTCTGTACTTCTTTTCCCCTGAAGGAGACTCTTTTTGTGCAATTGGCACTAATCAAATGCAATTTACTTGACTTTTTGTATATTCATATTGTATGGTCTCTTGGTGTACATGGGTTCTTTCATTAGTCATTACAAATCCATACTATACCTTCTTCAAAAAAAAAAAAAAAAAATGCAAGTTATGTTGTTACTGGCTTAGGTGGCCCACTATTGACCGTGTAGGTGTTACTGTCCAACTTTAAGATGTCCTTTTTTGAAGTTGTGACATGGCAATGATTAAGGCTGTCAACAGACTCTGCCTATTGGATAGGATGCAGATTTGGCCTCATCCAATCCAATAAAAATCCAAGTCCAATTATTTGTAATGCATATATATTATAATATTTCATATTATATACATTTCATGTGTAAGTTCAAAATAATTATTTTTTTTATTTTTTATTTTAATGACAAGTGCAGTCATATTAAACCTGAATCTGAATTGAGTCCAATATTTTGGATTGGATTTAGATTTGGAAATTCAATAATCAGATTGGATTCAAATGTAGCTGAATCTGATCTATATTCAACCTGATTAGAGACCTAGTATTGATGGTTGTTTCTTAAGACCCACAACATACTAGAGATGGGACTATGGAATGTTAAGTAATGAAGTGGCAGAGGGCTAATATTTTTTTTAGCTGAGTTAGGGACATCTGGACGTGTAGTTTTCCAGTCTATTCCCTATCTCTTTACTGCTTATCTTTTTCTGTTTATTTTTGGTATTACATATTACACATGACAGGAGGATCAAGGGGATTGGGACAGAACAGGGTGCATGTGAGGTCCACTGACCTTTTCACAGAGAGCCTACAGTCATGTAGGCCTGCGCCTCCATATTTGGAGAGATGCCAATTGACCATCTCAGCTACTGGGTCATCAGCATCTTTTTCTCTTTATTGTATCTTTGACCAGAACTTTTTTGAGAGCTAGGCTGTACTTTGAACTGAGAATATTATCTTGTTGTCTAAACAAATCTTGGAGACATAATCTCTGGGTTATTCTGTACTTCAAAATCACTGACTTGATCTTAAACCATTTAAATGCCCATAAACTAGACTATGTATTCTTATTTCCAGCTTCATGTGTAGTTACATAGATACTGCCTAATGTATCCAGTTATCTTCATTGAACTTGTGCTCGAATTGCAATGTTTTCTCCTGATTTTCCTTGTTCTAGGTCGTAATCATTGCTTTGATTATATTATTACAAAGTGTGGTTTGTCAATCTTACAGTTTGATGTATTATTTATGGAGAGTTTTCCTATGTCTTTGACCATATTCGTATTAACTTGAGCTTTGTAGAAGTTTGTAATTTGCTAAGGTTGCCTTGTCAAATCGTGCTGACAATAAAAAATGAATTTAGCCTTAAGTAGATGTTTTGGATAGTTTGTGTCTTTGTGAGGCTTATGAGGGAAAGAAGCAGTAGAACTATCTCAATTGTGTGCGAAGATGTTGAAATTGCCTTGAAAAAGGTTACATTTTGCCAAGTTATTCTGATGATAGAACAAATGCACTGATTTAGGTTATCAAAGAAAAAAGAACAAATACATTGGAAAGATAAATTACTGGGATGGATGAAGTTGAACAACTTGGACATGGGCATATGGCAATGGTAGATCTTGATATGGCATGGTGCCTTGTATCCTTAACCGTCTGGCATGTCAATCTTTAGAAATCACGTCAAAGTTGGCATGCTCACAAGTGTCAATTTACACATAATTTAAAAGTGCACTGGAAATATTTTAACTAAATTCCATTCTTAATAGATGAGTCCATGTGTCCATAAGATTCAATTACATAAATGATTTAAAAATAAGTAAAAATATGTCCATAATCATATCTGTCCGACATTCCAATATTTAGAAATCATGGTGCAGTTAATGTAGCAGTAAAACTCGAATGATGTAAAAAAAGCAAAGGCATTACCCAATACTGGTTCCAACTATCCAGGGTCTTGGGAGTTGGGAAGTGTTCTACTAGATAGAAGACTTTGCATTTTAGCATGAATTGGTCACTTTCAGGCTCAAATCTGCATTCTCACACTAGTCAACCTGAGATTTCACCATCACCATGCAATGTCCCCAATTAAAAAGTACAGTGAAATATGTTAGACAGTATAGAGCACTGGCATGAGGTACCCACAATTGGATACCTCACTCAGATAGGTAATGAGATAGGTGTAGACAGTGTAGCTGGGTAGAGATGTTATGTTATTGGGTGCTTCTGTGCCTGAATAATGTAGTCCTAGGATCTGGTTTTTGGCTTTGTTTATGCATCTTTGATAAGTTGTTTTTCCTTGAAAGAGTTGTTGGTAAACTAGAATATTGCAATTTTCTCATCTTTTGCATTAACAAGTCTCTTTGAGCTGGTTATTCATTAAAATAAAATTGTGGAAATGAAAGAAAACTTGGAATGAAAGTGCTGACAGGTTATTGAAAGAGTTGGGGGCAATATTTTGGTGTCCCATTACCAATCAAAAAATATTTTGGTGGTGCATTTTGGGGACAGAGATTTTGAACAATTCTTTCTGGTTCAGAAATTTGCCAATAGATAGGAGGTTCAACGGTTCATTTCCACACAATAAGAGGCCAGAACTTTGATTTCTAATATGAGCATCAACAAACACATCTGAAGATTCTTTTAGTAAGGGAAACAGCCAATAGGGAAGATGCATTCTGGGAATCTTCTATGGGGGGCTGACATTTGTAAACTTTATTTTTTTACTATCTTAGGCTTCTGGTAAGCCTATTTTTAATAAAGATAATGGATTTAAGGTTAATAAATTGGGATGCCACTGATAAGTATGAATTTCATAACCTATGTAACTGGCAATTAGGGCTGGCGCTTCCAAATGTTGCTGCTTAGAATGTCTATTTTCATTTTTACTAGATTTAATTGAGGTTTTTGTAGATACTGAAAACTTATTTAGAATTAAGGTTAATATTTCATTTCTGTTTCCTTTCGGTAGTGTAACAGGATTTATGACCTTCAAATGATTTCTCTCTGATGTTTTTTCCCATCTGGCAGGTTTCTAGATCTATTGGCGATGTGTACTTGAAGAAGGCTGAGTTCAATAGGGAACCTCTGTATTCTAAGTTTCGCTTGCGTGAACCCTTCAGGAGACCAATACTGAGCTCCGAACCATCAATTTCAGTGCATCAATTGCAGCCACATGATCAATTTCTTATATTTGCATCTGATGGTCTATGGGAGCACCTTAGCAATCAAGAAGCAGTCAATATTGTTCAAAATCATCCACGCAGTGTAAGTGTTATCTGGACAGACCCTTACCTGGGAATCATTATTTCTATAACCTAAGAGATTAATTTCCATCATCTAGTAGATTGTCTGTAAAATGTACCTTGACATCAGTGGAATTAGTCATTTTAACATGAAATAAAATCTAGAATCCTGGGTACCTGGATCTGGATGATGGATCAGATAGCCTTATGTGTACCTTGACGTCAGTGGAATTAGCCATTTTAGCATGAAATAAAATCCAGAATCCTGGGCACCTCGATGATGTATCTTGTTTAAATTTTCATTTTTGCTAATAACGTAAGAGATTTGTTTGAAAATTTGCTCACATTAGTTTGGAACAACATTATAGTAACCAATAAAAAACGTTTTGGGGGCAACCTTTTAATTAGCCACTGGAGTTGACGACTTATATTTAAGGGAAAATAGAAACTAATGCTTTTGTTGTGGGTGGACCTATTATTAAAGGGTTTGTCTATTCACTGTCCTCTTGGGTGTATTGAGCTTTTTTACTGCTGCATGTTTTTTTACTAGTCCACTCCACCTGATTCCTGTCTAGGTGTCTTTTATAACATGTCACACATGTGCCCAACTGACTTCAAGTCTCTGTACTGTATAAATTAAAATGGACCACCCCCTTCGGTTCGGTGCTATAGCCAGGAAAATGTAACAATATATTTTTGCCTGGTTAGGTGGAAATACATGATCTGAGATTTATTCTTACTGGTATAAAAGTTCTTATGCTCATGCAGGGAAGTGCTCGGAGGCTTGTGAAAGCTGCACTGCAGGAAGCAGCAAAGAAAAGAGAAATGAGATACTCAGACCTGAAGAAGATAGACCGTGGAGTTCGCCGGCATTTCCACGACGACATAACAGTCATCGTTGTTTTTCTCGACTCAAATCTTGTGAGCAGGGCAAGTACAGTCAAAGGTCCCACGCTGTCTGTGAGAGGGGGTGGGATCAACCTACCTGCAAACACTCTTGCCCCTTGTGCCACGCCTGTGGAACTTGGTACCACATGATGAAGCCATCTCTTTTATTCTCTTTGTTGTACTAATATGTGACCCTACTTGAATCCTCTGTGACTGTCAGGTAGCATTCAAGAGAGAGAAAGAGAGTAGGAGGCATTGAATTCTTTAGTGTACACTATAACATTTAACTGTGGGGACAGGTAAATGAATTTAGTTTCGGAGCTTCAAAAGAAAAAAAAGGTGGGGAAGGAAAGAATTTATTTCCTTGGAACAGATCCTCCTACTTGTCTTCTTTCGAATCTGGCTTCTGTAAATTGTGTGAAACATCTTCCTTGGCAATCGAAGTTCATCTTTTCCTTTTCCCCATCCCTTGGGCCTGTTTGTTACTGAAAGTCTATTCTGGTAGAAATTGAATTTATTTTGTTATAGCTCCGTGGATGATGTTCTACAGCAACCGTTGACGGAGTGTCATTGACGACAAATTATATGTGAACAGCTCAAAGCAATTTCTTCCTTTCTGTTTCTTCATTTTAATTTTTTCCCCTTGCAAGTTGTAGCTATCATAGATTGAATGACTTGGTACTTTGGTAGCCGGGTTTGGGTAATTCCATTATTCGGGACGATGGGGTTTGCGTACTGTGTTTTTTTTCTGTACCCAAGTCCCAAGTGATTCATATTTCATATTTCATACATCGGGTTGGGCATCCGAGACTAAAACCTGTTGGTGCCTTAGTGGGGAGCCCGAATCTGGAAGGGTCAGCGGGCCTGCCTCCTATGTCCTAGCCTAGGCTTGCCACTTTACTACGAGTTGCCAGAAGATCGTGACCGCTTGACTCTTATCCAGTCCGTTGGTGAAGCGCGTCAATCCAGATAGTATGTTGTTTATTCTGGAGTGGACAATGGACATACCTATTAAAGGCTCCTATTCTATGCAACAACAGGTGACATATCGATTAACTAAACATGAGAAAACCCTCAGGTGAGAAGATGATAGATAAAACCAACCTTACCTTACCGGCTCGGAAAATGGAAACTTGTTTTCTCCTATACTAATCCTAACTTTCTTGAGGTGAGAATGAGGAACCCAGATTTCCTACCCATTCTCTATGCCGTTTGGAGAAAGAGATGGTACGAGTTTTTGAGCGAATGTTAGACAGGCACGGGCAGGGTTTTCAGTTTTCACTTGTTTCCTCATCAATTCGAATAACCTCTTCTTCCTCAAAAATATTTATCCATGGGCTAGGGTGGAGATAGAGAGATAACATGTTGGTTTACTTTGCGAAATTAACTGAAAGAACTGCTTTTGCTTTCTGGAGTTGAAATCAATACAGCAAAAACTAAAAAGCGCATATGCGCCCTGTCTGTTAAAGCTGATTATGTCCTGCTTAATCTTCCAAATGGCACTCATTCCACCACGGCAGCTCCTGCCGAACAGAAAGCACTCGTTGAACGTGGGCCATTGGAGTCACCGTCCTTCAAGTTTCTGCCTCAGGCCCAACTGCCCAAGAATGACATGGTGCTGCCAGCACAAAATTATAGTAACTTCAACTTTGGCAAGAAGATAGAATAGATAGAAGAAACAAATTTAAAGCGAATAAATTGTTTCTCTAACTAAATATGGTTTTCTTCCCTCGATAAATTCTTAAAATCTCTCTACCCATTTATTATTAGGGTCCGTTTGGTTTGCAATCTAAATCTTTCAAAATTGGAATCAGAATGGTCCAATCCCATAATTTGTTTGGTTCATAAAGGAATGAGAATGAGAATTAGAATCAGCAGGAATGAGATTTTATTCCTAAGGGATAGGGCAGGGAATTTCCATTCCCTCAATTTGAGGAATCCCATTCCAGCAGGAATGATGATTCATATTCCGGACCAGTTGCCTGACTATCAGGTACCTATTGACAATTTATGATGTATTTTTATTTCAATAGTACAGGGGTGCATTTGGGCAGCCCAACCCTGAGTTTGGATTGACCCAGACCACAAGTTTAAATGTGTTGGGTTTGGATGTTCAGCCTTCGGGCTGGACTTGAACCCAAAACCTTGGGCTTTCTTATTTTTCAGAAGGGGCCCAATCTTAGGGTCCATTTTGTTTGCAGTCAGAATTGGAATCGGAATTATCTATTCCCATAGTTTGCTTGATTCAAACTGGAATTGGAATCAGCTGGAATGAAATTTCATTCCCAAAGTGAGAGGGAATGGCCATTCCCTCAAACGGAGGAATTTCATTCCACCGGGAATGAGAATGGGATTCCAATTCTGCTCAAGTAAACAGTTAGATTCTGATTCCAATTCAGATCCCTGTTCCCATAAACCAAATGGGACCTTAGTCTTTGGGTAGCACATGCCCAATTCAAGCTTTGCCCCACCATTTACATAAATACACATGTACATTGCACTTTTGGTTCGAGAAGCACAATTGTATAGAGGCACAAAACATGGTTTGTTAATGAGACAAAACAACACAAAGTTGGCGTAATACGGCAAAAGTAATTCGTTTTTCTCCTTCAAAGCAACTTGTTTTTTTTTTCTTGACAAATAATGTTGAAAACTGAAAAGAGTTGCTTTTTTTTTGGGAAGTAAAAACTAAAAAGAGTCTTTATGCTATGTGAAAGGTGCTACTATGCGAACCCCAAAATTCTCTTATCATTTTACACGGTACATACAGTATAAAAAGCGTTTTTCAATGGCTTTGGCCAAAAGACTTCTCAGTCAAGAGCGTTTGGGTGCTCTTTAGTCTTTACAATTGTTAGATACATTGTTTCTCAGCCACTCAGGAGTCAGGACATAAGATTCTTCTTAGCACCAAATCTGGAACTGGAGTTTTGGGCCTTATTTTGAAGGGCCTGGATCCACGGGCCTTTGTATGTTCATAATTCATAATTCATACATACAGCCCAAAATGTTAATACAAGCAAAGCGATGATTGTTTTGGTGAGTGCGACAAGCATCGACAACAAACCCATTTCCACCTGATGTCCCTTTAATGCTTTCTGCGACATGTTTGCTGTAATTGAGACTCCGTTGCGTAACAGGTAACTGATATTAATCCCTTCTAAATTCTAATGCTCTACTCTATTAATCCACGAGCAAATTAGGGTTTAGGACACTAAACTGGGCGAATAAGTGCGCGAGGTAGGAGGGAGAGAGAGATTGGTGGCGAGGGATTTACGAGGGGGAAAGACTGTTTTTTCTTATGTGCCAGAGCATATTCACGCCACCCATAAAGACCCATTCCTCTAAAACTGTTCCTTTATTTACTTGTTTATTCTTAAAAGGCACAAGTTTCAATATCCACGAAAGGTTCCTCCTTTCTTCCATCAAGCCCCTTGCTGCTCCTTTGCGCCTGGCCTGAGAGAACACTAACAGAGTAACAGTAACAGCAACAAAGCAGAAGCAAGCAAAAGAAGATGACACTCACATGTCTACTTTGGTTCAAAATGCTTTTTCCACACCAACTAATCTGTTGTACTAAACAATCAATTGATTTGAACGACTAACAACATACCCATCCTCCCATCCAGAGTCTCTCACATATGCTCATACCCAACAAAATTTACCTTTGCTAGTCTAGTCTACCGTCCAGGTCTGCACAGTTCTGTCAATTGGTTGCAGCATGAACTTGGGTCTAGGTCTAGGGTTACTTGACCTGTATGGTGGCCTAGACCACCATTAAGCTAATTTGGCTGGCAAGTACAAACACATGCAGTTAGATGGTTGAACCCTGATGTCTGAACACTCTTGAGTCTGAATAAAGGTTCAACTGGCATTTCCTTAAAAAGTATTTTTGAAATTGGTATTTCCCTAATGGGATCCGTAAAACTATAAGATCTTGATCCTCTCTGCTTCTATAGAGAAGATCAAGATTCAGTTGCCGCAGACTCGCATCTGTTTAGCAAAGAGATCTCTTGAGTTAATGGCGCTTCTCTGCCGGACTACTCCACATGCATGCCAAATGTTTGAAGCGGGTGCAGAGAGAGAGAGAGAGAGAGAGAGAAGGGCTTCATACTCTAGAGGCAGGTTTATATGCATTTGCAATAGAATATTTGTTAGGGCCACAGCTCCTCCATGACTTCATCACCGTTTATTGGTTGAAAATATGCATTGAGCACCGTGTTTCCAACCAACTGATGGTGGTTGATAAAAGGCAACACAGGCGTTCCAGAGTTGCAGCAAGTAGCCAACACTAACCTCCCTCGCAGAGTCGCAGAAGATAATGGTTAAGCAATACCGGGATGTACCGCATACGTACGTATGTATTATTTACAGAAAAGAAAAAAAAAATTACAGTCTTTGTCTGGAAAACCCCCAGTCATGCACCCCCCACACCAAAAATCCACCAAATCCTTACCCTTATCTTGCTGTCCTTCAGAGATTCTTTGAAGGTCTCCAGCCAAGTATCTGATTTGATGTTTACAAGGGCTAGGGATTGCTTCTTGCATAGAAAGCACATTTCCTCAATGTTAGGGATGAAATTGTCCTTTCAGAAAGAGGAAAGGATAATTATGTCTTTTTGTCCCCAGAGCCCCACTAAACCCACATTTCACACAAATCAGTGAAATAACAAACAGACCAACAAAACCACTGTCCCGGTTATTTTATAACTTTTTATCATTATTGTCATTAATTATTAATTGTCACTACTTAGAAATACAAAACACTAAAAACAAAGACTACCCTCTCTCTCTCTCAGAGTCTCTCTGACTCTAACCTTCTTACCACCTTTGACTCCTCTTTTCTCTCACTGTCCCCGTGGTCCCCCAGACCAAAACCCTCTCTCCCTCTCTCTCTAAAATAGCTGCCAAATTTAGCAGAACCTCCATTAGATAGCAGAAATGCATTGCTCCAATACATCAAATAGAAGAAAATGGTTTGCCTTTCTAATCTTCGGATACCATAGCCAGGTGGTTCATTGGCTAGAGATTAGTGAAGATGGAAGCAGGACTTGACCCCAGACTTTATTACCTGGATTCTGCCTTTTCTCTTACTCCCAGCTGCTCCCTTCCTACAAAACCTCTCTGCTATCCAACATCACCATTCTTTCAACATAAGAAGTAGAACCAGAGAAGAGCAAAAGAAGACAAAGCTATTTTCTATATATGAAGACTGTTCTCTCATTATCGGGCCTCTTCTGAAACCATTTCTCCCAAACTACGATCTTCCTTCCCCCTCCATCTGCCAAAACTGGAACTATCCAGTCCTCCACTTGTTTTTCTCATCAAGCCAGACATCCCTGTCTATTTTACCGAGAAATGAGATGTCTTGACCTGAAAGTACCTGCGTTTCTTTCTGTGTCTGAAACCTCTCTTAAGACCAATACAACCTCCACGGCAGTAGAAACCCAACTCTGTTTTATTAAGCAAGCAGATGGGTTTCTCTAAAAGAACCATGCTGGCTGCTTTATCCTAAAGCTAGCACCCAGCACTGCCATTTTAGCAAAACCCACTTTTAATTTAGCAACAGAAGAATGGGTTGTGTAGCCTCTAAGCTAGAGGGGGAAGAAGAAGTAGTCACCCTCTGTAGAGAAAGGAAACGCCTCCTGAAATCAGCGGTGGAGCGCCGCTACACCCTCGCCGATGCGCATTGCAGATACCTTCACTCTCTCTACGCCGTTGCAGCGGCGATAAGGCTTTTTGTTGCTCGTCATTCCTCTCCACCTTCGCCGTTCCTCATCACCTTCCCTCCCCCTTGTCCTTCCTCACCCTCTACCGCCACCCATAACGTAATCTCCAACCCCATGTTTCTCCAGCAGGCACCATCAGAATCAACAGAAGAAGCCGCTGCCTGTCAGTCATCGGATTCTTCCAGTTGTTCAGACTCTTCGGAGACGAGGAGGGAGGAGGAAGCGGGAAGAGAAGAACAAGAAGAAGAACATGAGGTTTGCCAGTATTTTTACTCAGAAATGCCCCCACCACCGTCCCCACAGAGGGATTTCGGGTGGGACTTCTTTAATCCGTTCGACGGAGTGAGAGCAGAGGTGATTGGTGGATTCAGTCGGAGCTCCGATGAAGACTTGAAGGTGGTGAGGGAGGAGGAAGGGATACCAGAGCTGGAAGAAGACGAGGAAAGAGAAAGAGGAGAGCAGAATGCAGTGATGGTTGCGGAAGATGAGAAACATGAAGAAAGTGGAGCAGAGGTTGTAGATGTAGTGGGCAGTGCTAATTTGAACGGTGGAGAGCAGAAGGGGCTCACTGTGATCGATACCCCTGAAAGGGGTAGGGAATTATTGGAAGCATTGAAGGATGTGGAGGACCACTTCATAAGGGCGTATGACTCTGGCAAGGATGTCTCCAGGATGCTGGAGGCCAATAGAGTTCATCTGCAATCTGGTCTTGAGGAGATTAAAGGTGGGTTCTTTGTACACAAGTGTTCATTTTTCTATGTTTCTCCTTAGATTCGTATGTGGGTCTACTTAATTTTTTTTTTTCTGCTGCAAATTTGCGGAGGAGTTTGTTTTATTTTTTTATTTATACTTTTTATTTAATTTTGTACCTTACAATAAAATCTGATTGATTGGGGATCCCGTGATTAAAACAAAGAGAAACTCAGCTTCTCCTTTTCAGCTATTTCTTTACTTTGTGGTGTCCTCCCAGGTAAAACCGTAAAAAGTTGCACATTCAGTTTACAGGGGTTCAACTTCCTCTATGTATTTTTTGTTATCTCTTATCTGGGTATTCCTCTCTGATTTCAGGGAAGCTTAATTTGTTAAACTAGATATATCTCTATGACTTATTCTACCATTACTTGCGTTGGTTCATATTTATCAATTTCTACGTAATGGTAAATCCAACTATGCCCGTAACTAACCTATTTATACCAATTAAATGCAGAGAACTCCACAAAAATCATCCAAGCCATAACGTGGCACAGGTCTACTTCGTCTCAATCTTCATCTTGTAAGAGTTTCCTCGCGTCCAGTTCCAAAGGTTCCTCCACATGGACAGAATTTAAGAACGACCTCTTTGATGATTATGGAGGAATGGAATCAGGGAGCCATTCACTGACGCTAGGAAGGTTATACGCTTGGGAAAAGAAGTTGTACGAAGAAGTTAAGGTAAACAAATTTCAATTACTTCTACATCCACTTCAACTTTCATGCTTTGCTTCTAGAGCCAATGCCATTCTTTTCCACCATTGGGTTTGTTGTCTGAAATCTGCTGTTATATTATTGAACCAAATCCCCTGTTAAATGTTCTTATTTACATGTTCATGTGCACAATACACAAACTCCGAATCATTTCTCCCTATTTAGTTTAGATTTTTTTGGTATTCCCCTTGTCCTTTTTAGAGTCTCGGTTTAACACTGGATCATGCTGTTCTCTATGAAAAAACCTTGAGATTTATGATTGAACTTTCCGGTAGGTCATTCTATATCATAATTTCATGGTGTTGCCATATAATTTTCAATGCTAGTATCCTTCAGTTACACTACCTAGAAATCTAGTTCAATGATTGGCCTGATTTTAGTCATTCAGCATGGAAGAGCTGTAGGATGCAACATTTTAAGTATGCAGTATGTTGCACGAGAAAATGGTTAGTTGACATGATTGGCTGTTTGAAATCTTCCAAAATTACACACCTGTTGGTCAGAAACAAATTTTGGCCGAGGGCATAATTAGGGGTGTCAAACTGTCAATGGACTGGCTTTGGGTTGGACCAAAGTATTTATTGGATTGGATAGGACCTGGTCCATTTGTAATGGGTTCATATTGGACTGGGTCGGATTGAACCAATATCTGGTCCATTGACATAAGATAAGACATAATGTCTAAGGCCATCCTGTCAAACCTTTGACATGAGATCCCTTCAGATATGCAATAACTCAGCAAATTTCTTTCTCTTATCAATAATAATTTAGTACTGCATCGAGACCTAATACCTCCTTTTACAATTTTTTTCCTGCCTTGTAGGCTGGAGACAGCACACGGAAACTTTATGAGCGAAAATGCTCACAACTGCGGAACCAGGATGGTAGGGGAGATGATGTTCGTTCATTGGACAAAACCAGAGCTACAGTAAAAGATTTATATACTAGAATTTTGATTGCCATTAAGAGTGCTGAGTCAATTTCAAACAGAATTCAGAAATTAAGAGATGAAGAACTGCAGCCACAGCTGGTTGAACTGCTACAAGGGTAAGGCATTAAACGGTACAGACTTGTTGCTTGCAAAACTTGTAACCCCCCCCCCCCCCCCTCTCCCCCTTGTTTGGTCTTATATGTAACCCCCACCTGGGCTTTTGCAGTTTAATGAAAACCTGGAAGATTATGTTGGAATCTCATGAAACCCAGAACCGCATAATGTTTGAAGTGAGATCCTTTACCTGCCCTGCTTATGGAAAGTTTTGCAATGATTCACATCGTCTTGCTACCCTTCAGCTCGAGGCTGAAATTCAGAATTGGCTTGAGTGTTTTTCTGGGTACATTACTGCACAAAGAGCCTATGTGGAAGCTCTAGATGGGTGGCTGTCCAAGTTTATTGTCCCTGAAGTTGAATTCTATTCCAGGGGCAGGTCTTCAATACCACCATATCGAGCTAGTGGACCTCCATTGCTCGTGATTTGTCATAGTTGGTTAAACTCCCTTGAGAAATTGCCCGATAAGACAGTAACATATGCCCTGAAGAGCTTTAGAAAAGACATTCGAGCTTTGTGGGTTCAGCAAGGGGAGGAGCAACAACAGAAGAGGAAGGTTGACAACCTTGCTAAAGAACTTGACCGGAGGGTTCTTGGATTCCAGAAGGTAGAGACCAGGATTCTCGAGTCCAAGCTTTCAGAACACAAAATTGAGCCAGACGTTCAGCAACGGATTGAGTACTTGGCAGAGAGGAGGAACCTATTAGATATGTTTAGGAAGAGACTGGAGATGGAGAAGTCAAAACACCATAATTGCATGCAGGAAACACAGCGGATCACGCTAAATGGGTTTCAGACTGGATTTTCTTCAGTTTTCGAGACACTTGCAGAATTCTCCAAGGCATCCCTAAAGATGTACGATGAGCTTGTGACATTCAGTGAAAAGGCAAATGGGAAGGGTGGGAACCCATCCTACATTGAAGGTTCTTCTCAAGTTGAAGTAAATGGTATGTAACGATGGGAATCAAGTTGTGAAATTGTATATTAGCTTTTGTCGAAGCAGCTCGCTGAGACATTTATTTATGACAGGCTCTAGGAAGTAGCCCTGTTTTGATTATTTTTTGTCAATAGACTCTGTTCCTGCTCACAGTTTTGTTTTATTAGATGTAACATCTTGATGTCTAGCATCCCTCTTGCTCAGAATAAGTGACAAGCTGTGTCAAAGGAATTAAAGTGAACGATCCCTATGTAAGACTTGGTTTGGTGTTGCAGCAGATGACTATGATGGCTAACAAGGGTAGTTTGACTGCAAGTCATCGATATTTCCCCTCGACTCTCTCCTCACTAGTTTTTGTTTAGGTATCGGCGTTTGGCTCTCAATCCCTCGAATCATACCCATCGTTAACAAAGGGGATGACTATTATGTGCATTTGTGAGCATTTTGCTTGCTCCAAAAGCAAGAGAATGGTATGCCAAGAGACTGAAATTTCAAATTTGTGGTACATAAACTTGCTTGTGATTGATTCTGCGAGTGGTTTAGAAATCAGGCGGAGCGTGTAGGGGAGGCTTGCTTGGTTTAGAAACTGGGCGTAACCCTCTCAGGGAGGCAATCAGTCTCTGCCTAAACCTAAAGCTGTGTTTGGTTTTGGTTTATATGGGCTTTCTTACCTTTCCCTTTTGCCATCTTTTTCCTTCAAACCAAACACAGGCTAAAATTCCTATGCTCTGAGCCCAGGAAAACGTTGTTGATTACCTATTTTTTATTACTATATATAATATAAATTGATTTTTTTGTCTTTTGTGACACTTGGAAAACGGACTTCTAGGTGGAAGCAACGAGAGACAAGTGGTAAAAGCAAACTGATAAAAAAAAAAAACATCTGGGAGGCAACTGGGCTTCACAGTTCACAGAGCAGCTCAGGTCAGGTCCAATCGTTGAGTTTCATTCACTACAGTTACAGTATGTATTGGTTTATCAACTAAATCCTTGAAAATGAAAATATCATGCATATACAAGAACAACGAATATGAATAACTTCCCAAGTGCCGGAGTGGATTTTAATCTACTTGAATTTGTCTCGTTTTCGCAAGTGTGGCCAGGTTTTAATTCATAACTTCCCGAGTTAATCCCACAAGTGATGTTTTTGTCTGGTTGTGTATGTATGCACCTACTTCTTGATCAGTCTCCTTAGCGTAATATAATAGGTCTTTCCTTCGTCAAACGATCGAATTGAAGATTCAATTTCTCGAATGGATCACAGCAAAAAAAGCTGTTTTTCCCGCCATGCAAGTCCAAAAGGTATCTGCTAAAATGAACAAAAATGACGTAATAGCTATAAATATTTGCCAGCATTTTATGAGCAAAATCTGTTAATGATGCAAGCCTTGTTGCATTTTTGTATTTCCCATGATAATCATACATGGTAAGAAAGAGCAACATTTATAGGATTGGGCCAAAGAATACACCGCCCGGCAGTTGCAATAATACTTACAAACATCAGAGTTTCAAGATAAGATGATTACTGCTCTAAAGACTATCTTAGGTACAAGGAGGTCAAAAGCTGTGAGAAAAGTATGAATTCGCTTACTACTACGGCAGGAGAATGTATGCCAAGAAATGGGACAATGTCTACCTGCAACCAGTATTCAACTGCTGAGCCCACGGCTGCACCAATGACAAGGCCCCCAATAGTTATTGCAGTGGCCTTCCCTGTAAAAGACATGGTGAAATACCTCTCAGATACATTCATCCAGGCTTCATGAAAGCAAAGGCAAAAATCTAAATCTATTCATTTGGTGGGGCATGCTATTTGACGCCTTATCATTCCACATCTGTGACAATTTCAGCCATTGATGCAGAATTCAATCCTTTTATCAAGGTGCACCAGATTATCTCCTGGAAAAGAATATTTCTGATCCCCAACAAACAAGAACCAATGATATTGTAGCGGGGTGCAAGATCATCACCCTGGTCAATATTATACCTTTCAATTTTAATGAAATTTCTTTTATTTACTATTAAAAAAAAAACACAAGAAATCCAGCCTCCCCACTTTGTTGCAGGCATGGGATAAATAGAATTTTGGAATCCACAATTTCATCACTGCAGAAGAGATAACTCAGGCTGAAACCATTCCAATAGGAAATTCTTTCAACTGGCAGACAAATATGATTGCGGCAGAAAATTTGTTATACTATGGGTTGTTAAGATTTAAGAGTACTTAAACTGCAGAAATTTATTCTTATCTATAGAAACCATGTCTTGGTGAACATGACCTCTCTTAACATGTGCAGAAAACACTTAGAGGTGACAACTTCATTATGTACTCTCCTGGTCCTAAAATTCCTACCTGGGGGATTTTATTGCTTCTAGAGTGGATTACTGGCAAAAACTACCAAGGCATGTGATTGCTGAGTCTTCCCAAAAGGTTCTATATGTTCAGAAATAATTGGCAAAATTACAAATAGACCTTTTACGTATATAATAAAATGCATGTGGAATGATCTTTCATCATAATGAGCTTTCAGCATCAAAACAGAAGTAGAAAAAGGACCAGTAAGGGCACCCTATAAACAATTCAGGACACTATTTTGCGGGACGACGGACGACTTTGTAGCCAGAGAAGTTGTGGACCAAGTAGCCAGTATGTTTAGTGTGTGCAACTTGATTAATTCAATTTCTATACTAGAGGTAGAAAATTGAACTACTAAACATTAATTAGGTGATTTTGAAATACAGATCATCTTGTAACCAATTGAATGTGGTCCTAGGTATAGTTGGTGTTCTTTCTTTCTGCAAAGCTCTTGTAATTTTATATGAATTAATGAAAAACTCACCATGACTGGTGATGTATCAAAAAAATCAAATGCTTCATTGAAAATTCAAATTTAACCCTCTAATATGAATCCTGCATTGCAGTTTTACTAAACATTGCTGCATAGGTTCGATAGGGCAAGGATAAGTCCATATAAACTGACAAAACATTACATTCTAAAGTTAAATAATTGCTACCATTTGCATAGTTTTTCTACCTGCTGCTTCATAGTTCATACTTATTAATGAAATATTCACCATGAACAAGTACCTAACAAAAAGGTCAAATACTTTGTCGAAATTTCAAATTCCACCCTGTTTACATGATTACTGCACTGCAACTTAGACTGCATAGGTTCAATAATGACAAGGATCGAATCTTGTAAAACTGATAGAATTTTTATATTCTATGGTCAAACAATTATTACCATAGTCAGGGTTTCTCTAATCCTTATTGAATTTTTTTGGCTCAGCTAAAAGAGCTCTGTTTGATTTTACACTTGGTCTAGGTCCTGAACAATATAACCACATAGCTGCCTGTAGATTTTTATTTTTTTGATTGGTTAAATGGCTACCTATAGATGCCCAGTTAATGAATTGACATCCAGAGTGTGACATTGGATTAATCCCAACCTTTGGTGAATAATTACTTTTTTCATAATTACTATGGAAGCAAATCTTTGGTGAATAATTACTATGAAAGGAAATCTTGTCTCTGGGCGGGTCTTCTCAGATTAGTCATTGTTCTATGGTGTGTGCCTTTTTTTTGTCTATCTAACTCCATAGTATATGCCCTTAATCATTTCAATTTGTTTGTTACAACACTTAAAATTGAAACCCACTGGATTATCTCTGGGGACCTTACCAATTAACTTATAAGTCAATAAAATCATATCAAGATATTTCTCTTCTCTTGAAACTTAACCACAATTGTCTACATAATGGTTGATCTCCCTAGCATCAAGCAAATTGTTTTCTTATTCTCCCATCTCATTCCTCCATGTTGGCTCAAAAGCTTTCTTCCAAATATGGTTCAAAATATCAATGTGTATCGGTTTTCAGGGTCACTGAAACGCCAAGTACAAGGATTTAGGGGGGCTCTATAGATTTAAACATTAGAACCCCACCTTACATTTGTTCCTGAAAGATTGGACTGAAAATATTATATATATATATATATATATCAATGTGAGTGTATCAATACAACAATACTTTGATCCATATTCCATGCTTCCAAAGTTCCAATTCATGGGTCATAAACTTAATAACATGATAACATGTATTATACAAAATTTCTACTGTATGGACATATATGCATTTATGGTCTTATTGCAACTTATTTAAAGCTGAGTTTTCAAAATGGTCTTTATCTGCTCCACATTCCCTTGATCTCTATATCTTTAACCAAAGAAGCCAACATATAACATACAATTTCAATTTAGACTCAAAAGCTGACCCAAAACAAATTCCAACTGCTTCAAAACTAATACAAACCCATAAGTGTGAAACAAGTTATCAATTTAGAAATAGAACTTTTCTATTAGTAATAAAAGATTTATAAGAATAAGAGCTACAAATCAAATTCAGCAACAGCTGAAATATCTGGGAAGTGTGAAACAAGTGGAATTTTTCGAAGCATACAAACTTTGTATCTAATATAGGAAGTTGTTCTGAGAGCACAGGGCCATGACTATTTCTTATAAGTTCATCTTTAAGGTGGACCATTCTGGTAACCTACTAGCTTGTTAACACAATCACAAAACCAATGCATGCAAGCACTCACAGAGATAAGCACTTCTGCACAGAAACATGCACATATAGACCCAAAAGGTATGGGTTCATTTTGCTAATCTTTTACTTGTTAAACTAAGACTAAGAGTTAATGTTAAATCAGATAATCCATGCAGGTATTAATTCCTTCAAATCCTAAAAAAAATCGGTGTAAGAAATCTAAAATTAACACTAAAATGGAACCATACCAAGGTTAATATTCTTTTTTGTCAAGAAGTATAATGAAGCTCCAAAGCTTGTAGCTAAGATGATCCCAGGAACATTAGCCCCAGAGTATGACCCTACTGATGTTGAGGCTCCATTCGCATATGCTAAGCCCATTAATGCTCCATATACCCCTGCTTGTATAGCCAAGCTGCCTGTAGATGGTGTTTCAACTGAAACTGGGACATTCTTGACTGTAGCTTGTAACCATTGAGGCATAGCATTTACAGGTTTCACATCAGCATAACGTATGCCGCTATTTACAACCTTTCCTGCCCGACGCCGTGTTAAGCTCTGCATAAGCAACATGTCATATGCAGCCTCCACCTAAAACACAACAACCACAGAATTTCCTTGAATGAAACGATCATCTATTGGACATTATGGACTAGAAACCAATTGCATCATGGTGCATGTTTTGGTGGTTGTGCAAGATTTTACTCCCATCACTAGCTTGGTCATTCAACAAGAGAAATTCAATGAGAAGCTTTTCTATTAATATAAAGGGAAAATTCCCGATTAGTACATTGTACTTTGCGCCTAGTGCCACTTCAGTTCCTGAACTTTAAAATGCGACAATTTAGTATCCGAATTTTCAAAATGTGTCAATATAGTACCTGTTGTTAACCAGTCCGTTAACTAACTGTTAAGTGGCATTTGAAAAGACACAAATGCCCTTCAAGTGTCATCTAATTCTCTTTATCAACCATCCAAACATTGATAAAAAATGAACAGTCCCAAATCCTTGAAAGTTCGAGTACTAAATTGTCACATTTTAAAGTTCGAGGACCAAAGTGGCACTAGACCCAAAGTACAATGTACTAATTGGGAATTTTCCCTAATATAAATTCCAGTGCATCAAACTCAACCTGGCCTCTTCCTGTTTAGAGTTTAGACCATACGGTTAAACCTCTAAACATGATTTAAAAAAAGTAAATAGAACAAATTTAGTGGATGCCAAAACCTATTAACTATTAAAAAAGCCATTACCCAACTTGGTCCTAGCTATCTGGGGTCTTGGAAAGGTGGACTGGATATGGACCTAAATTTTGTTTTTTGTCTTTTCCCCTTTCTCTTGCATAAAGTGGCAACTGTCAGACTTGAACCCATGTTCTGACGCTTGTCACCTATTCACTATGTAAACTAAAAGTCTAGAACAATGTCCAAGCAATGCCTACAATACCAGTAATGCTACTGGTAAATAATATCTCTCAAGTTAGAAATTGCCCACTGGGAAGTACGTTTCTGTTAGTTACATAAGAAGTGATGCACATGACTATAGATAACTGCAATCGCTTCCAAGATCCCAGATAGCCGGAGCCATTCTTGGGTAATGGCACTTTTTTCATCAAAAGAAAGGCAGCCCGTTTTTTTTTTCAAATATTTGTCGGTAGTCTTTGGGAAGGAATGGAAACTGGAGTGGTTTGGAGACAAGTCAAGAAATCGTCAAACCATATTTCCAAAGACACATAGCAACTAAAGAGATTCTTCAATTATAGCTAGAAGCAACTACAGTACTCTATAGATGAATAGGTCAAAAGATCAAACAGACCTCCAGACTCCAGCTTTTAAAGTGAGCAACCCATGTCTCAAAACTCCTTGCCCCAGAAAGAATAATTATATTTCTCAATTCTCACCCCAACCTAAAATTGGTCTTTCAATAAGCAACCCAGAACGTAAATTCACCAACCAAGAATGAAATTCTAGTTCTTCCAGTGAGTCCAAGGCTCAAACAGATCACTGTGTCTTCTTGAGTTCTTGTAACCAAACCCAAAACATAAATACGCGAAACCATGTGGATATTTTACTTACTCTAAGGCACACCCTAAAGAAAATAATAAGCAGGAAAAAGAAATAAATAAAGTATGGAAAAAACCCATGAGGAGAACCAGTTGGACAAAATTGAAGATATCTGGAACTGGTACTATTCCAATTCATTCACAAAAGAATTGATAAAATTCGGCGTGGGTGTACGAAAAGAAACCTGGGCCACAGTTTCCTGGTCGTCCTTACAGGAAGAGAGGATAGAATTCTTGGCGCGAAGGATGTCGTCAAAGGAAGCCCCTTCGGAGACACCGAGTAGTTTCAGAGCGTTTTCGACAGACATCTCGGAAGGAGCGGAGTCGTCAGCTCTGGAAGCGGCGAGGACGAGTGTGGAAGCCCTGGCTAATGTGCGCCGGGAGGGAAGGACCATACCCCATAAACGGTTGTTGTTGGTGCTTCCCAGCTGCGCTATTGTTGCCGTTCGACGACAGAAGGGTTGAACCGAGACGGACCTCGACGATTTGCCGTAGACGATGGCTCGGTCAGGACCGACGGAGAGAGAGACCTCCATCTTTGTCTCTTTTTCTTTTTGCTTTCTCTTCTTCAGTCGTCTCTTCAAATCTTCTTCTCTCCTCTAGCTCTTTCTACCATAAACGTGTGTATACGATCTCTTTTACAGTTGGTTTTTGACTCACTGAGAAAGAGGGAGAGAGAGTTGGTTTTTTCAGTTTTATAATTTTAGGAAGGAGTAAAAGAAGCGTTGATACTTGATAATCCTCGTTGGATCGTAATGGTGCATTAGTTACAGTATGGCGCTTGTTATGATTTATGAAACTGGGATGCTCAATTGGTAGACGACAAGTAAGGCAATCTTTGACCATCAATGTGTATATATGATTGAATGCATCTTTGCCGTCTGGTAGGTAGAATTTTCCTCATCAATTGCGCACATCAATCTCTGCCTTCCTGGCTGTTCAAGACGGACAAAATTGCTTCGCGTCAAAATCAGGAAAAAACCCATTAATTGTGGTTAGTGTAACTTATACGTTTTTGAGTCCTTTTTTTTTTTGCTATTATTATTATTTATTTATTTATTATATTTTATAGCAAAGTTCTGTGGTCTGGAATTCATTGGTCCAAATCCAAACATGAGATCTCTCTCAAACGTTGCTTGTGCCAACTCTCTCTGTGACTGAGAAAATTGTCAATTTGGAACAATCGATGGATTAAGAGTAGAAGCTACACAAGTTCCCCTCACAATGAGGAACTTGTTAACTGAGTTGGGGCGGCAGTGGAATAGAGAGGAAATCCTTGGACTCTTTCACCTTCAGAGTTCAGATATCATCCGATATTCTTCAGGCTCATATTTTGAGGAGATTAAATGAAGCGCAATGGGTGTGATTTAGGGCTAAGAGTGAAAATTTCTCACCCAAAATTCTTTATCAACCTCTTACCAGGGATTCCATTGCATTAATTAAAATGCCATAGCCCTTTAAAAATCCACATAGATTTTGCAAGGGTTTTGGTTCTAAAAAAAAAAATCTATACTATCTGCTATAATCAAAAGGAAACTTTAGGGCATCTCTTCTACAATTGTCTGGGGTCTCAAATTTGATCAGGTAGAAGATTCATCCTGGTTAAAGATCTTCAGTGTTAGGATGGATGGCAATTGGCTTTTACCACATTTGGTCTGCACATAATGCTAGGCTGTTGCAAAATACAACATTTCTGTGTATTGAATCACTCGAAATAATAACGAGATTATGTAAGCCGCATATCAACAAGGGAGGCTTATCAAGTAGTGGAATACTGTTCCTCGTTCTCCACGGATCTTGTTTCCTTGTCTCGTAATAATTCTTTTCTTGAGCTACAGCCTGCTGGTAGTCATGTTGAAATAGAATGCCCACAATTGAGTTGGAGCTCCAAATCAATCAGTCCTCGATGCTGTTATTCTAGTGCGTGATAGGCAGTGAAATTTTTACCGTTTTCTCTTATTCCATCTCAGGTTTGTATGTTTGATGAATAAGTGGTTTTAGAAATAAGTAATTATTTCATAAGTATTTATTTAAATAAATAATTATTAGTATTTGAAGGTCATTTCTCAAACCACCTACATTTATTTTAAGTACTTATTTAGTATATAGTGTTTTGTGTGAGCCACTTGGCCCATGTCTCATACGCGTGGCACTATTAAATAATTAATTTTTGGGGATAGTTTTGTCCCACCAAAATAAAATAAGTATTTATTCTATAAACACTTAAAATAAGTTAATCCAATGTTGCTTATTTTTAAGCATTTATTTTCAAAATAAGTATTTATTTGATTTTTTTGCCAAACATGATAAATACTTATTTTCCACTTAATGTGTGGTTTCACCACTTATTTTAAATATTTATTTGAATAAGTGGTACGAAATAGGGGCTCAATAGTTCAAGCCTTGAAAGAGCAATGTGTGGACATCTCCTAGCAATTTCTTTCTATTTTGTACAATATTAAATATCTATGTCAATATTTTAGTTATGCTCCCCCAATGGCTAATGAACCTTGACATCCCTATTTCTTTTAATATAGAATCGAGATACCCATGATTGGTAGGCCATGTTTAACTTTAAATGGGCCAAAGTCCATCCATAGAGGGCCATTTACCTATTACACAACATGATAATAATGGTTTGGTTATACTAAGCAAAGTTAAAATTGTTGTAAGTGGGCCTCTAAACTAGATGACCGAATGTGGACAAATATTCCTTTTGGCTGTTTCTCCTTCCCAGCGGCAATGGTGGGAAGATAGGGGAGAGAGAGAGAGAGAACCGCTGCTGCTAAGAATTGCAACGGCGGTGGTATGAATACAAGAGAAAGAGAGAGATAAGTCGAATGGGGGTATGGGCATTAATTACTTTAAGCCACATTTGAACACATTAAGTGGTGTGCCTGAGTCTTAAAATTTTAGATCTAAAAAAACTTTTCATATGCAATACTAAACAAAGGTGGCGTATGGAAAGCAACATTTTTCAGATTCATATATCTAAAAAGTGTTATCAAACGCCACCTTAGTAAGATTAATGAGCTGAACTGACCAACAACAAAATGTCTGCAGGCATATTTGAATGTAGGAAATCTCTTAAAAGTTGCCTTTCCACAAATTAAAATATCAGATGCGAAATGAAAGGCGGTTTAAGGTACAAAAAACATAACCAAAACGACATCCCTTTAACTCACCATTTTCGAATGGGTCATTTACTAAAACACCCCCTATAGTTTTATTAATTTACTAAAACATATCATATAGGCTGTGTTTTACTAAAATATCCTCTATAGTTTGCAATCAATTTACTTAATCAAACTTCCATTACATGAAAGTGGAAAATGGCACTTTCAACACTAACATCCATTCAAATAAATTTAATTAAAAAAAACTAAAAACAAAAAAAATGTCATTTTTGCGTCTAGTAAAACATGAAACCCATTATATCTTTTTTCTATTTGATCAATTTTGTTTTTATAGTATAGACATTAAAATTTTTATGGGCTCCTGAATGGGCCCTACCCCCATAAACTCAAATTTGCCCATGGGTCTTATTTGAATTTGTCTTCATTTTTCTTATATTTGAATTTATACATGAAATTTGTGTCGATAAATATAAAAAAAGTGTTAGGAATACTTTTGGAATAAAATAACAATGAATTCATACCCTTGAACATTTTATCCTCAATTCAAGGGTACTTTTGAAATAAACAATCATTAGTCCATGTACTTGAACATTTTTCACTTAGTTTAAGTGATCATATTACTATTTTTGTATGACAAAACAAATAGTTTTTAATAAGAGATCAATTAAATAAATAAATTACAAATTATAAGAGATGTTTTAGTAAAATGTAAATTATAGGATAAGTTTAAGTATATTTGTGAAACTATAAAGGGTGTTATAATAATTAATAAATGACCCTTTTCGAATCCATTCAACATGAGATTGAGATAGCATTTATGCCGAGAATAAATAAGTAGGGAAAAAAAGGGCAGCCTTTACTTTTTATTTTAATTCTGGTACCCTACGATATTCTTAATATTAACGAAAGGTTACCCTTATTGACAAAAAAATTGTCTAAGTGGACCTACACTTATTCCTCAAATATCTGCATTGTTGTTAGTTGTTAGTTGTCCCGCTACAACTTGCTGATAACATGACGGAATATAACCTTGCCAATTACACTTGATTGAAATCTTGTTCTTACGACACACGTGAACCCAATTTGATGTGCGGATAAAAATTGCATAAAAATAAAAGGAAAAATTGTCCATCAGAAAGATCCTGATCAAAGTCTAAACAAAAAGAGTCCAAACTCCAAAGCATAACCATAGTCCCAAGTCAATCCTTCCAACGTTGAGGAGAGATCCACTACTTGTTACTCCTAACGGCAGCTTAAAATTTATACTGGCAGTCACGAAAACTGCCGTTAGAACGTTTTAGTGACAGTTGTTTTAGTAGCAGTTTGTCGATTACTGGTAAAGTCTCTAGTGGCAGTTTTAGGGACTTTTAGCAACAGTTTTGACTTCCGCTAAAAATCATTCTTTTTGTAGTGCATCTAAATCAAATTGATCAATTTAAGAAGTCATAGTTAGGTAATAAAAATTAAAAAAATATAAATAATTATAGAAAAAATTAGACACATTTATGAAATTTTTATTAATCAAATTAAAAAAATAAGTGTAATATAAATAATAATTATTTTTATTGATAATAAAAAATGAAATACATAATTTAGAACTAATAAAAAATTAAATATAAAAATTAATAATAAATAGTTTGACTTTTGGGTTAATTTTTGTAACCTTTAATGTTATAAATATAGAATAAAAATTAATAAAATATAAAAAATACAAAAAATAAACAAAATACACAAATTTTGAAAAAAAAAACATTTAGGCACATGTATAATATCATATATTTATCATATTAAATAGAAAGTAAGTGTGATATATTAGAATTACTTTTACACACAAAAACACAAAAAAAAATGAACGTATCTATAATTCTATATTTACATTTCTATTAAAAATGTGAATAATATTGCATAACTTTCTTTTGACTAAAATACTCATTTTTTAATTTAGTCATTATTTAATTGTATGATTTAAATTGTAAATTGAACTACTACTTTTCACCTAATTCAATTCCTTTTATTTAAATCTTACATTTTTTTTTGATAAATGAACAAAAGAAAAAAGATATGCCCAAAAGAGAAAACACTACAAAAAGAAGAGTCTAACCAAGCAGGTAGGCCTTTCAGTGATACTTGAAACTTCATAACTCGATTCGATTATCACATACTTGGATGAGTTGTTTATATAATTAGATTTGGATTTTGTAATCTGCATTTGATTAATAATAAAAAATACATCAAAATATATAGAAAATTTTGGATATATTAATAGTATCATTATCCACCTCATTTAACCCTCTCTCATTAAATCTTATACTTAAGGTATCAACTCCTATTTTTTCTTATTAAATCCTGTATTTAAGTCATTCTTCACTAATAAATGCTACTAATTAGATACATGCCAATATTTTTAACAATATAAACTCATATATTTTAAAAATTGACTCAAAAACATAATTGTTCTTTATAAAAGTGGTGGCTAAGCAATTCAACCATCCGAATAATGATCAACCTAAGAAGTTATAGTTAAGTAATAATTTTTTTTAAAGAAATAAAGAAAGAAAATTATAAAAATATAGAAAAAGTAGGCACATTTATGATATTGTTGTTAGTTAAATTAAAAAAATAAGTGTAATAAACAACAATTATTTTTATTTATAATGAAAACAAAATGCTTAATTTAGAACTAACTAAAATAAAATTATTTTACTATTTGGCAAAGATCAATAGTTCAACTTTTGGGTTAAATATGTTAATATTTAATGTATGTCATAAATAAATAATAAAAATACAAAAAAATATATAAATTTTGCAAAAAAAAATCTAGGCACATGTTTAATATTGTATAATTATAATATTAAACAAAAAATAAGTGTGACATATCAAAATTATTTTTACACACAGAAATGCAAAAATTATAGAAAAAATTGGACACATCTATAATACTATGTTTACACTATTATTAAAAGTATGAATATTCATCTTTAAATTTAGTCCCTATTTAATTGTAATATTTAAATTGTAGAACCACGTTTCCCCTCATTCAATTCCCTCTATTAATCTTACGTTTTTTTGGATAAATTAGCAAAAGAAAAAAGATACACCAAAATGATAAAATACTATAAAGAAGAGTCTAACCAAGCATGTAGGCTTGTTAATGATACTTGAAATTTCATAACTCGATTTGATTATCACATATTTGGATGAGGTGTTTATGTAATCAAATTTGAATTTTGCAATCTATATCCGATTAATAATAAAAAACAAAATATAATATATATATATATATAGAAGCAATAAGTAAAAAATACATAGTTATTGATGTTTTTAGACACATTATTACTATGATTATCATTATCTATAATTACTATGTAAAAAACATTTGCACACTTACTAGTCTACTAAAAAAGCATAAGTTTGAAAAATATACCTATGTGTGATTTTTTTTTTTTTTGCTATTGGACGAGAGGAGTGAGCTGCAATGTGAGCCTATTTCCACTTTTTTTTATCCAAAATAAAGAGAGAAAATTGAGTGTTAATAAGTGAGAGATACATATTGAAAAATTAAGAGAAGACTACTTGTTTCATTGATGCAATGTGGCAACCTGTTATGCTCCCGGTTTTTTGGTCCCAAACAAAGAGAGAGATTTTGAAGATTTGAGAGCTAGGATGTTTGAGCAAGGTAGAATTCTTGAGGGAAATAGGATGCCACATACACACACACAGGAATAATTGAGAAACAATGAAACTCTTACATTTTAGAAGTAAAAACATTAAAGCCTCATTTGCTTTTCAGTAAGTTATTTACCCGAGTAAATGCAATTACTTGGGTACTTTTTTTTTGAGAAATACTTACTCGGATAAATGCATTTACCCATGTTTTTTTATTTTCTAGGTAAACAAGGCAATGGCCATTTTAGTCATAAAAATCTACTATTAAAAGGGGCATTTTTGTCCCATTCAAGTATTGGCAACCTTCCCACTAGGTGGGAAAGTTATTTATCCACCTAGGAGACCCAGGAAAATAAACTTTCCTCAGTCCCCACATAAATCTAAAAAAAGAACATGAGATTCTTGGTCAATGGGAACCAAAATCCCAGTGACCAACTTTCCCCCCTCTCAAAATCCCAAAAAGGAATGCCCCCCCTAAAGAGGAAAGGTTTCGTTGTGTAGACTTCTAAAAATGGGGTGGAAAAGGGAAAAAATTTCATGATGAATTGATAGCATGGGAGATTTAGGAAAAGAATAAGAAACATACTCTAAAACCAGGGTTGGGCAAGGAGAGAAAGGAGAGGTCATGTAACATAACATGTTTTGTTTCAATACTAACATGTATAAAGTGACTCAGTCTACATGTCACTCTTGTCCTACTTCAAAACTTGTTCCAAAATCTTCATTCTAATTTTCTCAGTTTTCAGATTTTTTTTTATTTTTTTTAAAGCCAAGTAATTGGGCTCTTAAACCAATCAGATTCCACCGTTGTCCCACCCTCTAAAATCTCTCTCTCTCTCTCTCACTCGTTGCCAAGTCCTCAATCCCTACATTTCTATTGAACAAAGGAATTCTAATAAAATTTCTCCCACTATCTCCCCTAGAAAACTAAATCCCATGTTTTTCTCAACCCCTCTTCAACTATCCCCTCACTCCATAGTCTCTTCCCCACTTTTATAAAAGCTTTCCCATTCCGTAATGAGTTATGTGCCTATCCAAAACTTTTGTTGCAAATACTAAGAAGGGAAAATCTATGATATAGAAAAGATATGATATGAAAAGAGTTTTGACCAATCAAAACCCATGAGTTTTAATAAATAATACCTCATTCACTACCACGTTTATGATTCCAATGGGTTCGACTATGATATGAAAAATATATGATATCTGGAAAACTTCTGACAAGTCAAGTGAAATGCATGTTTATCCATAAAAACTTCTGAATACTTGAGCCCTTGATAATCAAAGGTCATTGAAAAGGTTGACCAGTGTTGGAATTTATTTATTTATTTTGGTGAGAGACAACCACAACCATCCTGGAGAAGACAACACACTACACTACGAATGGTTTGGATTGGATTTTCTTTTTTATTAACATTAATACTAATATAGATAACTAACTGAGATGTCTTTGTTAATTGCTAAGGGTACGAGTAGAACAGTTAATGAAAAATAGGGGAGTATGAGTAAAACATATGGACACATAAAAGATGGGAGTACGAACAGATGATCCTAGCTCTCATTTTACACATTATATTTTTAAATTTTCTGAGTAGTTCAAAATTCCAACTCTACGGTGGATTTTGCTTATTTTGGATGTTAGGGTTTTTGTCAATAGACCTTTTTTTGTAGGTTTCATCCTTTTGGAATTGCAATAGCATCTAGGTGAAATTTTATGTTTCTTTTTTTTCTTTTTTAAGTTCTGCTTGTAAAGAAGTTGGTAATGTTTGTTCTAAAAACTTCTAACCGTTTTTGTTCTTCTAACGGCATAGCCAAGCATGCGTGAAGTTGTTAATGTTTGTTTTAGATGCTTGCTAATCATTTTTTGTTCGTTGTTGGGAGAATGACGGTTGAGTTCGGGGTCAGAATTTTAGGCCTAAAATAAATTAGGGTAGGTGCCAGCTCGGAATTGATGCTAATTTACAGGCGGATATATAATTAATGGTGTATGACACCAAATACCCCCCACCCAAAAAAAGAACGGAGAAGTATGGACAAACCTAATGTAAATTTCTGATTTTCACTGCAAAACTATAAATATTCAAATTGACAAAAATCCACACTCTATGCACCAATGCTCACCTGTGAATTAACATCAATTTTGAGCTGGCACCTACCCAACAGTACTCTGTGCCTATAAATTCTGAGCCTGGGCTGAACCGTATTTCTCCCAAAAAAATACAAAGGGCTGTTGATTTGGCCATTGGCTGTTAAATCGGGTGGCTGAACCGCTAAACCGTCTAACCCGTGTTTTAAAGCACTGCCCTCAAATAGACCGGCGACCCTTTTAGGTCTGCTGCAGTGTAGAATCTGCTGATGATGGTCAAGGCTTAAAAGGAAGAAGGTATACGTATACCGGTTGGAGGAGTGGTCCGACTTTAAAATTTGCCCATTTATTTCTTTGATCAAGATCAACCACCTTGGTTCTGTTGGCAATTTCTTCTCCGGCTGCTCCGTCGTCGGACGAGTGAGCAGAGAGCGAGAGCGACCGAGCGAGCGAAGAAGCGATGAGCGGTCACGACTCCAAGTATTTCTCCACCACCAAAAAGGGAGAAATCCCTGAACTGAAAGACGAGCTCAATTCTCAGTACAAGGTAATACCATCTTGTTTCTCTTCCTCTATCCATACAAGACATATGCATTTCCGTTTCTGAATCCGCCTCATTTTCCGAACTTTCATTTCTGATCCGATTTCCTTGTGGTTTCATCATCGTGGATCTTCATGTTTGTTTAATCAATGAAAAACGATCTCAGCAGATCCTTAGGTCTTCCCTTTCGTTTCAGCTTTATCTGGTCACATTGGAATGGCAATTCCCATATATGACTATTCCTGTTTCCTATTCATCTTAGTCTGCTTTTCTCGCTCTGGAATTGATGAGATCCATGCCGTATTTGAAACTCAAGCTCGAATTGAACATCCCTTTGCTTCTCCTTGCTAGTAATATTTCAATTTATTTTTCTCCTTATGGCGTTAGGTCTGTTCTTGAACACATGTTGATCGTAACTAATTTCATCTAGAGATGCTGCTTAACGGTTTGCAGCTTTGACAAGCACATATGTTGCTCGAAGTCGATAACAGTTATACTTATTGTGCTCATCTATTTTCTAAACAAATCAATAAGAAAAAGAGGAAAATTTTCAAAACATATGTCCTAAATTAGAATTTTCAAGCTGTTCTATAATAGATTCCCACCATTCATCTTATGGAATTGAATTTGCAACTAACCAATATGGTGGCAATATCCTCCCAAAACAATCCAATCATGCCGAGAAGAGACAAAACCTAATCATGGACCTTACTTTTCCATATCTTCCATTTCAATGCATCCAAAGGATCTTAAGTTCTTAACCTTCCCAATGATTTTTGAATGAATTGCCAAGATGAGTTTCCCCAGATTGATGCTACTCTTTACCTTTAGCTTCAGCTAATCTTGATGAGAAGCCAAGAAGGCTGCAAATTGTTCTGTCTTTTAATTTTAAATATGTAACTTTATCTCACTCACGGATAGTTGGTACAAGGAGATGCTATTGATTATTGATGACAAACTTGACTAGTTCTTCTCCAGAAATGTTAAAAACATTGCCTCTTATTGGACCCCTATTTCTAAGAACGTAGAGAATCTTAATTCCTGATCATGGCAGTTTCCCAAGAACACTTACTCAAAGAGGATGCTTTGTGGTGGAAAGACTCTTTCTAGATACTGGTAAAAAAGAAGACTCTATTTTAGCTGATGCATTCAAGTATCTTATTATTCAAGCTGTAGTTTAACAATTTAAAATGTGATATCTGCAAGTAGGGTGGTGTCAAAAAAAGGTCTAATGAGAATTGCAAACTTGGAATTTTCTCGGGGTACCGAGTTGAATGTGTAAAATAGAGAATTCCAGAAGTTTCATAGGACTTGTGCATAAGACCTAATGATTTTGATTGGAATGAGAGTTCATCTACTCTATTGAATATGGTACACTGTATTCAAACTCTATGAGATCTCTATCCATTGAAAGAGATCAAAATCATAACAAAAGGGGAAAAATACAGGAAGCATTTCAACTGGACAAGAGCTCCCATATTATTTCCAATATTCCCCCTCAAATTGGAGGTGGATAGACTCTTTCAAATGATAGTAAAAAATTGAGGTGAGCAAAGGGGTCTAGTGAAGACATCATCAAGTTGTTCATTGGATGGGAGGTCAGCAGTTTTTAATCCTTTTTTGAAGCTGTTCATTAATGACACGGCAATCAATCTTAGTGTGTTTAGTATGATCATGAAATACAATGTTCGCTGCGATGTGGAGAACTGCTTTATTGCCACAAAAACATGATAACCTGTTTTGAATGGGGAGCATGCAAATCACTTAGGAGATGAAGTAGTCATTTGATTTTAAACCAAGTGGATGCCATAGTACGGTATTCAGTTTTGTCAAAAGATCAGGCTACAATGTTTTGTTTCTTGGACTGCCATGATGTAGGAAAATGGCTAAAAGAATACAGTATCTGGTAATTGAGTGCCCGGTGTCTTTGCAACTAGTCCAATTAGTCATGGAAAGTTGCAGTTGTTAAGGAGCTATTAGAAGATAAGAGGATACCTTGGCCAGGGTCATGCTTGATGTATCGAGACAAAGGGCAGCTTTGGGATGAGGTTGGTAGGGGTGTACAATCGGTCAGTTCGGTTTAGTTAGAACTGAGGACCTAACTGACTATTTGGTTTGACCATTTCTCCAACCGAACTGAATCAAACTAGAGTTCAGAACTGAACCGACCCTAACTGAATTCAATTCGGTTTGGTTCAGTTTTCGGTTCAGTTGGGCCTTGATTCCACATAAGTGTTAAACATTTAACAATTAATGAATAATTAATAATTAATAAGTGTTATTAATTAAAAGGTAGAATGGCCCAAAAGCCCAATGGGAATTGCCAAATTGGTCATTGGGAAAGATGATAATTAATAAGTACAAAATATTAAATAAAACATTAAAATTTAAATATTTTATATACTTAACTAAATAAAAGCACTAGTTCGGTTTTCAGTTTGGTTGAAAATATCAACCAAACCAAACCAAAACCGATAACCAATTAAAAAAAAAAACAAATCGAACTGATACCCGGATTAATCGAACCGAACTAACTTTTCAGTTTGGTTTGGTTCGGTTTTGGTTTGTCATCCAAATTTGAACACCCCTAGAGGTTGGTGTGGCTCATCCATGAATTGGGTGAGAACTTGAACAGGAAAGACAATATCTGGTCAAGTGGTAGCGAGATAGAGAAGACATCCAACTAAGGGCTAATATTGAATATTGAGAGGGGTTGGACAGAATGGGGTTGTCATCCTTGGTATAAGTTTTAGGAGGTGCTCCATAGGTGTTGTGGATGATAGAGAGACAAGTCAACCTGCATCTTCAAGCAATTCAATAGCATATTTCTTTTGAGATAGATAAATGTCCCTTGGACTGGGCAGCCTTGATACCTAAAGATACTTGAGTGGATCGAGGTCCTTTAGTGTGACTTGAGCATTGAGTTGATCCTTGGGAGAGGAAATAGTTAACATGTATTACTAGCAATGATAGTGTCATCCACATATACTAGACTGATGGTAATGATGATTCCATTGTTACAAACAAAGAGAATAATCTGACTTGGTTTGAACAAATCAAGTTCAGATATGCGCCCCACAGAGGGCACCCCACATGCACATCTCAATGTGCGTTGGGAACATCTCCCGTACTTGTCATTGGGAGATGTTCCCAATACACGGTTGGGATGTGCTGTAAGGCGCAGATGTGATCTCGAACAAATCTTTTTTCTGGCCTGATTCCTGAACAAGAGTAGGGCTGTTAATGGGTTGGCCAGACCTGACAGACCCAAACTGAATCAACCCAATTATATAGGGTCTGGTTTAGGAGTGATCATTGGGGCCCAGGCTGGGTTTAGGAGTGATCATAAGCCCGGGCCCGGGTCTGTACAGGCCCAGGTTGGGCATTGGGCCTATGCCTTTAAATATACTATATTTAATAGTTATATTGTTTTATATTATAATACATACAGTATATGTATAAGATGCATGTTATAATGCGTGTAAATACAAAATGTAATGTACAATGTATTATTATATATGTCATTTTATAATATTTGTACAATATATTATACAAATAAAACAAAACATATTATATGTGTGTGTGTGTTTTACCAGCTGGTCCTGGCCAGATTTCCGGGCTGGGCTGAGAGGGCTGAGAATGGTCGCATGTCACACTTAGTATGGTTCTGCATTATATGTCCCGATTATAATTGGGTTGGAATCAGTTTTGTTTGTTCTGAACTGATTAACACCCAAACCCACTATATACGATTATATATAAATTAATGTATGTATATTGGCACATTGCAAAGATACCCTAATCTAACACAGTAATACCTATTTTTCTTTTTCACTTTATCCTATTTTTGCCACGAGACAATTGTAATATTATCTTATAATGATGTCCAAATATGTCAATTTAACAAATAAGTGGGTTTATTTTCAAATTACAGTTTAAATGTACTTGCTTTTATTGTTATGGTGCTCTGCCTTCTATTATTACTGTTCTACCTCTATGTTTTCTCTTCAGAATGTGTGATTGGCCATGTGAAACTTACACTATTAATTTACCTTATAGGATAAGAAAAAAGATGCTGTAAAGAAGGTGATTGCTGCAATGACTGTTGGGAAGGATGTTTCATCGCTGTTTACAGATGTTGTAAATTGCATGCAAACAGAGAATTTGGAGCTGAAGAAGCTTGTCTATTTATACCTTATAAACTATGCTAAAAGCCAACCTGATCTAGCAATACTTGCTGTAAATACATTTGTGAAGGTAATGATCCAGCTTTCCAATTAGATTTTGTTATTGATTCAATATTTCAACTATTGCTATGGCTTCACCAAATAAATAAATAAAACTATTATGATGGAAATATTTGTCAAATGGTGCACGGTAACTAGTGTTTTGGTTCCATCCATCCCACAAATTTTTAATTTTTTTATGGTTGAGCAAGTCAGGCTTAAAAGTTTAGGGGTGGCTGAGGGAAAAATTAGGATGAAGGCTATGATCAGGAAGTTAAAAATTGTAAGAAAGCTTGATTTTAAAAAGTAAAATTTGCTATTGGAACTTAGGGAATTACCCTAGGCTCATGGTTTTTATTCAAAGAAAATCCCATTACCAAGGCAACGCCTAGGTGCCTGCTTAGGCGACATGGTGCCACACTATCGCCTAGTCTCGCTTTGGTGCCTTGAAAATGGTGCTGCTTCTTTCAAACGAAAACACACAAAAATAAAGGGATTGATAATCTAACTTTTATCTTTATGTACACTCCTATGACCCAAAATAGATTACACATACATGGGCCAGGCTCGGGTTCAGGTTTTGCCAAAATTTGAATGGGCACAGCTGAAGTAGTGTAAAGTTGAGACTGATGGGCTGCCCATGAACAGTGTATGTGTGTGTATATACAAAATTATTTGCTCCAAGTAAAATGTTTATATCTATACCACTTGCCTAGATGGTTGCTTAGTCAATGCCTAGGTGATATTTTAACCACAGCGGGGCTAATTGATGCTAGATTTGGTGAGCCATGAACAGGCATATGTTATTTGCATTTGTGTCCATATCAGTTAAAAAACTTAACATGGGATTTGCACCTGTCCTAGTGTCCTATACTTGATTCAATATTCCTAAATGCTTTCATTATGACATGGCATTGCCATTCATAAATGTACACATAATTTTCTGTTTCAAAATAGGAGTTTTTTTATATATTATATTTAAGTATGTTATCTACAGTAATGATAACATACTTGTTATTGATAAAAAAAGAAACTACAGTAATGATGTCCAGACATTCTTCTCCTTATCTCTACTCAGCTTTTCACTTGTGATAATCTTTGCAGGATTCTCAGGATCCAAATCCTTTGATCCGTGCTTTAGCTGTACGGACAATGGGGTGCATTCGTGTTGATAAAATTACCGAGTATCTGTGTGATCCCCTTCAAAGATGTCTCAAGGTTGATCTTGAATATGAATGCTTCCTCGCTCATTTACATGATTGTTAGTGTTGCTTATTAATTATTAGTTTTTTTTTTTTTTGTGTGTGTGTGTGTGTGTGACTATTGAGCCTTTGCATTGTAGACAGGGAATTAGTTATAGAGTTTATCATCTACTTCTATGATTCTTCTTATGGCTTGTATCTCTGACAGGATGATGATCCCTATGTTCGAAAGACAGCAGCTATTTGTGTTGCCAAACTTTATGATATAAATGCTGAATTAGTGGAAGATAGAGGTTTCTTGGAGACTCTTAAGGATTTGATTTCTGACAATAATCCAATGGTTGTTGCAAATGCTGTGGCAGCTCTTGCAGAGATTCAAGAGAACAGTACTAGACCCATTTTTGAAATCACAAGTCACACGCTTTCAAAACTCTTGACTGCTTTAAATGAGTGCACTGAGTAAGTTCATATTTTGGAAGGAAAGGCAAGCTTTGTTATAACATTTTCCAAATATCTGTTTTTCTCTCCATGGATGAGTAAATGTATGCTTAAAAATATTTTTGCTTTAAATAGCACCTTTAATTATAAAGGTACGGTGGTTCTACCTTTTGATATGCCATTTCAAGCAAAAGAAACCCATTTCACTTCATTCTTATGAATTGCTTGCTTATCTGATTATCTGATTTCAATGTTTCTGCTAGTGTAAGTGTATTTATGGTTTGTTTACATTTTTCTTATTAGAAGATTGGGGTTAATGTGGGAAATGCTGTACTCAGCCTAAGGGTGAAGTAGTTATATGTTTAATTTCTATGTATATAACTTTTATACATCAGATTGTTCATTTAGTTAACACTCACTTGTTACCTTTTTAATTAAACTATTCCTATGGTTTTAAGTCCAACCTTCTAGTTTTTCTTGTTTAGCTTGCTCTTGGCTGGGATCCTAGTCTTAAGTGGATCATCCACAATAATCCACATGGATGTGTATTTCTCACTGAAATCATGCTCATGTAGTTTTAATGTGAGTTCATGATGTCCTTAGCACTTTCTACATTTTTGCTGGTTGCCAAAGATTGCAAAGCACTTCATTACAATCATTTCTGCAAACTGCAATATCTTTATTCACTTTGATATCTAATTTTCTTTCTATTCATTATGCAGTATGATTATGTATAGAAGCTAACTGTATTCTTATTTTTACTAGGCAAATGGTTTTGTTCATTATGCAGTATGGTTTTGTTCTCATGGTTTTCCCTTTCTCTCTGTATGTGGAGACATTTTATTTTTATGACAGTGGTACAAGGTTCAAAGTATTGGTATTGCAAAGAGTTTCAGAAAGGCAACCTTGAGTGATGTATCGGGATATACTTGGGAAATATTAGGATAAAGTGGAATAATTATGATAGACATAAATATGGTGGGAAAACCCACATAAATCTCATGAGACATTAAGAAAATTAAATCTACAGCTCAATTGGCTTTAAAGCCGGCTCAGTCAGCTGATACTTCATTTATTATGCCTTATGAGTCCCAAGGTTTTATCCAACTCCTAGTTTGTTCTATTGATGCAAGTACCTTTCTCAAATTTGAAGGGAATTTGAATGATATACTTGATTTTTTTTTTCTTTTATATTATGCTTTCCTGAGTGTTTTTTTTTTTTGTTGTACAGATGGGGTCAAGTTTTCATATTAGATGCTCTTTCCAAATACAAAGCAGCTGATGCTCGTGAAGCTGAAAATATAGTGGAGCGAGTTACTCCACGACTTCAACATGCAAATTGTGCAGTTGTGCTTTCGGCTGTCAAGGTTATATTTATTGCCTTTGGTTTAAACTGTACTATCATCATTGTTGATAACACTATAAGTGCTCACCTGTATACTGAAAAGACTTTGATGATCTCCACATCTTCTTTCTTTACAGCATCTGTACATAAAATTACATGATTATATGGATGTTGCAGATGATCCTTCAACAAATGGAACTCATCACTAGCACTGATGTGGTCAGAAATCTTTGCAAGAAAATGGCTCCTCCTCTTGTAACATTACTCTCTGCAGAACCCGAGATACAATATGTGGCACTGAGAAACATCAACCTTATTGTTCAAAGGCGGCCTACTATCCTTGCACATGAAATTAAGGTGATTTGAAATCTAAGTCCTAGCTTAGTATTTTTAAATACAAGTGTGGAGGCATGCACAACATAGTACGTGGTATTAATAGTGAACAGAACAGATAAGGGCTATCCTTGCATACTTTTTCTACGTGTGATTTGCAGAAGTTAGGTATTCGTTTTATATATGGAAGGTGGAGTCCTTGTTTAGTGTTATTTTTTCTGTGTTTTTTTTTTTTCAGTAGGGTGGCTATGAACTCTGAATGTGTTGCTGCAATATCTGTTGGTAGGTTTTCTTTTGCAAGTACAATGATCCAATTTATGTGAAGATGGAAAAGTTGGAAATCATGATAAAGCTTGCTTCTGATAGGAACATAGACCAGGTATATAATTGTTTTTAGTGGCACCTTGGTTAATGTGATCCAATGTAATCCTAAATTGTATAATCTAACTTTGGAACTTCTTTGCATTCTTTCCATGCACATATTTTGTTGTTTTATTTTAGGTTCTACTGGAGTTCAAAGAGTATGCCACAGAGGTAGATGTGGATTTTGTTAGAAAGGCTGTTCGTGCTATTGGCCGCTGTGCTATTAAGCTAGAGAGGGCAGCTGAGCGGTGCATAAGCGTTTTGCTTGAGCTGATAAAAATAAAGGTTAACTATGTTGTCCAGGAGGCCATTATAGTAATTAAAGACATTTTCAGAAGATATCCTAACACGTAAGTTGCAAATATTTTGGTGTGTTCAGTCAACATTTATACCAGTAGACCAGTAATTGATAATCACCGTCATTTGGAATCTTATGATTGCCTACTATGTTTCTATGCAGCTATGAGTCTATTATTGCAACACTCTGTGAGAGCTTAGACACTTTAGATGAGCCAGAAGCGAAGGTATTCTAGTTTGTCCAGTCATGTTGACTTCTATAATTTTGTCTTTTTGTCTTTTATTATCATATTTCTGCAAAAAATTCTTTTGGTTGCAACAGGCATCAATGATATGGATAATTGGAGAATATGCAGAACGAATAGACAATGCTGATGAGCTCCTTGAAAGCTTCTTAGAGAGTTTTCCAGAGGAGCCTGCCCTTGTCCAGTTGCAATTGCTAACTGCAACTGTGAAATTGTTTCTAAAGAAGCCAACTGAAGGCCCACAACAAATGATTCAGGTATACTGTAATTTATTATACCTCTGTAATTTTGTTTTTTATCTTCATTATTTCAGTCAACATGAGACATTTTGTCCAGCTGTCTTGCTCTTAAAGCAAATAATTTCTGACTGGTTTTCTCTTAAAACAAATAATTAACAATGAATGTGACACTAAACAGAACGGAATGGTGAAACAGGATTCATGTAACTGACTCCATATGGTTGGGACAAGGTCACAAGGCTTAGATCATGATGATGATGATGATTTTTTTTTCTCTGGGCTTCCTAGTATAAGAGCATAGATTTGCAGACCACCACAGATCCGGTTTAAGCTATCCTAAATCCATCCAGTCTGGTCCAGTCTAATCTAGACAGTCACACATGTGGCTGATAGCTGGTCACTGAGGATGAATTGGCAAAATTATTAGAAGATTCCAGAATAATCTCTCAAAGAGAGAAAATATATAAGTGGGGACCCATGTCTGAGAAAGGCCCCAAGCCCAAACCCTCTCTCTCTCTCTCTCTCTCTCTCTCTCTCTCTCTCTCCTCAGAATCTCTCAGACTTTCTCTCCCATCACCAACTTATAGGGAACTATGGGAGGCTTGATCCCTCGCCAGAGAGGCTATGTAGTGCAGCCCCTCCGGGGGTCCAGCCACTTCTCAATTTCCCCAATCTTTTTTCCTCAGACTTTCAGAATCGACCATGAATGCCAAATCCATGATCTTTCACCTAGCATAATACCATCCCCAATTTATTCTAGAGTTGATTATGCATAATATGTCCACTGCCTGTGTTATTTTTATTTAATTTTCTGTCATTACAGATAAATGAACCACTTAATTTTTTGATGAAATAACAAGAAAAAGATATAGTTCTCTTTCCACCCCTTATTTTGCCAAAGCATCAGCCTCAGTCAGCTTATTTGCTGATCTATACCCAAGACACATAAAGCACTCTTTTGCTTTTCAGCTCCATCTCCCTCATAATATTTCTATATTGCCAAGGAGTTCTTTCTGCCTCCTGAATCCAGCTCACCACCACTTTGGAATCACCTTGAATTAACAAATTTTTGAGGTTGTGACTTTTTGCTAGAGTTGTCAGTGGGTCGGGTCTGGTTCGAGACATGGTGTACCAATCCCATTCCTATTATTAATCAAGATAGTAAGGACCCAAAACTGAACCAATTATTAATCAGGACAATCGGGTCTGACCTGATTAGACCTGGTTATACTTGGCACCTATAATTACCAATGATAATAACAATTTAGAACTTCATTTTTATAAAATAACCTTAATAAAACTGAAAGTAAAATACTAAACTGTTTATATGTTGATAAAATGTGTTTTTAAACATAAAATCTTATATACTGTTTATTAAATTTACTCTTTTAACATAAAATATAACAAAAATTACAAAAAAGAGCTCTACATATAACCTTAATCAGTTTGGAACAGCAAGAACCATTCCTAACCCAATTATTAATCGGGACAAAAACCACAGTTCCAGAATTGACATAATTGGTTCAGTCAGGTAGAGTGGACCCATTGACATCACTACTTTTTACCAGCTTCAAACTTTGCAGTATTACCAATATTTCTGTCCTAGTTGAATTCCCATGATCTGCTGGTCCAGAAAACAATGATAGGACATTCCCGTTACGGTTTCTGAAGACCCCTCTTATTCTAGATTGACCCAGATTTTCCCTTCTGCATCCATCAAAATTTAATTTGATTAAATGTGCTGCTTGTGGTTCTCATTGAGGAGCAACAATTCTTAGTAGACCAAGAGTTAAACAGCCCCACTGTTTTAACCCAACGGACAACTTTCAACCTAATGCATTCTATTTTTTTTGGTAATAAATAAAAAAGAAAATTTATTAATAGAAGTACATCTGATAGTGATGACATACCATTAGAAAACAAAGCTACAAAGGACAGCAAAAAAAGCATAAAGGAAACACTGAAGGAAAAAAAAGGGAGAAATACATAAACCAAACAAAAGGGAAACTATTAAGCCAACTCCAGAACGTTCCAAAAAACCAGAACCAAGGTTTTCTTTTGTGATTCCTTTACTCTGGGAGAATGAGAACCCAGTCCGTAATTCTTTTGCCACATGGTAATGTCATTTAATCCCTTGTTTGTTCATTCTCTTCAAATATTCTTCTATTTTTTTCTTTTCAAAGTTCCCAACAGACAGCAAAAGGAATGCAGCTCCAGGCGATCTTTCCCTTGACATCCCTTACCTTTGGCCACTTGGAGAAAATCTCCTCCACTGAATTGGGAAACAACCCTCTAGACTTGAAGAGCCCAAAGAAGAATCCCCAAATGAACTTGGAGAAAAGGCACTCAGCAAGTAGATGATAGACAATCTCCTCTACATTCTCACAAAGATAGCATCTGCTAGCTAAGTAGCTAGGTGAAAACCTCTGTTTTAAAGATGGTTTAATATCAAAATGTTATCCAACGCCACTAGCCAAGCAAAAGCTTCCACCCTTGGGGGAACAGGGTTTCCCCAGATGCCTTTAGATTTTGAACTTTCTCCATTTGGCCTTGACAAAGTCTTGTAGAAAGATTTAACTGAGAATAGGTTATTTGTAGATTCTTTCTACCATCTTGAATCCTTCCTTTCCACCTGAGTTTCAGCTGACTGGAGTTATGGCAGAAGATCTAAACATTCTTGAATTCCCCAATCCAAGAGAGATCTCCGAAATTTTGGACACCATACTGCTCTACCTTGATTGATCTCAAAATTCTCCGTAATGGAGTTATTTTTCATACCCAACCTATACAGACGAGGGCAAAGATCACACAACTTTCCGATACCCAGCCAATCATCTTCCTAAAATTTGATTGTTGAACCAACACCAACCCTGAAGGACACAAGATTGAGAAAAGCTGACTAGAAACACATAATCCCTTTCCACACACATACTCCATAAGATGTCTTCACTTCTTTGGAATCCCACCCAAATCCAATCTAATGTGTTCTATGATGACATTTCTATGTTAGAACTTATCTCTGAACATTCTCCCTTGCCTCTCTTCCCCAATGGACTACAAGAATGCTGCCCACCTGCCCTTGCACATCTCCATAACGTTTTTTTCCCTTCTACTAGATGGACTGAAAAAGAAAAAAGAAAATAGAGTGAAAGAGAGAGAGGTGGGGTTCTACAAAGCAAACAAAAACCATTATCAAATACGGTAATGATTTCTTTTCAACAAATTAATAAAGTTCTCAGTTATCCATCAATAAAACAACCAGTAACAAAAGAACAGGAGGATTTTTTTTTTGATAAATAAGTGAAATTTTATTAAACCAGCAAATAAGAGTTACATGCAACCCGTGGAAAGGCACGAGATGCGACCTTTCCTTTAAAACTAATTACAGAATTATAAGTACAAAAGAAATTACACTGAAGCCCAAAATAAAGTATCTCGGGAAACCCCTTGTTTTGCAAGTGAATCAGCCAATGAGTTTGCTGATCTGCCTACCCACTGAATTCTGATTGTCATATTCCTTGTTAACCATTTGACCTTTTTGAGAAGATCTCTAAAACCCCAAATACACAGTGTCTGGATCCTTCAGCCAACCCACTATCACCTGGGAATCCCCTTCAATAATCAGATGCTCTATGCCTAGCTGATTTGCAAGCTGGATTCCTTGTACAGCAGCCAGTAATTCGGCCCTTAAAGAGTCTCCCACACCCGCAGGACCTGAGTACAAAGATATCACGTTAGTATCTTTGTTTCTCAACACTCCTCCTATGCCTGAAGGTCCTAGATTTCCTTGGCTATCAAAGTTCAGCTTGATAAACTCCTCCCCTGGTGGCATCCGTTCAACCCCATGTCTGTCCTTCCTGGTAGAAGTATTAGCCACTACTAACCAACTTCTCCATAGGTCATCAAAAGAGTATGGATCAAACATCTTTAGAGTTTTCAGCCACTGAATTGCCCTTGTCAAAATACATTCTTTAACTTTCGAGAAGCTCCTTTCTTTTTCACAAAAGATTTTGGTGTTCCTTTCTTCCCAAACTGTCCACAACAAAGCTGCTCTTATGCACTTCCACATAATTCTCCCTCTCTTTGTGTGCCATTCAAAAATAGACGGACTAAACAACAAACTAGTATCAGATGGCAGGTTCCACCTACACTCTAACAACGTAAGAATCCAATTCCATAAAGCTGTAGTAAAGGAGCAAGAGATCTGTAAGTGGTGACAGTCCTCATTCTGAGATTTACAAAGAACACACCAATTAGGGGATAAGCACCAATTTAGTCTTCTCTTTTGTAGGTTTTCAAAGGTGTTAATCTTACCATAAAAAACTCCCAAAAAAAAAAAAAAAAACAATCTTTGGGGGAATGGGCCTAGTCCAAAATTCTTTAACTGGGAAATTCTGAGGTGCAGAAGTGGAACAAAGGGACTTGAAGAAAGAGGAGCAAGTGAACAAATCATTCGGGTTAGGGGTCCAAATTCTTGTGTCAGGTTTGAGGGGATCTAAACAAATAGATTCAAGTGAAGACAATAAATCTGAAACACAAGCACTTTCATCATCACGTAACCCTCTACGGAAACCAAAATCCCAGTTTAGGGCCAAAGAAGAGTCTGAATAGGAAATAAAACTGGAAATGGGCTCTTCCTTATAAAGGGAAAGAGAGTAAAGAGGGGGAAAAAGGTCTTTAAGAGGTTGGTTTCCCACCCAAATGTCTTCCCAAAAAAGAGCATTGTGTCCAGAATTAACATCATACCTGACCAGATTGAGAAAATGGGGTAGAATTCCATGAATGGCCTTCCAGGGTGTTGCAAGAGTCACCCTTCGAGATACCCCGGCATCCCAACCGTTCCGCAAACAGCCATGAATACTATTCACCACCTTGTGCCACAACCTCTCTCTCTAACGGTCATCTCCAAAGCCACTTCCCTAGTAAAGCTTCATTCTTAAGAACTAGATTTCCCAATCCTAATCCCCTTTCTTCCTTACTCCTACTGACTATCTCCCACCTAATCAAGTGATCATTCTTCTCTTCCCCTGGCTCCCATAAGAAATCCCTCATCACCTTTTCTAGCTTCTTGGCTTCCCTTGAGGGTATCTTGAATACAGAAAGAAAATAAACCAGAAGACTAGCGAGTGTCGCTCTAATCAAGGTCACTCTACCCCCTATCGAAATGTAACTTTTTTTCCAAGCAGCCAGCCTCTTTTCAAACTTTTCCACAATTGGATACCAGAACCAACTTTCTTTTGGGTTAGCTCCTAACGGAAGGCCCAAATAGGTTAAAGGCCAATCAGATACTCTAGAGAACCTGCTATAGCCTCTACCTCCCAATCTTCCAAATTGATTCCCACCACACAACTTTTGTCAAAGTTAATCGATAGGTTTGAAGCAGACTCAAAGAATTTAATAAGATCTTTTAGGTTCCTCACTCTCCCTAAGTCTCCCCCTTCACAAAAGATGATGATATCATCAGCAAACTGAAGATGAGTCACTGTGACATTATTCCTGCCTATCCTCTAACCTCTTATTAGCCCTTCCCTATCTGCTCTAGAAATCATTCTACTGAGCACATCTGCCACAAGTGTGAACAAAAAGGGAGAAAGAGGATCTCCTTGCCTGAGCCCTCTATGTGCTGGGAAGAAGTCCTTGACCCCTCCATTAACTAGAACTGAAAATTGGCAAGATGTTATGGTTATAATTCTCCATAAAATAAACCACTTGTTTCTGTTATAATTCTCTATGTGTTTGTTGTCCTTTTGTCCCTATCACCGTTTTTTTTTAATAATTTCCTTGTAATGGCAGCATAGTTGTCAAGGTGTCTAGGGTACTCTAGTCTTCTGCACAACAGTGGGGCATCTAGGCGATAAGAATTTCATAAAATAAAAAAAAGCTAAAGTTTGCTTAATTTTCTAGTTTTATATACCATTCAACATGAATATTAACAAATAAAAATAGCAGTTCTCTTTGTAAAGAACATTATCTGTCCTCTCAAAACATGGAAAATCATCATGTCTATGACAGTAGTATTACAAATGTGTCAATTTCAATACTTTCAAAAACAATATTAATATAATAAACATTTAATACAACAATTTCATATCAAATAAGCAACTAAAGAAGGCTATAATTTTATAAGATAGAAAGTAAAAGAGAAAAAAGAACAAGGGAGGGAGGGAGGGAGTATTAGGATATTAGTACACATATGAATGATATTATAATAAAGTGTCTGCCTTGTCATTTTTGTTGCCTAGTCGGGCACATTTTTGCCTAGATGCATGCCTAGTTGCCTCTAGGCATTAAGACGAGGTGCCTAGTCAAGGAGACCTAGTCACCTAGTTGATGCCTAGGCAATGCCTTGACAAACTATGAATGGCAGTGGAATTTGCTTATTTCCACACAAGCATATTTTCCTTCTTTACTCTTCAATAACAAACATGTGTCTCATGTACATAGGTTTAGGAAACCTGGAAACCTACCACTGGATATGTCTACCTAAGCACATTGCCAAGGCCAAGAATTAGCCTGAAGAAATGATCTTTGACTATCTGATCTGTAAATTTTCACTGGATTTTTATGGATTTTTTACCATGAAAATAAGAAGAATCAAATAGATTGTCCATCTGCAGAAAATGGGCACAGACCCATATGTGAAACATTAGATTTTAAGGTGGCAATTCTTTCCAGACCAGTTGGCCAACTGTAAAATTTATCTTGTTTTTTTTTTCCTTTTCCTCCCTTGAGGATTCAGGTTGTCATGTGTCAAGTCCCAACATGATTAGTGTATGTACTGGAACTATCTTGGCATTTTTGTTCCCAACTGTAAAGGGGTGGGACCCCTGTTTTCATGAGTTTACTTGTAGGTATGTGTTCCTCCATAACTGTCACTAAATATTTATTTGGAACGAATGATAGTTTTTATTTATCAAAAAAAATGAATGATAGTTTTTATTTATCAAAAAAAAAAATGAACGATAGTTTTTTTGATAATTGTAAATGAATGATAGTTATTAAGTCATTTAGATATGTAAAGCACGGAATGCAGATAGGTTGTACATTACATTCCACTTGTGAGGTTCTGCATGTGCTGTTATTATAAATTATAGTAGGGCTGCCCAGTGCATGAGGCTCCTGCCAATGTGGGGTCTGGGGAGGGACAGATGTACGCAACCTTACCCTTGCACATACAGAGAGGCAGCTATTACAAATTATAGTAGCGAACTACAAAATCTGATGATGCTACTGATCCCTATGCAGTCAAGGGGTTGATGTTACTTTTCTTGTTGGGAACAAAGTCTTTAACCATACAATTGTTAAATGTTCTTGCATGTGATTTCTTGTCATCTTGGTTGATGCTTTAACTGCACTTCTACAGGTTGTTCTGAATAATGCCACCATAGAGACTGACAATCCAGATCTGCGAGATCGTGCCTATATTTACTGGCGGCTTCTTTCAACTGATCCAGAGGTAGATCTAGCCTATTTAGACACCTTTAGGGCTATTGTGTTTTTATAGCATTTGAAAGTAGTGATATTTTACCTTTTGATTCCCATTTTTCTCAGGCAGCCAAAGATGTTGTGTTAGCAGAGAAGCCTGTTATCAGTGATGATTCTAACCAGCTTGATCCTTCACTTCTCGATGAGCTTCTAGCAAATATTGCTACTCTGTCTTCTGTATACCATAAGCCCCCGGATGCATTTGTAAGCCGTGCAAAAACTGCAGTCCAAAGACCAGAAGATGATGAATATCCTGATGGGGGTGAAGCAGGCTATTCTGAACCCCCAACTCATGCAGCTGATGGTGGTGCATCAGTACCAACTAGTTCAGGTAATGCCCCATATGCAGCTATGAGGCAGCCAGAACCTGCACCTGCCACACCAGCCCCTGCTGCTCCAGTGCCAGACTTACTGGGTGACTTAATCGGCCTAGATAATGCACTTGTCCCTGTTGATGATGCTACAGCACCTAGTGGGTAAGGATTATTGGATTTGAATTGTACTAGTAATGTAATTGAAAGTTTTGACAATATATAGACATTGTGCAGAATGACACTAACATAGTCTTCTAAAAATGCCTCTGCAGCCCTCCTTTACCTTTGTTACTAAATGGTCAAGGCCTACACATAAGTGCTCAGCTTACACGCCATGATGGACAGATATTCTACAGCATGCTGTTTGAGAACAATACACAGATTACACTTGATGGGTTCATGATTCAGTTCAACAAGAATACATTTGGTCTTGCAGCTGCTGGACCTCTGCAGGTAGACGCATCATACAGTCTTGAATTGGCTTATTTTCAACGCTTTTATGTCAAACTGATCATTTTCTTCTGTTAGCTAGGTTCCACAATTGCATCCAGGCACATCAGCAAGGACTCTTCTGCCAATGGTGCTGTTCCAGAATCTCTCTCCTGGTCCTCCTAGTACCCTTCTTCAGGTTGCAGTTAAAAACAACCAACAGCCGGTGTGGTACTTCAATGACAAAATTTCATTGTTGGTCTTCTTTACTGAGGATGGTAAAATGGAGCGTGCTAACTTCCTTGAGGTAAATTCTCAAGGATTTGTTTTTCTTCATATCTTTCTGCCTTTTTTATCATATTACACAGTTGATTTCTTTTATGACGAGGAACATATCCCCATTGCTTTTTTTTTTTTTTTCTATGTTTGATCATCAATGACCAAATATATTTTATTAATGAAAAAAGAGGACAAAGTACAAAAAAAAAAAAACTCTAAATAGTCAACAAAACAAGGTCAAAGAAAAACAAAAAGTATATCCAACTCTGATGTACAACTCCAGGGCCTGGTTCCCCCCGAATTAGAGATCTGATGATGTAATGCAGTACTTGAGGTCCAAAATAGGTTAACAAGGTGATTCCTGAAGAATTCATTTATGAAAACACCACAATCCTCCAAGTTCCTTGGTTTTGAATGACACATGCACATCCATCAAAGTTTAACTTAATATTTGCTTCAAGAAGTGGAGCCCACAAATGAATTTTTCCCCGATTTTTTGTTACCTTGGTGGAGAGATGGGTCAAAGCCTGCTTTAGTAATCAATTTGGATTGCCTTATACTTCGCAGACATGGAAGTCCCTGCCTGACTCAAATGAGGTCACAAAGGACTTGCCAGGCGCTGTGGTGAACAGTGTGGAAGCCACCCTTGACCGCCTTGCTTCATCCAACTTGTTCTTCATCGCAAAGAGGAGGCATGCAAACCAGGAAGTATTGTATCTCTCAGCGAAGATCCCCAGGGGGATCCCATTCCTGATTGAATTAACAGCTGTTGTTGGTATTCCTGGCGTTAAGTGTGCAATCAAAACACCTAGCCCTGAAATGGCACCAATTTTCTTTGAAGCCATGGAGACGCTTCTCAAGGGTTGACGGTGTTTGCCTGTGCTTTTTGTATGTTTTCTCTTCTTTTCTTTGTATAATATATAATGTTGACTACCAATATTTTGGTTGATACTCTTTTGTTTGTCTTTTTCCTTCTTCAGCGGTTATACTATTGATTTAACTGAGTGCAGTTTCAAGGTATTTATTTTCTGGCCATGATTCTGGAGTTCAGATCTGCCCCCCACAGAGTGTGCCCCAACAACGTCCCACACAGCACATCCCAACCGTGTATTGGGAACATCTCCCAATGACAAATATGGGAGATGTTTTTAATGCACACTGAGATGTGCATTTGGGGAGTTTCTGGGGCGCATTCTGTGGGGGGAGGGGGGGGCAGATGTGAACCTAGGGTGACTGAATGTGGTGGCACTGCATTTTATGGCTGCTTGATTTTTTTAACTGTTCCACAATTTTACATTTCTACTTGAATTCTTTTCCTAGCTATTGGCTGTTGAATGTCCTTTATCGTTTTTATTTTTTATTTTTTATTTTTGTATTAATCAATGCCTGATACCCTATAGGGGCCATTACTCCTTAAGTGAACAGTACAATATCACATTAACATCTTGAAGTAAGCATACAATTTTTTTTTTTTTTTACATAAATGATAATATAGCGGGAATGCCCTTACCTTGGTGATATTATTCTATTTCCTTTCAGTAGATGTAGGATTATCCCACATTGTGAACATATCTTGTATTTTATATCACCAATATTCTCGGTGTGACTGGACAAACGTAGCTAACAATATACTATGGTCAGCAGATCCGACCTTCATAGAGTGTGACTTGCCAACCTATGTTGATATCACATTGGCGCCCCACAAAGTGCACCCTCACACAGTACATCCAAAACATTGGGAACATCTCCCAATTATAAGTATGAGAGATGTTCTCAATGCACGCTTTGATGTGCATGTGGGGGCGCAGATGTGAATTCATCTTTTTTCTGTACTCACAAATCTTTGTTGGAATTCGTGAAACGATGAAACCAAAACCAGAAAAAATCTAGAGGCAAAACGCAGCCACAGGCACAGAGAAGACAAGATTTGCGGTGATCGGCAGTGTGTTCCTATGTCCATGGATGGGTCCATACAGAATTTTATTATATTCTAAACTGAAATAAGCACCCTAGCTTTCTTTTGCTAGTTTTGAAGAAGAGTTTCTCCTCCATGGGAATTGAAAATGGTGGTACACCCGTACACCGAAACACCCGACAATGTTAGATTTGTCAATGGGTGGGTTGGATCTGATTCTCAGGACCCAATTATTACCGAGTCCACTTGGTCCCGTACCGATAAGAGCATCCTGTGGATTTGATTGTTGGGATTAGGTGTATTGAAAAGATAATTTTAAGAGATATTTCAGGATATGCTTTGGATACGTATGGATGTATATCAAAAATAAAGATACGCATGGATACATTAGGATATTTATATAAATCTTAAAAAATACATTAATAACAATAAATATAAATTTTATATGACCTTAAATAAGTTATTTAAACACTTATAAAGAAAGCAAGTTATTTAAACATACAAACCCATACTTCGATAGTTTATATAAAATGTGAGATATAGCTATATGGGGACAAATTGGTGATCATTGAAGATAATGGAAGGGGTAAAATGTGTATTAATTTTCAGAAAATCAATATAATTTATATTAATGTTTATTAGTATATAAGTTTTAATACTCAATTTTAACATTAATTAATGAACATTCATTAAGAAGAAAAATATTTGCTTAAGAATAATAATACATAAACTATTAATCAACAATTGAATATGGTGTAGTGGTTTGTTTATGTTTATTATAATCAAATTACTAGGGTTCAATTCTCCTTACCTTTTTTATTTGTTAGTTTTAAATATGCTGGTTTAATGACAAGTCAATTTTGAATTTATTGCTTTAATGGCAGGTCAAATTAAAATTTGAATTTGAATATTGTCATAAATGTAGTAATTAATTATTAATTAAAAGAAAAAAAGAGTTATTAAGAGAGAGGTAATAATTATAGGGGATTAGGAGTTATTTAGGGCAAGTTTCCTTAAATATATGAGTTATTAGAGAGACAAAGTATTATTAAATAGGCTTATTTATGAGAGAGAGATAATATAATATTACAATATGTATAGGCTGATACATTCAAAATATCGGTCTGTATCGGTCGATGCAGATCCCAAACGGCCCAATATGGGTCCGCATCAATCCGATATAGACAAAAAGGAACGAAGTTACTAGATTTGTAGTGTTCCATGTATCGGGATGTTGCTAGAATGATATGTATTGGTTGATATGTTGTGATTTTTTAAGCTTGATTCCACCCCTAGGGTGGAGCTAAGATTCCTAAGGGTGGACTCAATAGTTAAACCCCTAAAAATAGGTTTAGGTGGTTAAGTGAAAACCCTCAATAGTATAAGTTGTATATGGAGTTTACCCTTCTTGTAGGGAAACAAGTTCAATCCTTAACCCTCAAGGACATGGCCAAAGGTAACCAATGTTTAAAGACTAAAGTGGCATTTGGTAGCGTGTATATATCATGGACGGGACCGTTTTGGTCCTATCCACGGTAAGATATGGCATTTTGCTGTGTGTGGATGGTCTCTGTCCATAAAATAGCGTGGACAAGGATTGACCCCCCAATTTATTGTCCATAATATTTTCTCGTAGATGGTCCACACTATGATGTAGACAGTTTGTGGGAAGGTTTCAGTGTAATGCACCCACGTTGCATTGGTCTAATTACTCTCATTTTATTTAATCTTTTAATAATTTTAAACTTTTAATATTTTATCAATAAAATAATAATTTTTAATGTTAATTCTAGCACAAGTTCGATAGTTCTCCTTCTTAACTCTTTTTTCATTATTTAAATATTATTTTTTAATATTTTTATCAATAGAATAATATTTAAAATAATATTTTTTAATATTTAAAATAATATTTTTTAATTATTTAAAAATGAAATTATTGTCTACATATTGACGCCTTTTTTTCAATTTATTTACCATTTAAAATGCAAAAATTAGACATTTATGATCAATTGTGTAGATCTCCCATAAAATGTATATGAGATACATGGAATCAAAAAGTGTGGTTTGGATTGACCCACACCACACCTACAGAACGCCACCATGGGGTGTGGACACAATTCAGAATAGTTGTGGACTATGGTGTGGTGTGGATTGATCCCTACCACGGGGTGTGGTGTGGACCAATCCACACCCACCAATTTCTCATCCACACTATAGAACACCCCTAAAGTATTCAAAATGTTGAGTAATGTAAAAGAAATTTTAAGATAAGTATCTAAATGTGCATAGATAAAGTAGAAAAATTAGGGTATGTATGAATATTCTAGGAAAATTCAAATAAATTTCAAAAAAGGAATCAATGACGCTAAATGTAAGCCTTAGGTAAACTATGCATAAGGTATGTATGTAAACACTAGAAGCACATATTTCCAATCTTTAATAGTTCATGTGAAGCATGAACCACTAAGACACACTTGGGAAGTTTTGAAAAGTGATAGAATAATTAAGGTATGCCTGCATGCTTCCTTAGAAAAAAACAACTGTTGTACATATTTATAATATATAAAGTTTAATGGTCGATTGTTTTTTTTTTAAATTATTAAGCATGAACTAATAAAATAAAATGTTTATTCAAATTTAAAACTCACATAATTATGACAAGTAATTGAAGCATAGTATTGTGGATTTGGTGGTGTGAATAAAGTTCTGTTTGGTTGCAAAACAACTTTATTTGCATTAATAAAAATGAATGGGAGTGCAATTGAAAAAAAATGAAAAATTTGGTTTAATTTTATTTGAGGTTGTACTTTATTATACTTCAGGTCTTATTTACTTCATTTGTTCTGCAATCAAACAAAATAAGATAAAATTTGAAGTAAAAATAAATCAGAATTGCACTAAAAATATTTGTACTACAATAGTTTTGCATAGCCTAGATTTCCTACCCACAAAAACTCTACCACATAATGAAATCATGGGCATCCAGCTGCAATAAATTTTACATACATATACATATAAAGGAGATATTCTTTTTTTTTTTAATAAATTTGTACTCCAACCAAAAGAGTCAATGGTGTAATTAGTGGAAATTAATGAGAGAGAGAGAATGGTAAATTAATGAAAGAGACTTAGAGTTAATTAGAGAAATAAATTAATGATTTAAATGTAGAATTTAATGAAGGAATAGGGTTTAACATAGCAATTAATGAGAGAAAACAAGTGTTAATTAGAGAAACAAATTTGAAATTAAAAAAAAAAAGAAAGATCATTTCAGCTGAAATGGTTAAAATAACAACGTATTTCAGCTGACAAGCCACCTATGTCCTATGCTAGCAGGCTCCAACAAGGTATAATGATACACTCATACACCTTATACATATGAATTTGGGCATTAAGTGTTTCCATATATTATAACTTTTTTTAAATGAGTCAAAGGATTTCCTCACAAAATGGCCATAGCATTATCGATGCAATTTTCACCATCCTTGATGGGTACCCGACTTCCCCGACCCAATGGGGTTGGGGATGGGGAATGAGGTCCCAGCCCCGCCTCAACCTAATTATAAATATATTAAACTTGGTTCGGCTCTCACATGATCACATCTCAACGTACAGTTGTCATCTCATCGTACAAGATATTTCCTAAATGAATCAGCGATGGGAAATTTTACAGGTTGTACAGGTAGCCCGTAGCCTACCCTGCTGAGAGAATGCGATTCAATATGAGCGGGTGACTCAATTACGACTCTGGATTTGTATTTTCAAATTTCAACACGGAGGACGGAGATAGCCTTCTACGTGGGTGTTGACACCGATGCGTTTTACAAATATTCCGTTTCTGTATGCCACATCAGCTGGCAATTGTCGTTTCTTGATGTGTCACATCATATTTCTGTTGATGTGTCATGCATGCCACATCATTGGTGCGTATTTGGCAAGAAAATCTATATATATATATATATTTGTAATTATTAACTTGGAAATTTGAGAAAGAAAGAATTTCTTGAAACGTCAAATGATGTTTCCTGAATCACATTGATAACACTTGTGAATCGAAATCATATGAAACGAAACTCTTGTAAAACGCACCACCCACACCCATTGCTTGGAATCAGGAAACTCCCCCCGCGCATTTGCCTACGGTTCGTGGTCGAGGCGCCGAGCTAGCGACACCAGCACAGAATTGTGAGACATCAATGGTCAGATCAACTCTACAACACCACAACATCATTGGCCATCAAAACCTATTCTCCCACCGCTCCATCAGCTATTTGTCTCTCTGATCTGTCCCGGTCGTCGTCACACTCACACGTATGTCGCTCTCCCCTCATGTCTCATGCCAGTAGAAACACCGTACCTAAACTAAAATGGACCCGTCAGGTCAGACAGATAGAGAGATGAGAGAAGTTTTGTCCACTACCGAAACTGTGGGTGCAATAAGTATACCGGTTCCCACCCCTGGCTGATACCGTGTCTTATATAGTCTCTCCTGACTACAGCTTGGTTCTTACGTTCCCCATGTATTCATTAAGCTCTCAATAATTCATAAATGTGTGTGTATGGAGTATAGACTATGGAGGAGTGAGTTCAGTTGTGGCACCCAAACCAAAAGGCCAGAACAAAATTGGACCGAGGCGACGATGTGGAATGCGTAGTGCAACAGAACCGGCGCAAACACAGCAGTAGTAATAGGCCCCACCCCTCTCTCTGTCATCACCAAATTATCACTGCAGACCCTTATTTATAGTTCTCTCTCTTTCTTGTCTCCCACGAAACGCATCCTCCCCTTCCCAATACAAACACCAACTCTCCGTTATTTCCCGCCGATTAATTCGTTGCAACAAGCGACGGACGACGACAAACCAGCAGCCCAGTTCAACACCAGCTCTGCACCTGCACCAGTACCCGACTACCACTATCACCATCCCACCCTCCCCCATCTTTCTCCTCCTCTGCACGCAATGATGCGCAGTACTCATCCGTTCCACCATTTCTGAAACCTCCAAAGAAAAACAGAGAGATAGGGAGAGAGAATCAGAGAATGCTGATCTCCATCATCTTCGCCCTCCTACTCCCCTGCCTTGGCATGAGCTTGGTGTTCTTAGTCTACTTTGGCCTCTTGTGGTGTGCCACCAGGAATTCCGCAACGTCCGCATCCATCCCTTCGCCGGAGAAGCCTTTGCCGCAGAAGGGTTTGTCAGCATCGGAGTTGGAGAAACTGCCGAAGACCACCGGTGCTGAGTTAATGGGGACGGAGTGCGCAGTTTGCCTCGACGAGATCGAGAGCAGTCAGCCGGCGAGGTTGCTCCCCGGATGCAACCACGGGTTTCATCTTGAATGCGCTGATTCGTGGTTGTCAAGGAATCCCATCTGCCCTCTTTGCAGGGCTAAACTTGAAACTGAGATCTTAAACCCTGATAACAACATCTGCTGAGTCTCTTCTCTTTCTGGGGTTTGTACTTTCGAGTTCCGAGTCCAGAATTTGGTTTTAATTTTTCTTTTTTTTCCTTTTAGTTTCTGGATAGGGTTTTTTCTTTAGGATTTAGCTTTACAACCTACAGGGATCAAGATTTCATGAATGCAAGGTGGAAGAAAAAGAAAAGAAAGAAAAAAAAAGAGCAGAACAGTGACGTTACTACCGAATACTGATGTGGTTGTCCTGTGTAGTGTTTTTTTCCCTTCAGTTTTGCTTTCCAGGCAGGACATGAGGCCAAGTCAGGGTGGCAGCGAAATGATACCAGCAATGCCATGCCGAAAGCCGAGAGGGCGCATCTGCCCGCAGTTTTCCTTTTCCTGTTTCACTTTTTCAGAGATAGATGGAGATGAATGGTTGGTGGTGTAGGATTGTGGGGATCGGATGCATCACCAAAGCAACTGTTGATCACATTTCCCTTTTGATGCCCGATTCCAATCCAACGAATGGATAACAATCGGTATATCACCATCATCGGATCTAGGAATATTCACCATGGGCCCAAAGTAATCAAAGTTTTATACCAGGTCCCTAATTTAGAATTACAACTTTTTTTTTCCTACAAGCCACACCACAGACCACGCATTAGCCCCCATACTGATTTTACTAAACCCTAAAAAGGCTAAAAGCCCAAAACTAAAACCGAAACTAATTTTTAATAAAATTGAAATAACCGAACCGAAATTTTTGGTTTGATTTTCAGTTATTTTGGTTAAAAACCGAATTTAATTATTATATATTATAACCTATAATATATATAAAATTTAATTTGATTATAATAGATTATATAGATATATAACATGTTATATATATATATTAAATATTATATAATGAATTTTAGCTAATTTGGTTTTTTCCATTAACGGAATCTCTAAATCTGAAAACCAAAACCGAAAACCAAAATTATTAAAAACCGGATTTTTCAAAAACCGAAAAAATCGAAACCGAAATTTTCGGTTCGGTAATTTGTTTTTAACCGAATAATGCTCACCCCTACCTGGGGTCATGCTGTCATGCAAAGATTGGGAGTTTGGGCCTTTGGGGCATTGGGCTTGGGCTGCTTTGTGAAGGTGCATTAAAGATAGGCCCCGCCCATCCCGGAGACAAAAGGATATAGCCCAACACAGGCCGTCGAGCATATGTAAGGCCTGAACCCGATTGGGTCTGTTGAACACCAAATCCAGGCCCATAAACATCGTATATCTATAATTCTATATCCAGCTCTTATTATTCGTTGTCAGTTGCCAGTTGCCAGTTGCCACCCCACACCTCCACAAGAAACATGTTTTCAGGAAAAATAAAATCAAAGATGTTTCAGCAACTTCCGAACTCCGGAGAAAAGCTGAAATCAATTTTAAAATACTCACTCACTCACGGCCCAAAATCTACAGTCTTCAAGCTCCCCGAGTTCCGAATTTCGGTTTAGGTTTTTGTTCTTTCAGCCCATACCGGCCCACGAAGTGTGGGCCTTTGGATTTCTATTTGCTAAAGTGGGATCCATTGGATTTGGACCATTGATTCGACGTTACGTATAGCTGCTGTGAAAGATGAAGCGATTACACATGTTTGACGGACAGTAGCGACGTAGCGTCAGCTCGAGTTTGTGGCTAATGGAGTCGCATCGGCATTGCTCTTTCCTTTTCTTATATGATAAAATAAATTTTCGAACGATAAGCTAGTTGCATCGTTCTAATAGTGGCCTTCTGTTTGGTGAGCGATTACAGACTTTACAGTTGCATTCGTCTCAGCTCAGAGAAAGTATGTGGGCTTCTTGGAGGCTCTCTCCTTGTTATGCTTACAGGACACGTAATGGGTTCTGTTGCAGAGCTGATGGTCTGCCAAGTAATACTGACGAGAAGAAGAAAGTTGTCGTCGTTGGTTCTGATTGGGCTGGCCTAGCCGCTGCTCACCACCTCTGCAAGCAGGTCTCTCTCCTAAGCCCATCAAATGTTTTGTGTTTGGTTTCAAGTTTTGAAAATCGTTGGATGAATTTTAGCGAGTTGTTTTCAGGGTTTTGATGTGACCCTCCTTGAAGCTGGAAAGTCTTCTGTATCTAAGAACATGTCTGCTAGCTATGGAGATGTAGGCATCCATGGTAATAATGCATGCTTACTATTTTCTCTGTGGCATCTAATTTCTTATTTTGTAATTTGGCTTTTCCGTATCGATAGAACCTTTTGAGGGATTATAAGAATTCACATCAAGTTTATTTGATTGCATTCACCGGAGGCTATGTTCTTTTGATAGAAAATAAGAGTGAAATTCCTTGGGCTCAGTTTGGAAAGAGTAGTCAAATACAAATATGTACATTGTAAATGCAAGGTTTAGAAATATAATATACAAGGTTTTGCACTGTGCATATTTGCATTTGTAATCTTATCAAACTGAGCCTTAAGAACTTTCCCTCAACTTGTTTCTCTCTTATTTTCTGTCAAACCAAAAACAGCCTAAAAGTTAAGATATAAACGTCGAAGTAGGACTATTTTCCCTGGTATAGAAAACATAACCGTTCAGGAACCTTACAGGTTGACAGAAGAAATGGTTCTTGAAAGAATGGGATGTGAAACAGGGTTTATGTACTGGAACCATATAGTTAGGATAGAACCTTGTTGAATTAAGCATGTCTTGATACTTATCCAAAAAAAGTTAAGCATGTATTGAATTGAATGCGTGTAACTATGGACATGGAGTTCCCAACATTTCAGAGTGATTGCCATAAAGGAGGGAGGGGATAATTCTTTTGGACCTTTTTCCCCAATAACCAACAATTTTCTACTTTTTCATTCAGGCTTCTGGTATCCCTATCGAAATATATTTTCCCTTGTTGATGAACTGGGAATCGAGCCTTTCACTAGCTGGACAAGATCAGCACAATACTCCCCAGAGGGTTTGGAGGTAATTTATGTCATGGAGCTCCTTGATACTTTCAGTACGTCCAACAATGAGAATAAAAAATTCTCATGACTTTACTTTGTCAGCTCACCTATAATGGGCATATATAATTCTCATGACTCAGTTTCTAGTTGGTTTTGGTGTTGTGCTCTTGATCCTTGTTCTAGCACTTGGTTCTGTGATTATCCAAAATCTACTAATGTCCTGTTTAGTTTAAAATAATTTTGAAGCTAGCAGAACCCTCCAGGGAACATTACAAAGAAGCCTAGACTTCATATTGAGTTGGAAATTGCTACTATGCAGGTTGAATTTCCAATATACCAAGAACAACCTGAATTGCCAACTCCTTTGGGTCCTTTATTTTACACACAGGTATGTTATGTACTATAATTTTTGAGAAATGGTGGATATTATTAATGGTGAACATTTTGTTCTTTCATTCACCAGCACACAATTTACAGTTCTTCGTGATAAAATCCTTTTCATATTCTTCCCAGTTCCTTCGCCTCCCTTTGGTGGATCGACTGACATCACTTCCTCTGATAGCCGCAGGTATGGATTCCTGTAATTTTTCATAGTTTCAGTAGCCACCAGTTTTCATGGTTCTACAGGTTCAGCAGTGTGAGCCCTATGGTAGCTTCATATTGAGCGACCGTTTGTACTATGGTATAACTTACAAGTCCATTTTGGTAAAGTGGCTTGCATTACATATTACTTATATTCTTCAAGTTACCAAGTGGAAACTTCTATCTGTTTATCCTTTTGATCTAATCAGGACAAACATCTATAACTTTTTCCTTGATTTCATTTATTATCATTTTCTGTTAAGATCATCCATCATGGTTTGCATTACATATTACTTATATTCTTCAAGTTACCAAGTGGAAACTTCTATCTGTTTATCCTTTTGATCTAATCAGGACAAACATCTATAACTTTTTCCTTGATTTCATTTATTATCATTTTCTGTTAAGATCATCCATGATTATGATGATGATATATCTATCTATCTATCTTTACAAACAAACATACACCCCACTGAATCATCTTTCCTTGATTTCTTTTTTTTTTTTTTTTTTTTTTTTGTAATTCAATTTTAATCATTTCCATTGCCACTACCACTATTCTTTACATTGTACATGCATATCTATTTTTTAACATGTTCATTTGTTTGGAATTAGGGTCCTTTGGCAAGCAACAAATTGTGTTATATTCATATAGTCAATAAAATTGTGTAATAGGATTTTTTTTTTCTCTTACATTTCCTTTTCATCTACCTCATCTCCGCCCTTGGTTTGCAGTCGTTGACTTTGACAACACTGACACTGCTTGGAGAAAATATGATTCAAGTATGAAAGATCCTGATAACTGAGTTATTTATCAAATTTTGTAAAATATTTTTGGATGATAAGTATTGATCCTACTAGTTAATTTAAAATTGAAATATTTTAAGCTCAAATTTTGATCTTGTAACTTGCAGTGACTGCTAAAGAACTTTTTAAACAGTTTGGCTGCTCTGAAAGGCTTTATCAAGATATTATCAATCCAATGCTTCAAGTGGGCTTGTTTGCTCCATCAGAGCAATGTAGCGCAGCTGCAACATTAGGAATGCTATATTATTATGTTCTAGCTCACCAGGTTTATATTCTTTTTTTTTCCCCACAAAGACATCATGCCCTTCTAGCTTGTCAAGTTTGCTTCTCTTGATAGGTTCTTTACATCTGCAGCTTTTTGTGATGTGTCTACAGAAACATTTTGATGTTAAATGGTGTCGTGGGTCTGTTGGAGAAAAAATTTTCAAGCCATGGATGGACTCAATGAGAAAAAGAGGTTGTGAATTTCTGGAGGGAAAAATGGTGACAGATTTCTCTCTGAATGAGGAAACTGGATGCATTTCGGAAGTTGTGTGTGAAAAAGAGAGGTACAAGGCTGATGCAGTTGTCCTTGCCATTGGAATTTCCAGTCTTCAGAAAATTGTTATCAATAGGTATCTTATCTAAAGGCTTTATCCTCCTGGAGGAGAAAATCAACTTTGCTAGTTTAAATCCAGATTTCCTAAATTTGGTCCAGTGTACCAGTTATATTTTAGCTTATTTTTAAAGAATAATTGCCTTCTCCAATCCAAAAAAATAAAAAACTCACAAACATACTTTGTGCACGTTAAAATATGCTTAATTTTTTAACCAGGAGTCATGAACCAAGCCAAACATCTTAAACATTCAAAGTATGCCAAAAGTCAGAACCAAAAATCTTCTTTCTTTAGTCCTTCAAATTCTGGAAGTACCAACACCCAACTAACAGATAATGAAGAGGTTTTTTTTTTATGAATGAATATAATTTATTAAACCAGAAATATGAGGCAATACAGGAGACCCAAGAGGAGGCACGAGTTGTTACCTCTTCTAGCAACTATTACATCAATTTAAAAACAGAAATAACCAGAAATAGAATTACAGAGCAGCCCAAAATAAACATTCCCTTGAAGCCCCTTCCTTAGCTAACCCATCCGCTAAGGTATTTGCTGATCTTCCCACCCAAAGAGAGGTAACAGTCATGTTTCTTGTGAGCCAGTTGACTTTCTTCAACAGGTCTCTGTGTTGCCACATAGCTGAAGCTGGGTCTATCAGCCATCCCACAACAATCTTAGAGTCCCCTTCAACAACCAAGGGCTGAACTCCTAATTGTTCTGCAATCTGAATACCTTGTACCGTCACTAACATCTCAGCTCTGTTGGAGTCTCCTATTCCTACGGAGCCTGAAAACAATGCTAATATTTTGCTCTCCTTATCTCTCAGCACCCCTCCTATCCCCGATGGGCCTGGGTTTCCTTGGCTGCTTCCATCAAAGTTCAGCTTTTCCCATCCTTCAGGCACACTGCAGATTCCCTATCCTTCCTTGTATGGCTGTTAGCCACCACTATCCAGTTTCTCCAAAAATCATCAAAGGAGAATGTATGAAATAAGTCCATAGTTCTTAACCAATGAATGGCCTAGTCAATATATCAATATACTGTCCTCAACAGCCTGAATGCTTCTTTCCTTTTCCTTGAATACCCTTGCATTTCTTTCTTCCCAGATTGTCTACAAGGCAGCTGCTCTAATACATCTCCACATTATTTTTCCTTTTTTTGTAGGCCACACAAAAAAGGAAGGATCGAACAACTGACTTAAAGCTGTGGACAGATTCCACCTGCATCCAAACAAAGAGAAAATCCAAGTCCAAATAGCACTAGAAAAGGAACAAGATACAAGTAAGTGAGAGCAATCCTCACCACTAGCCCCTGCAAAGTACACACCAGTTAGGGGACAAACACAAAGAAGGCCTTTTCTTTTGCAAGCAGTCCAGGGTATTAATCTTTCTATAAAACACCTCCCAGCAGAAAATAATAACTTTAGGTGGAACCGGTCTAGGCCATATCTCCTCGGTTGGAAAACCCCACTGTCCTTGGGAAGAGCAAAGGGATTTGAAAAAGGATTCACAAGTGAAGTAGCCTTTTGGGTGAGGGGACCATAATCTCACATCCAAGCTAAGAGGGTCTAGAAAGACACTACCAAGAAGGGACAACAGATCTGAAACACTGTTAAGTTCATCATCCCTCAACCCTCTTCGAAAGCCAAAGTCCCAACTTAAGGAGTGGGGTGAAATAGGGGATGGGAGAAAATGAGAGATAGCTTTTTCCTTGTAAAGGGAAATAGAATAGAGAGACGGGAATTGGTCCTTAGGGGCAACAACACCCACCCAAGTGTCTTCCCAATATAAAACAGAGATATTGGAATTGACATCATACCTGACAAAGTTGAGAAACTGAGGGAGAATACTTTGGATTGCTTTCCAAGGAAATTCCAACGTAGCTTGATGTGATACACCCTTATCCCATCCATTTTCCAGTCTACCATGTATACTAGCCATCACTTCATGCCACAACCTCTCCCTTTCTCTAGGCTATCTCCACAACTATTTTCCTAAAAGAGTTTTATTCTTGAGAGTTAACCTTCCTAGTCCCAAGCCACCTTCCTCTTTACTCCTACAAGCTATTTCCCAATTGATTAGGTGGTCTTTCTTTTCCTCCCCTGGCTCCCAAAAGAAATTTCTCATTAATCTCTCCAACTTCTTAGCTTGCCTATTAGGAATCCTGAAAATAGAGAGAAAATAGATCGGTAGGTTTGCTAGGGTAGCTCTCAATAAAGTCACTCTACCCCCTATAGAGATGTAGTTCTTTTTCCAAGAAGTTAATCTTTTCTCAAACTTTTCCAACACTGGGGTCCAGAAACTACTCTCTTTTGGGTTAGCCCCTAGAGGGAGACCCAAGTACTGCAATTGCCAAGAAGAGACGGAACAACCTAAACAATCTGCCACAGACTGAATAATCCCCTCATTCATATTAACACCTACTACACAACTCTTATCCAGGTTTATCTTCAAATTGGAGACCTCTTCAAAGTGTTGTAGCAATGCTTTGAGATTCCTCACTTTTTGCCTGTCACCCCCTTCACAAAATATTATGATATCATCAGCAAACTATAGGTGGGTTACCTGGATATTGTTCCTTCCTATTCTCCAGCTACTCACTTCCTCTTCCGTATCTACCTTAGTGATTAATCTACTGAAGACATCTGCAACTAAGGTGAAAAGAAACGGGGAGAGTGGGTCACCTTGTCTAAGGCCTCTACAAGCTGGGAAAAAATCTTTGACCACCCCATTCACCAGATAATGAAGAGGTTTCCGCCCCAACTTCTTCCAACCTTTTCATTCTTCGTTCAAAGATCCTCTTGTTTCTCTCCCTGCAAACCTCCCAGAAGACAGCAAACAGAATGCAGCTCCAGATTATTTTTGCTTTAGTACTTCCAAAAACTCTCAGCCAGTCACAAAAGATTCCAGCAGAGTCCACTGGTGCCCATCCAACCACTTTAAAGAGATAAAAGAAGAAAGACCAGATCCTTTTCACAAAATTGCATTGAACTATCAAGTGCGTAATATTCTCCTCTTCAGCAAAGCATAGCACACATCTGTTGGGAATTGATAGCCTCTTTTCTTCAACATGTCATGTGTAAGAATTTAGCCTCTTGAAATCAGCCATGCAAAAGCTTCAGCTCTTGGGGGAACAGGTTTTCCCCAAACACATCTAATTGCATCAGCCTCCACCTGGTTCCTCATTAAAGCATTATGCATAGATTTGACCGTAAATATCCCATCTTTACACTCTTTCCACCATTTGACAATCTGATGACAATGGGTCAATTTCCACCTCTTGAAGCTTAGCCAGCAACTCCATGCACTCCTCCAATTCCCAATCAAATAAAGGTCTTTTAAATTTATGGCACCAGATCACAACACAATTACTAACCTCATAGAAGTGTAAAATAGGCACTCCCTTCTCACATAAATTATACAATCTTGGACAAAGATCACACAACTTTCCAATTCCAGTCCAATCATCCTCCCAAAACCTAATACTAGACCCACTCCCCACCCTCCATGAGCAAAAAGGAAGCAACAATGAGTTGAACTTCATAATCCCCTTCCACACGCATACCCCATAAGATTTCCTCACCTCCCTCCCATCCCACCCAAAGTTTACCACTCCATACTTACAAGCCACCACTCTCTTCCAAAGGGCATCCCTCTCCCTCCCGAACCTGCAAACCAACTTACCCAACAAAGCTTTGTTAAATACACCCACTCTTCTCACTCCTAAACCCGCATCTTTTTTAGGTCTACACACCGAGTCCAACTTAACCAAATGAAACGTCTTAGGAAGAGAAAATAAATTGGCAAATTTGAAAGAACACTCTTAATTAAAGTTTCCCCCCCAAAAGACAGAAATTTCCCCTTCCAACCCGCCAATCTCTGATCAATTCTATCTAGGACAGGTTGCCGAGTGGAAGAAGCAATGACCCTAGCCCATATTGGAAGACCCAAGTAAGAGAAAGGAAATTCCCAATTAAACGTCCCTAGGCTCCAGCACCTTCCTCCAAAACAGCTTGCCGAATATCTCCCACTCCAATCATAACACTTTTACTAGGATTATCTTCAAGCTTGACAACAGTTGTAAGCATTTAAGAATACCCCTTATTGTTCTCAAAGTAACCCAAAATCTGATTGCACATCTATTTATAACCTAAGCAAGCAACTTGGAGAATCATATTTCTCCTTTAGGCTCATTTTGGAAGGAGTACAAATACAAATATGTACAGTGCAAATACATAAAAAATAATACAAAATACAAGGTTTTGTACTCTACAAATTTGCATTTGTACTCCTTCCAAACTGAGCCTTAATTTTTATCCTGTTTCACTGACAATTGGATACTGTATATAGTTCAGTTCTACAATCAAAAGGGGAGTTTCTGAGAATTTTGAACTTGTCAGGCATCGATGTGCTCACTGTTAGACTGCATCTTGATAGGAAGGTCTGTTCAATGACTCTTTTCTTTCCTTTATTGTCATGAGAAATGCTTGCATCTGTCTAGGCCTCTAGGATTTGCACTTCACATACATGCTGAGGAAATTTCTACCCTGCATTATGTTCCATGTTTGTGACTTAAGTAGGGAGGTCATTTCTTCTTGTCACCATGTCCAAATATTCTTCTCTATTTTGGGAACTGAGGGAAGCTTATGGTGTTAACTCCATATATAACCAGGTTAACATTCCAAAAGCATGCAATATTTGCTGTGGTTTTGATGATTCAAGTGGGTGGACTTTCTTTGACTTGAATGCTATTTATGATGAGTACCGGGACAATCAAGTGACAATAATAGAAGCAGACTTTGTAAGTTTACTATCATCTCTTTCTACAAACCAAAGAATGTTTAAGTATGGTTTTCAATTGTTTTGTCTGTCTCCTATAACATTAGCTCTGTGCAGTATCATGCAAATCAATTGCTTCCACTTAAGGATGACCAGATAGCATCAAAAGTGATGTCTTTCCTTTCACTGTGCGTTAAAGACATTGAAGATGCTACTGTGGTTGAGAAAGAAGTGGGTAGATCCTAAATCCTTGACTCACTTCTTTCCAGGTAAGTAGTTAGTTGGCAATGAGATGATTTCTGCAGCAGTTTTCTTCATTGCACAGAAAATAGAATTTTTTTTTATTCTTTTATTAGTAGAAAATAGAAAATTTCCCTTATCTACTGTGGATGTGCATTGTTTCGTTAAATGAATACTGCAATCATTACAACAGAAAATAATAATCATTATTCACAATTAGCCATGCTTTTGCCCCTTAATGTAGGGCAATTGATTTGGCATCTTGATTTTGGCAAATGTGGCAATCCTTGTAAAGGAAATTTGACCCATATTGAATGGTTGTTATTCAAAGGTTAATAAACAACCCTGGCTTGAAGACTTACAACTTGCTAATGAATACGTGCCTTGAGAGAGTTGAATTATGGAATAGGATTCATGTAGCCAACCCCATATGGGTGGGATAAGGCTTTGTTGAATGGAGTTGATTGGGGGAAACTGGCAACCCATTGACAAGATTTGAGGTATAAAAAGTACTGCACCTTAATTGAGATCAATGTTTTTTACTTGAACAATTGGGCAGTTGGGTTCATTCAACAATGCAACCTTTGGGTACCATCAGAGGGATGCAACTTGTTGGTCTGAATGTGAATAGACCATCAAATAATACAGTTGTCTTTACTTATGATAAATACCTCCTGGTATGTTTCTTTCTCTTTTTCTTCAGGTTCTTACAATTACATGATGCGTGGGTCAACAACTTTTCCAAACTTGTTCATGGCTGGAGACTGGATAATAACTCGACATGGATCATGGTCACAGGTTATAATGCCTCAAAGTGTAAACCTTTTCTTTTTCTTCCTCTCTTTTTCTTTCTTTCCTCTCTCCTCCCTAGTAAACATTCTAATTAAATTCCCTGCCGTCTTGTATTGATTGAGACAAAATAAACAACAACATCTATTTACATTTGCCTGCAGGAGAAAGCTTATGTCACAGGTCTTGAAGCCGCCAATAGGGTGGTCGACTACTTTGGGGAGGGAAATTTTGCAAAAATTATAGCAGTGGGGGAAGACGAGCCCCATATTGAAACTCTTCGCAGCCTCAACAGCTCCATAAATGAGTTAAGAGCACAACTGCCCTTGTCTGATTATTTTCTCCAGTAGCAATTTAACTCCCTATCTGTGATTCTCTAGATTCAATGTTGACTACGTATAAGCAGTAAAAAATATAAAAGAAAATGATTTATATTTGAGTATTTCAATTTTCCCTCTTTGCATGTGAATTCTCTTTTTTGGTGAATAGTGATGAGAGAGAGCTCTGGGAATTTGGGTTGTAAACGAGTCGGATCAAATTCGAATAGGGGGTATTGTTGTTCAGAGGGATGCACGAATCTCTCTCCCTCTTTTTTTGTCTTTTGTCCATTTTTCCCCCATTGTCTTTTGGTTTAAACTTGATTCTAGACCTTTTCCTATCCTCTTATAGCATACTACCATGTGAAGGCTCGTAATCCCACATTGCTTGCTTGGAAAAGGAAATAAGGTCTTCCTCATTAATACGGGGGCCTGCACTGTATCTTTAAAGAGTATGTGAGCCTTGGTTCCCATGCAAGCTATAAAAGGAAGGTTCAAAATATTGGGCGTATCGTATCGTATCTTTTAAAAACCGAACAGGATATGTATGAAAATCGGATGCTTCATCTTTTTTTTATGCGTATTGGACCCTATTGGGGGTGTATTGGGGCATATCGGTAGCGTATCGATGATAAAGATATGACGAAAAACTAAAAATAATTGAAGGGGGAAAGTAAGCTTTTTTTTCTCCGAAATAAACATTCTTTAACCCCCAAATGACTCTAAAATTCCAAATTTCATTCCTAGAGTGCTAGATTTGCAAAATTTTGCAAGAAACAAGTGTGAATCGTTAATTTTTTTAAAGAAGTTTCAAATTTTGAAAAAATATGGCAAAAATAGGTATTTTTTTTAATCTTTTATAATATCTTGTGATTTTTTTTTCTTGAATGTTTAAATTTATGTTGATATACATTTCTTACATTCAAAATCATAATTTTTTTGTACTATCAATAGATTTATGGAAATTTCATGAAAATATTTGGGGAAAATATAAATTAACAAAAAATTTGAAAATATAAGTTTTTTCTCTACCTATAAAGACTAAATATGTTTTAGATCTATGGACTTATCTATCATATTCATAGAGCAATTGAAATTTCGTCTTTAATATTTTTTTTGATTTTTTATATTTTTAAAATTAAAAAATAATTAATAATTAATTATATTTTATCATTTGATCATAACAATTGAATATATTATAATTCTATGGATGATCTATCATATCCATAGACCAATTGAAATTTCTTTTTTTAATAACTATTTTTCGAATATATTATATAACGTTTATTTATTTGTTATAATTTTTTAAAATGAATAATAAATAATAATTATTTAAACAATAAATAATTAGTAATTATATTTGCACAAAGTTGTGCCAATGCATGTTTTATGGTTGGATAGAATAGTTGGGATTTTCTCATCCCATAAAACATTAAAATTTATGAATTATAATTTATAAAATATAGTTGAGCATATAGGATTTTTAATGAAATTATAATTAGTTATAGTATATTTCTTCATAAAACCATTAAAATATATTAGTTTAATATATATACACCTCATTTAGGTCTTATATTTAGTGTTGTTGATGTATTTTTATGATTTATTAAAGTATTTATAGTGTTTTCAAGCGTATCTTAGTTTTTCTCCGATACACATGTGTGTCCAAGGTGTATCCCGATATGTATCTTAAAATCGTCTCTCTAATAACGTTTCCAATACTTTGAACCTTGTATAAAAGTTAAAGGGTAAATTACAAAGACCCCCCTGTACTATGGGGTTTGTGACAAAGACCCCCTATATTTTGTTTTGCGACAAAGATCCTCCCTGTACTAAGACTGCAAGACAAAGACCCCCTTCGGTTAACTTTTCTTGAAATCTGCTGTTACAATATTTTTTAATCCCTATACTACCCTTATAATAATTATTCGAACAGGAAGAAAAACACTGTTCATCTTTCTGGACTTCACAATACACGAACAGTAAGGGTGATAATCCCTTCTACCTCAAATTCCTTCACATCTTTTTTTCTCTCTCTCTCTTCTTCCCCTCCCTTTCTTCATGTCATTTGGGAAGAATAATCTAACGGGAACCCATTTTGACCAGCTTTGTGATCGGTGGTAATCCCTCTCTCTCAAAATGGGTTCCCGTGTGAAACCCAGAAAGAATACTCTTCATGAATAGAAAATTACAGCCAAAGCGATTGCGTGGTCGTAGGCCTTGAATCCCGTTCTGTACTCCAACTTTGAGATCTCTCACGTATCCCCGGAATCTCTAGAACCTTCAAGGAAATTCAGCTTGGATAACTCAGGACCTAGGGTTTTGTTCTATGCTGATCCTGCCGTGGACCTGTTACTGAAATCCGGTGCAAGTCACTACATTGAATTTAAGAGTATCGACGCAAGCTTCATTTACAGTGGTGACGGGAGATTTTTGGCAATGCCAGATTCTCGAGCAGCAATTTTCAAGGATCGGAGTCTTGGATTGACCGAGAAGAGCCAACTGATCGATCAAAAAGCTTCAGCCCTATAAATCTAAAATGGGCTTGTTTAGACCGACAACCATAGGGAGAATTGAAATTTTGACATCGCCAGATTATTCTTCCCAAATGATACGAGAAAGGGGAAGGGGAAGAAGAGATATCGGGGGAGAGAAAGAGAGAAATGTGAAGGAATCTGAGGTACTGTTCGTGTATCATAAGTTCGGGGAAGATGAACAGTGTTTTCTCACAATTTGAGGATCTGAGTTCTGTCGACTGTTCTTAATGGTTAAGGAGAGTCTTTGTCTCACAGTCATAGTCCAGGGGTCTTTGTTATAGACCCCATAGTACAGGGGGGGTCTTTATAATTTACTCAAAGTTAAATTACCAAATTCATATACTGTTATAATTAAACCTCATGTATCATATTAATACTTGCACTTGTGCTCTAATACTATTATAACACTGATGTTTATTTTCACCTCAAAATGAACCAACCCAAAATTTTAGTCCATTTATCTTCCTATTTCCACTCTTTCCACGGTACACATTCACGCATTGAAGCAGGTTTGGCCGTTTAGTTGAATTCCTCTTTTTATTTTTTTAAAGCTATATCCTAATCTGGCCCGATATCTTGAATATGAATTTATCTATATAGAACTAGTCTAGTTTTATAAAATTAAATATAAAACAAAAAATATACCATAAATGGATAAACAAGCTTATCTGTATCCCAAGTATAATGTAATTCTGAAGAATTTTAATACTAAAACTTAATATTTTATATATGTATATATCATCTGATAATCAAGCAATAGCCAAATTTGATTCAACTATGGCTAGACAAATATCTGAATCCAAGTTAACTGAATCATATTCAATTTAAAAATCGGATCAAATCCAATCCATTTGCAGCCCAATATAGAATGGTGCCAATATAAGACTCAGAACACATCTATATTATACATTATAATAGGGTGACGATTAAGTCTCTCCTAATGATCTTTATATTTTATTTTATTTTTTTAAATGTAAATTCAATTCAGACGTGATATTGAGCGTGTCTTTATTTTCATAATTTTTATTTTATTTTTTAGTACTACTTAATAGTGCGGAAGGTATGGCTATATGAATTAACGTGTCATGTCACGTGGAGAAAGCCTGTCGACAGCCAAAGTTTTTCTCCTTTCCTTCTTTCTTTTTCTTTGACAATGTAAAGAGAGAACTAGCCTGCTGCGTCATCACCTTACTATCAGAGCATGGTGTGCACGCATCCAACCAATAATCATGCACTCATGGCTTCATGCCACCTAAATGAAATAAAGCAAAAGAGGCTAAAGGTTGCGTTCCTTCGATTGGATTGGGCTTTTGAAGTTTGGAAGCTTACTTGTCTAGTTAGGTAACAGGGCCTAGGAGGGTCGACCATCCAGTAAATGGGCCCGGGTAACTGGGTAAGCTGACATTTTGTGAACGGAAATTCGATTTGGGCCTCCATGTCAAAAATGCTCTCAGTCGCAGTTAAGACACGTAATTTCTTCTGTGTGTGAAGGGTTTCAGGCCACGTTCAATCGTAATCGTTGCAGTTGAGCTTGACCGGAGATCATGGGGCCGACCCCAAGCAGACACAGCCACACAGACTCTGAGAGTGAGAGATCCTCCTCTTCCTCTATCTTCAATTCCACATTCCGTTACAAGTGGAAGCTACCTCGGCCCAGTTTCCTCGAAACTATAATTGATACGCGTGCCGGCATCTGATACGGTTCGAGGCATGTGTAGCCAGCATCTTCAATATGTCTTGGTCTTGGTGGGACGTGTGAGTCACATTTTTGGTTTTTATCCACTTCGACACGGCATTGTTCAGACACGTGTCCGAATCTTGGGAGACCAGGACGATCTGAAAGGGTAACGTGCTATATCCATAGCAATTGGTGGTGGACCCGACTCCCGAGAAGATTTGGAATAATTGAGACTTGAGACAGGCCAACATCTTCAAAGGGGGATCACATGTAACATCTGGCACTTTTTACGTGTCACCTGTCTGCACGGAATCGAATTTTTCTCGAGAATTTAACAAAAAAAAAAAAAGAGAAACGTGCAGTTTTACTCCCTGCTGGGAATTTGATCCAATGTAGCCGACATGCATTTATATTATACACCACTACTATTACCCTATTAGGCTAGGCGTGTGAGACAGCGAGTTTGTAACAGCAGGGCCCTGTAGCTATAGCCTATAGGATTATCGTTTCTGTATTTTATTATAGAAAAAACGGGACATCAATCTAGAATCTTGATCTTTAGCGGTCATGTAACGTATTACGATCGTTCAACTACTATCATCCCATCGTCTCAGGCTTTCCAATAGCACACCCTCAAAATAAGTAGGCAGTTTAGAGGGAGACTAATTTATTCACATATCAATAGAAGAAGATGTCAAAACAGCTCTCTTTTAAATGAATATTTACAAGGTGCCGGGGCCCATTCTTCCAAAAGTACTGGCACATAGTAGGAAGAAACACAACTCATTATAAATTTTTTCCACAGTCGACACCTATTTAAAGAGTTAAACCATACCCACCTAGTCTTCATACCAAAAAAAGTAGGGGTAGAGTCAGTAGACCAACACCATCCAATTAGTCTTTGCAATGTAGTATACAAGGTGCTAGCAAAAGTAATGGCTAACACGCTCAAACCTCTTCTTCCCATGATAATTGCTCCAAACCAGGCAGCCTTCGTCAAAGGCAGAAACATTGCAGATAATGTAATCTTAGCCAAAGAAATAATTTACAAGATCAAGCATCAGAAGGGAAAAACAAGATGGGCAATGTTAAAAATTGACATGGCCAAAGCCTTTGATAGAATGGGGTGGGAATTCCTCATCCAAACCCTAAAAAAACAGGGGTTTCCAGAGAAATGGTGCAACTTTGTTAGTTAGTGCATCACCACTGTCACCTAATCAATAAAATTAAATGGGAGTCCTCTTGAATTATTTCATACTAACAAGGGACTCTGGCAGGGGGACCCCCTATCACCCTATCTTTTCATAATTGGAATGCAGGTGCTAACAAAAGTTCTGGAGAAGGAGGCTACGGAAGGCATGCTGCAAGGCATAAAGCTAGCTAGGCACTCAGAACCCCTTTCCCATCTCCTGTTTACTGATGATCTTCTCATTGTCAGCAAAGCTACTCCAAAATCCCTCTTTGTTGTCAAATCAACCCTCCTCCAATTTTAGCAAATAGTTGGCCAACAAATAAACTTCAACAAGTCAAGCATTGTCTTCAGTAGGAACACACACGGAACTCATCAGAGGCTCATGGGTCATCTGGTAGGCATGGAATTAATGCAACCTAGGATGAAGTACTTGGGTGCTTGGATGGATGAAGCAAGAGGAGGCATTGGCCCTCATGCGGAAATTCTTACAAAAACAGAAAGCCAACTAGACACTTGGAAAGCTAAAGTGCTCTCTCAAGCAGGCAGAACTACCATGCTAAAAGTGGTCACCCAAAATATACCTATCTACCAAATGTCCACCTCATTATTCCCAAAGAAGACTTTGAAGAGATTGGACCAACTACAATGAAATTTTTGGTGGCAAGGTGAAACAAGCAAACAAGGAGGCCACAATATCCCTTGGAGCAGGATTTGCAAACCCAAATCTGAAGGGGGGGCTAGGCCTTAGGAGGCAGAACCAATGAACAAAGCCCTTTTTGCAAAACATTTTTAGAGGTTGCTAACAGGAGAGCGAAACCTGTGGAAGGAGCAAATTTGGGCAAAATATCTAAGGAACAAGTCCATCTTTAAAGTCAAACTAGGGAGATCTCAGTCACATTGGTGGCGAAACATCCTAAGTATCAGGAACAGTTTCACACCACACCTCTGTTGGAAAGTGGGGGATGGAACTTGCATCAACTCTCACGATGATCCTTGGATCCCAAGTCTTCCCTCTAATAAACCCCAACCCCGACAACTGTAAGACCCAAATGTCAAGAATTGGATGGTCAAAGACGTCATCTCCTCTCAGGGGGTTTGGAACTCCTAACTGTTATACCATGTCTTCACAGATCTATCAGCCGAAGCTATCCTAAATATTCCTTTGACCCCACAAAGCCAAGAGGACAAGCTTCTTTGGAAAAGATCGAAGGATGGGGAGTACTCGGTTTGATTGGCTTACAGAAGCTTCTCATACTCTGAAACTATGGGTCCCTCTCGAAAATAAATAAGGTAGTCAAAATTATAGACCACAAAAGCCCCCCTCTATGCCAACTCATTGGATGTAAAGTCCTAATGAATGGCGTAAAAATGAAGCAGTCAATTTGGTTCCTAAGACACTCAGGGGGCTCGATTTGTGTCCTCTGTGACACTACACTGGAAACACAGGCACATCTCTTCTTCGATTGTCCCCTAGCAAGGGTAGTTTGGCTGTCAACACAAATTGGCTTCAAGCCAGAAGCCTTTGCCCTCTCAGGAACACCAGACTTTCTATCTTGGTGGATGAAGAGGAACCCCGAAAAGAAAAGTCTCTCTGACTTTTTCTTGGCTAGACTTCTAGCCATCTTGAGGGCTATATGGGATCACAGAAACGAAGTAATCTTCAAAGGAAAGTCCCCGAACTCCCTTGAAGTCATAAGAAACGCCAACTTATATGTTCCAGATACAAAATCTCAAAAATGGTTTGAATCTCGAATCCAATCTGAACAAAACAAAATACCCACCCACAATCTACCCCTTGCATCTCACTCCATTGCGATAATTGATGGATACTGAAATCCAACAATGAGTTCAGCCTCCACAGATTTATATATAATCTCTTACACACAATGTTTGTTTTACAGAAGAACAACGATGCAATGCTATTAACTCCTCATAAGCTGAGCTTTGGACAATCATAAGATGCCTAAAAAAACTTATCTTGGTGGGTATCAACCATGCCATCATTTTGTTACATGAGAAAGAAATCCTATAAAAACTCAAATAAATACAAGGTGGAATAAAAGTCGTTGATCAAACATATCAAATTCCTTATGTGGATGTTAAAAATATGTACGCAAAGAGGATTGATATAGGCGCTACCCACGATATACCTAAAAGGGCCAATTTATATATATCTTATATTCTAACCGGTAGACCCCTCCATAATCTTAACCTTTCACTTTGATAGGTGGATGATGACAATGATGGTTTCTCGGGGCTAATGAAAGGACACATTTTGTTGCTTGTTCTCCTTTTCCACCCCTACGACGGCCCTACCCTTCTGCCTATTCATTATTCATTATTATATGAAGAAAGAGCATCTCACGCTTACACGTGGTCCATCTTCTTTAGATTTTCTGTGTTTTTTCCATACCAAAAGATATAGATACCATGATCTTGACAATCCATCCATATCGGGTGGTTCAGTTGGGGCTAATCGGAACGGATATGTTGAAGAGGAAGGGTCATTACTCCGGTATGCCAGTGAAACACTTTAGTTATCCTCTCTGTAGATGTAAAGGACAGACACTACATGTGTGACGACGACGGGGTATGTATGCAAATGTAAGAATACATGATGGATGGCCATGTCTCATGTAGTTAATAAAACAGAATTTCTAATATAAAATCCTGGAAGCTGGAAGGATGTAGGAACAGGTCGTCGCAGCCTTACAGGTGTTTTATGTTTTTAGAGAGAGAGAGAGAGAGAGAGAGGAAGGAGGAAGGATGAGGTGAGCAGTCTGGAGAACACCACCACCAACAACCAGAAGGAAATGAATAAAGATGAGATGTGGGTATTGAACAGTGAATCCTACAAGGCACCGAGCTCCAGATTTTCGTCTCTATTGGCCTCCAAAGATCGTGATTTTCTGCTCTCTCCAACTGAAAACCAGGTCTCTCTCTCTCTCTCGCTCGCGTTAACTTTGATTGTTCAAAACAAAAGAAATTCAGATCCGATATGGTCAGATTATGAGTGCGTTCTGCGTAGAGAGATAGTACGGACGCATGATCTGATACTTTAATTTTTTTTATAATTCTCTTTGTTCCTACTGGATCAATTTATACTCTAAAGCTGCTAGTTCTAGCTAATATTCTTAACAAATGTATCTCAAGGTTTTTAATTTCTGTCTTAAATCTTAAACCCTTAAGACAGTAGTTCATCTTGCTCTCTAATATTCTTAACGAGAGAGTAGTTCATCTTCAAAGAGATTTTCTCTCCCACCCTGCCGCCCACCTATCCCAAAAGATAATCGNCCCCCCCCCACTCTCTCTCTCTCTAATTGATACTTGAGTTTGAAGATGGGTAGATCTGAACAAGCGCTCGCCATAAATCCTTCTCAATTACAATTTCCAAGCCGCCTCCTGGATCAAAGAAGTGGAGAACATAAATGTTGTAAATGGGTTTTCAACGGGGGACATGTCAGTCAATAATGCAAAGCCCTTACCCACTCAGATTAGTCAATTTCAGTAGTTATAAATGTAGATAATTAGAGACAGTGCACTGTACTTACTATCAATTGATTATCTATTATTATTTATTAAGTAGGTTAGCTTAATTAAGAGGTTGAGGTCCCAATTTGTGTAATAATGGCTTTTCAAATCCCGAAAACCAGCCAGAACATCTGCTAATCTACATTTTGCTTTATGGGACCTCCTATAGTCCTATTTGCTTTCCAGTCTTCCTGGAGTTAAACGCGCTAAATGCTCAGATCACCCCTCCATGGACCACACCTCAGAACTCAGAAGGACATGTGTCATAAATCCAATCGTTACTTTATCTTCAATTAGATTCTCCATATCTGCCACGAGTTCACATCTGCGCCATACAACATCCCACAGCACATCCGCCGTGTATCTACAGATGACATCATCATTTCTATTAATATCATCTGGAGATGTTCCCTATATATGGCGGGATGTGCTGTAGGGTGCATATCTGAAATCATATGGCACGTGACCCTCATGTCCCCCAAAATTGTACTAGATTCAGAATTATAAGCAAACATTACTGATTCTGGCCCATATCAACATCACTCTAAAATCTTAGTTATCAAACAAGAAATTATTAACATCTCTCTATCCAAACTGTATAATTAGAGTTAGAATGCTTAGTGAATGTTTTCTGTTACTTGGGCTGTGTTTGGTTTAAAAGTAAAGGTAGGGAAAAGAAAGGAATTAGCTAGGGAAGCCTGGTACACATTTCTCTGCCCTTTTCTTTCAAACCAAACACAGACTTTATGAACCATAAACATGTTTTCTATGGCCTATATATGCTTTCTTGAAATTGATCAAAATTAACAAAGAAAAATGATTCACGTTGATGAGCTTTGCTGTAATTTTGTTTGGTGGTTCAGAACAGAAAACCAAAACCAGCATTTATACATATATATATATATATAGATTGGATATTAATGAATCGATGGATCATGGCATTGGTGATTGGGCCGGCTGATCTTATTTGTTGATTATATCTCTTCAGGTGAAAGTATCGGACCTGGATGGCAAGGTTGTAGGCATCTACTTCTCGGCCAACTGGTACCCACCATGTCGAAAATTCACACCTATCCTAGCAGGTGTGTACGAGCAATTGAAGGGTCGTGGGTGTGGTTTTGAAGTGGTGTTTGTATCGTCGGATGAAGACTGTGATGCATTTGCCAGTTATAGATCAAGCATGCCATGGCTTGCCATTCCATTCTCTGATCTGGAATCAAAGAAGGGTTTGAACCGAAGGTTCGAAATCGAAGATATTCCATGTTTAATCATTCTCCAACCCGTCAGTACTGATAATGAAGAGGATGAAATATTACGTGATGGTGTTGAACTCATTTACCGGTATGGTGTCCGAGCTTTCCCATTTACTAAACAGAGGTTAGAAGAGCTGGAGAAGGAAGAGAGGGAGAAGCACGAGAATCAGACCATAACCAACTTACTTACAAACCACAATAGAAACTTTCTCTTGGGCCATGGCCATCCCGTACCTAAACAGGTTAGCCTGCATTACTTATTAATCCTGAATTATTATTGAATCACTAGTGGCATTCCAGTCCAGAAAATGTCGCTAGTTAATTAACTACATGTGAAAGTTTCCAAACCATGCATATATGTCGTCTAGTGCTGATTGAATTAATGACAGATATCTCTGGCTTGAGATTTCTTAATTAATTATGTAATGTAATGGTGTTTGCAGGTGGATGTGGGGTCCTTGGTGGGGAAGACTGTTGGGCTCTACTTCTCAGCCCAATGGTGCCTACCTTGCCTCAAGTTTACTCCGAAGCTGATCTCTATCTACCATAAGATCAAAGAGATGTTGGTGGAAGAGAAAGAAAATGAGGACTTTGAAATAGTGTTCGTGTCAAGCGACAGTGAACAAGTGGGGTTCGACTCCTACTTCGGGACCATGCCGTGGCTAGCATTGCCGTTTGGGGACCCAACCGTGAGGAGCCTGACCAAGTACTTCGACGTGCAAAGGGTCCCTTGTCTGGTGATATTGGGGCCCGATGGTAAGACCCTCACCAAGCAGGGGAGAAACCTCATAAACCTCTACCAGGAGAAAGCATACCCCTTCACCAAGGCACAATTGGAATTCCTTGAGAAGCTAAAGGATGAAGAAGCCAAGGGTCTCCCCTTATCGGAGTACCATGCAGGGCATCGCCATGAGCTCACCTTGGTGTCTGAGGGAACGGGAGGTGGACCCTTTATTTGCTGCGAATGCGATGAGCAAGGCTTTGGCTGGGCTTACCAATGCATCGACTGTGGGTACGAAGTTCATACCAACTGCGTCAAGGCAGTGAACCGTGGCTCCGCTGGTTGAACCCTTCTTGTATTTGTTTGTTTTTCCTGCTTGGGCAAACCTGTGCATTATTTTAAATTTTTAATACGTACGGGTTGGGTTTGCCTGATTTTAGATGAGATCGAATCAGCGAATCTCCCTGGGCTCAGGGATAACTTCGTCACCGCATTACGTAAATTTTCAAAAAAAGTGTCACGTTGGTCTTGCCACCAACCAATCTTCAATTATCTGTTGAAAATGTCAAAATTATATTTCAAAAGAAAATACTATTCATTTTCTTCAAACTTGAGACTAAATGGGTTGAGGTGTTTGAGGTTCTAGATTAATGAAGTCATTCTCTTCTACCTTCTATCATATTTCATATTTTTTCTCTCTTTTTCTTTCAAGATAATCAATCCAATCTTAAAATACAAGACAATGAACAATGTCTTATTTTGAAGGATAATTTTGACATTTCCAATAGATAACTGACAATCAATTAACGGCCAGAGACCAATTTGACACTTTATGAAAATTTAGGTACAGCAGTGACACATTTAAAAGTCCAGGTATTACCTTGACATTACCCCTAAATTTCAGGGTACTAAAGTAGAATTTTCTCTTTCTTGGAGGTCCACCAAAACCAATTACAGCACAGATAGAGATGCAATAACAGTGTGTGGAGCATATCATAACTCCATCTACTTAAAAACATGTCCATCGCGACCTAAAAACATCAAACGGGATTTCCTACCCACACTCTACCCATCGTGAATTGCAACTACACATATCTATTATAAATTAAGAGATGTGTGGCTGCAATTCAAGGTGGGTAGAGAGTGGATAGGAAATCTGGACTCAAAAAACATATGTTGGGAGTTTAAATTAGAAATGATCTTCAACATCTATTTCTATTGAAAATTTGAAATGTGTTGTTCATGACAAAACATGGCTGAGGTTTCAGGTTTGACGAGGAGAGACAATGATTATATGCAATAATAATATGTAGGTAGGAAGAGAATATCGTTGATCATCATCTTGTCTAATGTTATTTCTTTTTTTTTGTCACCTATACTCAGATAACTATTTTTCAAGTCTTGTACTCATCAACAAGGGGTTTTTTTGTAGTGTGGATGATATATTGGATGGTCTATTTTCATCCACACCAGACCTTAACTGTGGTATGGACATGTCCACACCACTCCACAACACGATAATGCATTGCGGACAAAACTGGCTGGATTGAACCACATCACACCCTTATAGGCATTCTACAATGTGTTGTGCAATTTAGTCAACATTCTATATTTTGATCCCATGCATCTCACCTACATGTGTGATGATATATGTTCTTAATCAAGAATAAACAATTTTATTTTTAAAGTAATATACATTATAAATAGAACAATATAACTTAACCATGAAAATACAAACTAATGCATTTATATATAGTATGAATAATTAAGATAATTAGTGAAAACCATTTAATAAAAAGCAATAATAAATCACAAAAATAATAAATAATAATAAATATAAAAATAATTCAAAAATATATTAGAATTTGAAAATTGCCAAGAGTAATATTTTTTATAAAATCAAATAATTTTATAAAAAAAACATAATTTTTATACAAATTATTAAAAGGAAAAAGTCCACAAACTAAAGTTTGGAATCATCGATTTTGAAATTAGTGAGTTTGGGTAAATGCACTCTACAAAGTAGGGAAACATTAATTTTGATATTGACTGACATGGCGCGGAAAGGTCGATGAGATTTAATTGTGGACAAGATTTTAAGATATGGTGAAAACCATTCTATGATATAGTGTGATTCGGCCCACACTACTGTCACGGGGCTATTCAACGAGGCCCCGTGCGGCGCTCGATGGGGTCGAGAAAGCCTACGAATGCAAGCAACAACACACAAAAGACAACAAGAAGGCACACAAATTAGTCGAAAGGCTACTTGTATTGCATTGATTGATGGTAAGTACAAGCACACAGTACAGTGTCGAGGGGATCTCATGCTTAACCTTTACACGCTTATGACTCACTCGACTACCTACCTCCCCTCAAAGAGTACGTTAAGCTTTTGGGGGAGTGACAATAGGAAACTTCAAAAAGATGAAAAGTCATACTACAGAATTACAATAATACCATTGGCAATCCCCCCATACAAAATACATGCAATGTCCCACCCAAGACACACACTTGGACACTCGGATGGCATGTTGTGGGTGTGGTGATGGCACTTGAAGGCGTAGCAAAATGGTCCCTTGTGACATTCTCCCCCACTCAATTCCGTCTTCTTCCTCAAAGACCAGCTTCTGCTTGTGGCTTGAACTTCTTGTTGGTGAAGGAAAGTTTTTCAACTGCTCCACAGATAGGGTTTCTTCCAAGGCCCAGATAGGAGGTTGGGTAGATGGCTTGTGGATGTTCTTGATGGTGGGAAAACCTATGGCTAGTCCCTAAGTTAAGTCCCTGCCTGGTTGCTTTAAGGTAGGATTTTGGATGTTCCCCGATGGTGGTAGGAAAATTGGTGGCCAAGGCTGGGTCAAAATGATAGTTTGGATTTTTGGGGTATTGGTTCCCTTGCATTTTTTGCCCAAGGATGGCTGCTCACCATGCTACTACGTGGTTCAGCTTGAGGAAGGGTGAGAATGTGATTCCTATATTGCTTGGGTGACACTCGCTTTCCCCAATGATTGAGGTAGTGGGTACGGTTATAGTTGAAGTTAGCCAACCAGTTGTGGGCATGTGCGGCTTCTGCTGCAAAGGTGGCTTCTATTGCTGTTGCTGGGGCTGTGGCGGCGTTGGCACTGACGCTGGCGCTGACTTCTTCCTGGAGTTGCTATGATCACTTCTGGTTGCAATGGTGGTGATGGTTGTAGATCTCTTTGCCATCAAAGGTTGAGGTTGGTGTTGGAGTTGCAAGGCTGAGACTTGCTTCTTCTTGGTGTTGGTTGTGGTGATCATGTTGACTATGCAAGGTGACTACTTGTCCAAGATCATTAGGGTGTCAAGGTGAGGCGTCGGTGCCGCTTTTGCCTATATCATGAAGTCCATTCCAAGGACAACATCGAAGTCATCTATGTGAACGACGGAGAGGTCAATCTCTCCATCCTAGGTACCGAGTTGTAGTCTTACTCGGCGAGCCATGCCTTCAGTTGGTTTGGCACCTGTGTTGACTGCTTTGAGCCAACCGGGCTCTTTGGAGATGGCCAAATTAAGTCTCTTGGCCTCTGCAATGGATATGAAGTTGTGTGTGGCCCCCGTGTCAACTAGGGCCCTAGTTGTCCTCCCGCCAATGGTTACATCAACATACCTCAGTCCTCTCTTAACTGAGGCGGGCTGTTTGGAGGTAGCCCCTTTCTTCATCATAGCATTGAAAAGTTGTAGGGCGCCCACTCTTGGCGCCTGTGTACTCCGCTCCCCATCACTATGCTCGTCATCACTCAACTTGGCAATGAGGGCATTTAGCTTCTCCCACTTCGAGCAATGTCTTGTCAAGTGTTCCCCCCTACAAATGTAGCAAGTAGGCGGATGGGTTGGTCTACCTTGGTACTTGTTGTAGGAGCTGCGACTTCCCTGTGGGTGCTTTCCCTTCTGGTACTGTGCTGGCTAGTTGTGATAGGGCTGCTTCTCTCTCGGGGGACTTGATTGTCTATCTCCCCCACTCAAATGTGCGGCACGTGGGCTGACTGGCTTGGTCCCTTCATCATCCGACAATCTCAGTTCACTAAGTTGTTCGGCCACGGCCATGGCAAAAGCAAGGTCTTGAACATTGCGTCGCTGGAGCTCGAGCTCGGCCCAAGGCTTTAGGCTATCCATGAAGTTGAACAATAGGTCTTTATCTGACATGTCGGTGACTTCTAATGTGAGAGCAAAGAATTCCTTCACATACTAGTAGAGCGAGTCACCGTGCTTGAGGGACTTCATCCTTCGACGTTCAAGGAACTCCACATTCTCTGGATAGAACTATCTCTTCAACTCTCGCTTAAAATCGGCCCATGATTGTATGGTGCACGTACTGTATGTACCTGAGTCCTTTCATCAACCACATTGGCTACAGCAAGGTATTGTTCCATTTGCCATAAGAAGTTGTTGAGTTCTCGTGCATCGCGAGTGCCTGAATAGGGAGTTGGCTCTCGAATCTTGATGTAGGAAGGAGTGTGCAAGGCTGAGGTGCTGGCCTGCTTGGTAATTGCTCTCTTCATGATGGCACACTCCCCCTTGATTTCCTCAAGTTGAGTTTGGACATCAACGGAGGTGTTTAGGACGGACATCAAAGTTGCCCATTCAGTCTTCATCTCATTCAGTTCGGCCTGAGTGGCCATTGATGTGGAGATGGTTCTTCTCCACGTTGCCCACTCTCTCTTCATCTCGTCGAGTTGGGCTTGAAAACTGTCAAGCTTGTCTTGGACATGCGAGTTGGATGAGCTTCCTTCTTGTTGAAACGTGGTGCTGCAAATTTCCTTGAGTGTGCCATTGATTATGTCACGGACCTCATCCATGACTCCGCTTAGGTGGCCTTCCACTTCCACCAGTGTACTCTCCATGGTTTCCATGTTTTGGTGTAGCTCGTCTAACGAATCTCGCATCTCACCTACAGTGGCTTCACAACGTAGCATGCGCAAGTCAATGGCTGCATGCTTGTTGGTGGATTTCTCACGTTTGCTAGGCTTTGGTGCTTTGTCCTTGTCGATGTTGTCGACGGGCGGATCATCGGCCTCATGGGATGTGGAGAGTCTATGCTCGATCTCCTCCATGATGTCCCTGTTGTGCTTCATGTTGTCACTTGCGTTGCGGGTCGAATGGCTTGAAAGGAACTCCTGCTCTGATACCAACTATCACAGGACTATTCAACGAGGCCCGTGCGGCGCTCGATGGGGTCAAGAAAGCCTACAAATGCAAGCAACAACACACAAAAGGCAACAAGAAGGCACACAAATTAGTCAAAAGGCTACTTGTATTGCATTGATTGATGGTAAGCACAAGCACACAGTACCGTGTCGAGGGGATCTCATGCTTAACCTTTACACGCTTATGACTCACTCGACTACTTACCTCCCCTCAAAGAGTACGTTAAGCTTTTGAGGGAGTGACAATAGGAAACATCAAAAAAATGAAAAGTCATACTA